GTATGAAGATTAAAGAACTTTGAGATCTTAGGTGTTCTTATTTCTCTAGAAAATAATATTTTATAGGAGTTAGTATACTAATTAGATCGTACATGAAGTTTTAAGAAATTACTCGATGAAAAATTAGAAATTGTGCCATGTACCATGAAATTTTTTAAAATAAATTAATATACATTTAGAGTACGGTCAGGTTTTCATTTTAAAAAACATTGATGAGGCCAAACTTTAGTATATGTAGCATTTGGAAAAAAACTATCTTTCGTAAAATAAAATAGAAAATATGCTATTTTGTTTTAATGCATAACTTAATCATGCAATGACATTGATGAAAATTAAAGAGGTCGGAGACCTTATTTGTCTCCGTATCTCAAGAAATTTCAGATTTTATAGGAGTTAATCCACTGAATTAGGTGGAATAGAAAATGTTATTAAGTTACTCATTAAAATATTATAAACGTTGTCCATTTACCATGAAAATCAATTTAATATGCATTAATATAAATTTATAATGTGACTAGGTATTTTTTAGTCAACATGAAAGTGGTTAAACTTCAGTATATATAATATTTATTGAAAAAATCGTTCTTTTTTAGGAGTTAACACATATATTTCAAAATAATGTAGAAAATATGATACTTTTCTTTTAATGCAGAGATGCATCCAATATAGATATATGATGAAGATCAAAGATGTTTGACATCTTTGTTGTCTCAATTTCTCTAGAATATAAAGATTTCATAGGGTTTAATATCAATTTGCCTTACGTGGTATATGAAATTTTATTCAATTACTCGTTGGAAAATTATAATTGATGCTCATGTACTATGAAAACAAATTTAGGATATATTAATATTAATTTTTAATGTGGTTAGATATTTTAAACAACACGAAAATATTAAACTTAAGTATAAATAGCATTTATCAGAAAAAAACTCAATCTTTTCGTATGAGTTAACCCACAAATTTCAAAATAAATTAGAAAATATGAAATTTTGTATTTATGCGTAGCTACATGCAACACTGATATAGGATAGATATCAAAGAGTTGTCCAAATTTCTCTAAAAAATATAAATTTCATAACTACATAGTTGCATCCATCACTGATATAGGAAAAAATTTAATTTTAAAAGAGATACAAATAACGAGAAAAAATCAAAGTGTAGTTTACCAAATAAAATATGTTAGTGAAAAAAATCTCTTAACGTTGTCAAATAATCATATTTTGACTATACATATATTTTTACATAGTTTCAAATAAATTATAAATGTCATACTCATCATTATAATTTACCTTATTAGTTTAGTAAATGATTAAGTTTAAATGTGAGTGCTTCTTTTAATAGTTTTAAATATACTAAATTGTATTTATAATTTGAAATAACTTACAAAATAATAATAAGATATATTTTAAATTAGTATTGGCATATTAAATTGAATTATAATCTGAAATTGTAAAACCAATGTAAAATTTTAATAGCATCAATAAATAAAATATACACATGTTAGAAGAATTTCGTTAAAAAAATAAACAGTATTTGGGTCTTTATCTAGTTAAAATAATAATAAATTTTAACATTTTTTAATTGAACAATACTCTCAAAATATCAAATTATATATTTTAAAATTTTAGTAGATTTCTAAACGATAGTGCTGCTCTCACACGTCGCATTCCAAGTCTTTATCAAACATAAATTGTACAATTTAATTTCTTTAGTGGTGAAAGAGCTCGTAAATATGGTTATGTGACTTATGTCCATCCATGTTTTCCTACATTGAGATCTGTGAGCACCACTCTTCCGCTTTAAATTGGAGTGCAAATTATCTTAATGCAATTATGTTTTTGCGCCCATATGTGACTTGTATCTACTCCATTCCATCCTATTTAATATTTTCTTACACACATATTCAGTATATATAGACAAAATAGCATTGAATGTCTTCTTATATCATGCAGGGAAGTTAGTCATGTTTTGTTATTCAGCTGAGGAAATCCCTTTTACCAAAGGTCCAAAACTGATAGATTGTTTTAAGGTTACGAGATTTCCGTATGTAACTAAAAGAGTAGGAGTAAAAAAGCCTTCTAAAAAGGAAAAAAGAAAAAGCTAAAACAAATAAAGAGTAAAAGTGTAAAACCGGACAATGTCTTAAGTTTTTTCCTGAATTCTGAAGCAAGAAGATGCCTATTTTACGGACAGGCATCATAATATAGGTCGTTGTTTGTTTACTACTTCCTCCGTTTTATATTAAGTGTCGTTGTAGAGAATTTTTTGTGTTACAAAATAAGTGTCGTTTTCGGTTTTCAATGCAAAATTTATTAATTTTATTATGTAATTTGTTTTTCTATTGGTTAAAATATGGTTAGGTGTATGGGTAATTGTGTTTTTATATAGGAAAGATGTAAAATTAATTGTTTCCTTAATCCGTGTGAATAGCTGTAGAGTGACACTTATATTGAAACAGAGGGAGTAGCATTTACGAGCTACGACCTTGAGTGTTGTGTAAAAGTTGTCCAAAAAAGGAGTGTTGTGTAAAAATTCGGTTATTTTAGTTTGAGAAAATGAACATGTATTAAAGCTTAATCGTAAAATACATATTCTTCTAATATCATTGTCACTAAAAAAAGAAAAGAAAAGATTTTTGTAATATTTAGTTGGACAACAGATTATGCAGACAAAAGAACTGAAAAAAAAATAAAAACCGAGCATAAAAGATTATTAAACATAGGAGATCTAACATCATAAACTATAACTAGATGATAACCCGCGCGTATACACGGGGTGAAATTTTTATACTAATATTTATTTATTAAATGGTTTTTAACATTTTGCAATACTACAGTATTTATCGATTATAAAATGATGAATACAAATGTTTGTATCTTAAATTATCATACGTCTGGACGTTTGAGACTTCGTCGGTTTTGGTTTGATTGAGACATATTTTCAGATTGAAAACTAATATTTATTTATTAAATGGTTTTTAACAGTTTGCAATACTACAATATTTATCGATTATAAAATGATGAATACAAATGTTGGTATAGTCTGGACGTTTGAGACTTCGTCGGTTTTGGTTTGATTGAGACATATTTTCAGATTTTGGTATTATTCTCATAAATCCTATTTGAATTTTACTAATTATCGAATTGGATTCGATTTGATCTTTTCAATTCAGTTTGGATTGGATTGTAACCAATATCTGAAATTATCCCAAAATATATTTTTTAAACATGAAAAGTTGACAAAAAATTCAAAATATTTAAACTATTAATAAATCTAATTTAAAATTAAAAATTATCTAAAAAAACTAAAAGCTATTAAAAAAACAAATAAAACAAACTACAAAAATCTTTTGAATACTATAAGTTGTATCTACTAACCTCAAACTTTTTCACTGAAATTTTTAAATTAACATATTTATAATATGAATATCTACTAATCATACTTCATATTCGTACGATTTATGATAATTTGTATCTTGTTTGTAAAAAAAACAAAGTTAAACCATTGATCATAAAATTTTCAATGAGGGATTCTACTATTTTTTTAGTTATTTATGGTCGTTTTGAAAAATTAAAAATATAATTTATAAGAAAAAAATTAATGTGATTGTTTAATTTATTTTAATAATTTAAAATTAAACAAAAAAGAGAGAGGACATAAAAATATGTATAATTCATAATCATTAATTTCATATATATGATAATCATATTAGGTAATTTCGTAGCTTTTATTTAAGGAAATAAAATATATTATTTTATACCTAGCAGAGTTGGTCCCTTACAAAATGTCTATATATTATAGTCTTAAATGCAAGAAATTAAATGTTACATTATTTCATTCCTAACAAAGTTGGTCCATTAAAAAATTAAGGCTGAGAAACTCTGTGAGCTTGACACGTAAGCATGCTCTCCAAGATTGTGCATTTATGAATGCTTCAGGATTAATATATAAGGGATTTGTGTGCATGCAAATCTCTTTGAATATACACTCCAAAGTTTGACATAATCTATAAGATATGTGAAAAAAAATCGAAGAACAAATGTGATATGATAGTTTACTGCATCTACATCGACCAGTCATAGTTGACCATAAGCTCATGTAATAAATGAGTTGACTTTATATTGATACCCCATGGTCGATATGATACGGTTTCCCAGATTATCCAACTTATCTGATCGGGATGGCCAACACCATCTTCACGCATGCATCTAATTCTGTTGTCAATCATTATATTATTTTTGGGTAGTGAACCGACAATACAAACGGCGTAGTGTCTCCATCCGTATATTATTAAAACCTAGCTAGACTGAGGTTAGCTCTGAAACTAAACCGTTGCTATCCAGCTATGAGACTGCATTGCCAGTTTGAGTACATTGGGTCAGTATTTGAGTTTTTTCATTTTACTCCATTTTTGGACATTGACTTTACGACTCGTAAATGATTCCCAACAATACATATGGCCTACAAACTTCAAGATAAATTGCACCTCTTGATATATATTTTTCTTATCCTCGATCGTGAAACATATTTTTGATTCGAATCACGTTGACGAAATACAACTAAGTTATGTCTTAACCTTTAGTCCAAAATCTAGTCAAATGTCCCTTAGCGTTGTCATTTATCGGGAAAGTATCTTAACTTTTAACTAAAAACGCTAAAGGACATTCGTAAAAACTAAGAGATTTTTCTGTTAAGGACAACGCTAAGAGACCATCAATAATATTACTTTGTTACCTGAGTAGCTAAACAGCCAAATGAGGCAAAGCTAAACCTGAAAAACATCCGAATTCCATATGAAGCTTACAAATAAAACTTTGAAATGTCGTTGTCAGAGTTAAACTTTTTCACGTGCTTGCTTATTTATTACATTCATTTCACGAGAACGGTCTATCTATCTCTCTTCTTCTCACCCCTCTCTATAAATGTAACACGAGTCAGAACGAACAAAGACCACACTAAGAGTTTAAAGACAAAACAAAAGGAAACATATCACCAAAATGTATCCCCCATTGAATAACGTAAAAATATTTTTCAACTACCTCATGAACCACCGCTTGAAGCTCTCTTTCCTCCCATTATCGGTTGCTATAGCCATGCAAACTTCTCGTCTTTCCACACAAAATCTCCACAGCCTCTACCTCTACATACAAAAAAACTCCACATCCCTAACCATATTCTCCATCTCCCTAATTCTCGTGTGGACGCTTTACATTTTGAACCGACCCAAAACCGTTTACCTTGTTGACTTCAGCTGCTACCTCCCACCGTCTCATCTCAAAGCCAGCGTAAAGAAGATCATGCACCACGTAAGAGTTGTACGTGAATCAGGCAAATGGGGGAAGTCAGACGAGAACGACTACTTGATGGACTTTGTGACCAAGATTCTAGAACGTTCCGGTTTAGGCCAAGAGACCTACGTACCGGAAGGTCTTCATTGCTTGCCGATAGAACAAACAATGGTCGGGTCACGTAAAGAGACTGAAGAAGTTATATTAGGAGCGGTCGATAATCTTTTTCGCAACACTGGAATCAGCCCTAATGATATAGGTATATTAGTAGTGAACTCTAGCACTTTCAATCCAACTCCTTCCTTAACAACTATCATAGTGAACAAATATAAACTTAGAGAAAATATAAAGAGCTTGAATCTTGGTGGGATGGGATGTAGTGCTGGCGTCATCGCTATAGATGTCGCTAAAAGTTTGTTACAAGTTCATAGAAACACTTATGCTCTTGTAGTCAGCACCGAGAACATAACTCAAAACTTGTACTTAGGTAACAACAAATCAATGTTGGTTACAAACTGTTTGTTCCGGGTAGGTGGGGCTGCGGTTTTGCTTTCTAACATCTCTAAAGACCAAAAACGCGCTAAATACAAGCTTGTGCACACGGTGAGGGTCCATACCGGGTCCGATGACCGATCATTTGGATGCGCGACTCAAGAAGAAGATGAAGACGGTGTAGTTGGAGTCACCTTATCAAAAGATCTACCTATGGTAGCTGCAAGAACCTTAAAGATTAATATCGCAACGTTAGGTCCACTGGTTCTTCCCATAAGCGAGAAGCTTCTCTTCTTTGTAACGTTCCTTAGAAAGAAGTTTCTCAACCCCAAGATGAAGCATTACATGCCAGATTTCAAGCTTGCGTTTGAGCATTTTTGTATCCATGCGGGTGGTAGAGCGCTTATAGATGAGTTAGAGAAGAATCTTCATCTCTCACCGTTACATGTCGAAGCATCAAGAATGACGTTACATAGGTTTGGTAATACGTCATCGAGTTCTATTTGGTATGAGTTGGCTTACACGGAAGCTAAAGGAAGGATGAAGAAAGGAGATAGGACTTGGCAGATTGCGTTGGGGTCAGGGTTTAAATGCAATAGTTGTGTTTGGGTGGCTCTTCGTAACGTTAAGGCTTCTGCTAATAATCCTTGGGAAGATTGTCTGAACAAATATCCAGTTGAGATCGATATATGATTCGAGAGTATGTCTTTTTTTCTCTTTTTTTATGTGGTGATGTTTCCTCTCGTGAAAATAAGTATAAATATGTCATGTACTTTTATACAAATAAGTTTTTTTAATATCAAATATATAGGGAATATAAAACACAGTTTATTTTTTTATATTTAAAATAATCATCAAAAATCTAGAATTCCAAAATACCTCAATTTTACGTTAGGAAGAGTTGTTAAAATTCACTATATACATATAATTTATCTATTTTATCTCAGTTACAAGATGTGATTTTCTAAATTTATAATAAAATAGTAAATAACATTAAAAAGGTTAAATGCCATATTTAGATCATCAAGAATACTAATGAATAGCTTTGAAAATTATATGATGACAACTTAATTAGTCCCACAAAACTCAAGTACAAGCTCACTTACATTTCATATTTCTTCTTTTGCATTGCAAAACACACACAAAAAGGTTGAAGATGCGGATCATGAGCTGATGATCGTACCATTGTTAAAAACTTAAAGACTTATTCAGAGTCAGAATTTGAATTAACACTCTGCCTTACACTCCTCCTAGCTTGTGTTGTAGACTTTGGTTTATGAGAAGTTGATTCACCCTCATAATGGATAACTTGAGCTCTAGCCAACCAAACGTTAGAGTTTGTTTAGTGTGTGATTATACCACATAATCATCCACTTTAATTAGTGTTCTTAATTAATGAGGGCAAGAGTGGGAAGAACTACAATCTTGAGCCTCTCAGCCAAAAAACGGACTTTTCTCAGCTTAGATCTTCACAAAACGTATCTCAGTATGCTGCTTCGCCAATATACTCATATATATGTTTATCCATCACCTTCAAAAAAAAAAAATCTGTTTATATAATAACAACACTCTTGAATCAGGACAAGAGGTCTGCGGATCATGTAGAATGATACAAATTACAGGTTTTTGGAACATTTTGTCGTAAATAGAAATATTGGGACAGAATTGACACATCAGAAGAGTATGTAAGTAACATTTTATCGTATATAGAATACTGAGAGTTGACAAAAACAAAAAGAATACTGAGACAAAATTGACACATTATAAGAGTATGTTATAGACACATTAGCTTCGAATGGAAAACGCAGATAAAAAAAATGCAAATCAAACATAAATGCAGATCAAGCAGAACAAATGCAGATCACGCAGAACAAATGTAATTCAAATTAATTTACTAAATTATTAAATTTAAATAAATATTAAATATTTTTAATTTAAATTAAATAGCTAAACAAAATAAAACTTATTATAAATAAGTAATAAGTATCATGTTGACACAAATAAGAATAAATATCTTCATTTTAATAATTATAGTGAAATTTTAAATTATATGAAATTCATCACTAATGAAAATTATAAAAAAAGTTCTTGTTTTACTCTTATTTATTGTATTTTTATTTAATTTTTGTTTTTTTTCTTACCATTTAGTTCAACTAAAGAGTTAGTATTGTCAAATTTTATATATGTTATTGTATCAATAAAATCTTTATTTAGATTTTTAAATATAAACTTTATTGTCAAATTTTATATATGTTATTGTATCAATAAAATCTTTATTTAAACTTTAGGTTCAGTTCTCATTGATTCCGGTTCAGTTTGATTATTTTGGATATAAAAATATAGGAATCATTCGAATATTTAAGAAATTCAATTGGATTTTGGTTTTGGGTATTTAGGTTCAGTTCCATTTTTTTATCCAAGCGTAGATGAAGATATATAAAATAAAAATATAAAATATTTAATTTTGTAAAATTATTTACTAATTATTTAATGAAATTATATAATTTTAGATAATTAAAAATTTGCATAACCAATTTCTGTAAAGAAATTATATAGAAAATTTGGGAATATATAAATTTTAACTGATATAAAAAATATGTATATTTTATGTATTATTTTAATGGTAAATTCATCCAAACATAAAGTTTTACTTAAAACATAACATGATATAAAATATAGCTTTGAGAGATTTTTTATTTATTTAAAAGATAAATAAAATAAACTAAATAAAACTATTTATAAGAAACTAATGACTGATAAAAAAAACAACTAACAAAAATATTCATTGGTCATCTGCATCTTGCCCACCACGTTTTTTGAGATTTTGCAGATCAATTGTTTTAATCTGCATGCAGATTTGTAAATATTTTATTATTTTTATTTGTTCTGCATTTAAAAGGATGAATGGAAAATAAATGCAGATCATTCTGCATATTAATTGTCCTGTATTTATTTTGCATTTTATCTGCAATACATTCATAGCCATTATATAATATGATCAACAGAGTTGTAAATAAAAGTATAGTGGGGTTGGTTAGAGCATGCCCATCAGCGAAATTGATGGGCACGAGTTCCTAGGATAGGTTTTTAATTATTATTTTTTCATTTTGACTTTTTTTTAAAAAAATTGTTTTAATAATTAAACGAATCAGGGTCCGACACGTGGCGATCCCGTGATGAACCGGGTTCACCACGGCGAGCTCTGATGATGCGGGTTCACCACTTTTGTCTCGAAAACCGTGTGATACTCCCTCTTGAACCCCTTGTGAACCCCTAATGGAGATGCTCTTATTGGTTAAGTCTATTTTAATGGATTTGAAAATTTAACATGACCAATAGTAAACCGATCCGAATTCGATTCCGATATAATCTTTGGTAGTAAACCAGAACCAGACAACATTGATCCGGTTTAGACTTAACCGTCGTATATTAAAAGAAAAACAGGAATAAGGGATAACGCAAAAACAAAACCTACACAGTCTTCCAACTCCACCCACACAGACAGACACAACACCCAACGACAACAATGGCTCTCTCTTCTGCTACCTTCTCCACCTTTCTCCGCGTCGATACGGCGCCGTTCCGAAGCTCCTCGTCTCTCTCCTCTCATCCTGCTAACCTGCGCATGGTTCGAGCTGTTACCTCCGCGACGGCGTCCTCTGAGCCGTCGTCAACGACCAAGACTCGAGAGCCACGTGGCATCATGAAGCCACGGCCAGTGACTCCCGAGATGCAGGACGTTGTGGGAGAGTCGGTGATACCTCGCACACAGGCTCTTAAACGTATTTGGGCTTACATAAAGGAACACGACCTTCAAGTAAATACTCTCTCCCTATCAGAGGCTTTACCTTTCTTGTAGACTAAGCCCAAACATGGTCTTATTAATTGGTTATTGATTCAAAAGAGACAACTTGTATAAGGTTTTCTTGTAGTTTTTTTTTTTTTGGTAAAAATTTTCTTGTAGTTTTGCTCAGCAAAGTTGAAACTTTTTGAAGTTTAGGAATTTTTGTGTCTGTATACTCCATGTTGTGATGAAAATAATCATTAATGATTTTGATTCATTAGTTGTCATGTTTGGTTTTTATCATAATATATCTTACTTTGACACTATATGAGTTCTGTCTAGTTGAAACAAATGTAGATTTTCACGTTTTGCTTTTGCTCACCTTAACAAAGTTTTATTTATTTTTTGGTAAAAATGTTAGCCTTAACAAAGTTTGCTTGTGTATTTACTCATGTTTGTTGTTTGGGTTTTTTTAGTAGTGATAACTTTTCAAGATAATGAACTGATTTAATGACATAAGTCAAAGTCATATCCTATCTACTTGTGTGTGTGTGTGTGTGTGACTTAAAATGAGTGGAATGTTTGTTATACAGGATCCACAAAACAAGAAAGTTATAATCTGCGACGAGAAGCTGAAGAAGATATTTGATGGCAAAGACCGTGTCGGTTTTTTGGAGATTGCTAAGCTCATTGGTCCTCACTTCCTCTGAATGAAATGAAATTTGGTTGAATGATAGACAATCATTGGGGTATGTTTTGGTGAGCAGTTAAAGCTGAGATTACATGTTAGAAAAATTGTAGGGGTTTAAGAAGTTTTATTATGCAACCAAGAAGTTTTACATGTTAGCCTTTGGAGGATGAATATCTATTGTCGATTGTATACTTTCCATCCTTTTCAAACTATCAAGCAAGAACAAGTCTTCCATGTTTGATGCTTATAAGGAACATGTTTCTCTCTTTCTTGATGATCATTACAGTTCCATTTCCCAACCTTCTTTTAGTTGAATCTGTTGTTTTTTTTTACTCTTCTTATAATCTCTCGATTCAGTTTTGAAGCAGTTGGTGTTACAAAGCATCATGATTCATGACATGATCTTCTCTTCTTTTGTTGTGGATCACTTTTAAGCTCAAGAATCAGCTTGGTGTAACTTCAGCATCCCAAGCCACAAGGAACTCTATTTATCTCTGCTCAGCACATGGATTTAATATCTAATTCAATATCAACTGAACTCTATGAAACGAATTCCATGCTACTCCTGTTTTTCAGGGTCATTCTTGATGATTTTTGCCATTAAAATGTGTATAGTGGTAGAAAAATAAATGTAATTTATGGAAAATTTCTGATTATTAGATTGTGCGGTAGATCTAGTTCACACGGATTCATCCATTAGAAGATTTCATGTAACGTAATTATGTAGTGTATTAAGCATTAAGCTAAGGCAAGTTGGGTTATACTAAATAGCAATAATATTTCTAGCAAAATAAACACCAAAACGAAGGTTACATTAAAGAAAACAAGCACCCCAACTTTTCAAAAATCAAATGATTAGACAAACTTTTTTCTGTAAAAACAAAAACATTTCATTTTTGGAAACTAACAAAAAAAAATTGATATTAATCAGTTAAATCAATATGAACTTATCAACCATTATTTCTCAAAAAGAAATATCAACCATTTCAAACGAATGATGGGCAAGTATCAATTTGCTTTGGAAAAAAAATTACCGAACGATCATTTTCCAAAAAAAAAAAATTACCACACCAAGAAATATTTTTTACAGAACCAAAAAGAAAATAATCACGTGACTTGTGGAAGCAAGGCAGCGCGTTAGAAAAACACGTGACGTAGCGTATCGGTGGCTATTTCCCTCGGAATATTTTTATTTTACAGTGTAAACCCAATAGTTATCTGACGCGTGTTCTTTTGGTTTCCTTCGTTCTGTCCTCTAACAAGACCTTCCGGGTTTGCTGGCATTACTAAATTACCATTATGTACTGTTGTATTTTGTGACTTCGACGTAACACATTTTTGTTGGTATCACCGACATGAAAATGTTGGAAGTGTAATTACAAGTAATAAATAAAATTTATCTTTTCTAAAGTTAATAAGAAGGTATATCTTTCACATTACGTTTTTTTAGAAAAAGTATCTCCTTTTTATAAGATGGTATAAATTTAGCTTATGCTTTTAGTGCCAAAAAAATGATAAAGAAAGTTAGTGAAACGTTTTTACTGAATGAACTTATTTTAGTAAAAAAAATGTAATGGTATTTTGGTAAAATGTACAAGAAAATAGCTGTCTGATGACTTGTTCTCCAAGTTGGTATCGTCCAGTATATAAGGGGAAAGCTAGTGATGAGGAAACTATATTTGTTGTTCTTAAGAAAGCTTTGGGCGGAAAGAGATAGAAAGAGAGAGAGAGGCTCCAAGGATTCGTTTCTACTGGCTACACCACTGATTACTTTAAGGTAATTCTTAGTTAATTTGTGTTGATCTTTTTAAAATCATTACATCATCAATTAATCAATTAGTACATGGTGCAAGTAAAGTCCTATATCAACTAAGATTCACCAATCAAACATAGGAGTACATATCATTCAGTCCTTTTTGAAGTTAATTGGTTAAGATGGTTAAACTTATAATGAAACAACCAAATTTAGGCAACAAAAAAACTTAACAAAGATGAATGATAATTCATTTGTGGTTACAACATTAAAGGCAGCGTTGCTTGCGTGGTTTGTTTTTCATGATATTTAACCCACTAATATCGGGGAAAGAAGAAATCTACATTTGAATTCATAGAAGTTTGTTATTTTTTGGTAAAAAAGTTGAAATTTTATAATAAAAAAATAAAAAGTGGAAGCTTGTTGGGTAAACTTGCTGCTCTCCTCCATCATAATAATATTTTTTCCTTTTCGATATTTGTTTTGTGATAATTGATAATATGGTTACTTCTTCCCACATCAACATCAACTTATCTTAAACCTATGTTCGTATAAATGTTACATGTCATTGCTTCTTATTATGCATGTTTTCTCAATCTTAAGGTATAAGTTCCGGAAACTATATATCAGCAACCATTAACCATGTACAATTATATTGTCAAATGATAGTCGCCTAATAAAAGAGCATAACCAAAAAACATGAAGTGAAAATCATATGAATGCAAATAAAGTATAAGGTGTAAACAGAAAGATAATGGCCGATATATTTCTTCACACAATCCTTGTGTGACTAATTTGTCTGGCTTATTAATCATCTACATTTATACTCAACCCATTGGCCATCCTTACATACAATCGTGTTCAATGCATGGACTATACGATTAGAAACACCCTTCTTTTATCTAATATCTAAACAGTTTGGGACTACTAAATAAAAGAATTTAGGAAAAGACACACTAAAATAATATATGTATTTATATATATTAGTATACATATCTGGCGGCTATATGCCCTGGCTGCACTGAAACAAAACAAAAAAAATATCTATTACAATAGTATACACATATCATACAAATCATCAAGTCAACGCAAAATTAAATGCAAGACTTAACGTGTACGTGCTTAATAACGAATATAACAGTTCGCGTAGGGCCATATCTAGTTTAATCATCATAATCCAGATCTTCCTATCGGAAGAACAATTATAGTTAAACTCTACATGCATTATTATAATAGTTAACAACTAACAAGACAATAATGAGTAAAGTTAATGACGCATCAAATATCTGTTTGTGACCAAAGCATGAACAACTAAAACAGTACGTAACCTTTTGTCAACCATCTCGTAACACACCATATACACATGAGTTACACGTGGTGTATAGAAATTACGTGATATTTACATTACAAAAGAATGATTGCGTAGGCAAGAAGGCGGCTAAGTAGAGAAAGAGAGAGAGAGAGTAAACGTTTGCTTCCCGCGTTATACAATGCCCTAATACTCATCATCATCATGCGTGCAAGCTATATTTCATTTCCTTTAACGATTCTCATTCTTACTCTCTTCAAGCTTCTTCTTTCTTCTTTCTTAATTATTTTCTCCCTTTTTCTCGGAAAATTTTCTCTCTGTTGTTGTTCCCTCCTGATAAGCCCCACCAAGTTTATCCTCTTTCTCACTAATCATTTCTCTTACAACTTCTTTCAATCTCCCTTTAAAACCTAACTTTTTGTTTTAGTCTCCTTCAATCTTTGTACGTTCATTTCCATGTTAAAGAACTTCTTTATTCATATTTTCAGATTAATTATTTGAGCTCAAAGAGGAAGAAAATGGGAAACCAAACAAGCAAGAAGCCACATGAGACGACATCATCATCGTCTAAGACCACAACAACAAGCATGCACTACACAACGGAGCTGAGATCATACGAGGCTGCTTGTAAAGCAGACACGGAGCTACAATCTTTCGACACGTGTTTGCAAGCAAGGACTAGTCACGTGATAAGCACGCTAGCTACAGGTGTTGAGGTTCGAGCCCTCTCGTTCGATTCCCTCAAAGAAGTGACCGAGTGTTTGCTTGAGATGAATCAAGAAGTGGTGAAAGTGATTTTGGATTGTAAGAAAGATATATGGAAGAATCAAGAACTGTTTGAACTCGTTGAAGAGTACTTTGAGAATAGCTTGAAGACTCTTGACTTCTGTGCTGCTTTGGAGAAAGGTTTGAGAAAGGCTCGTGATAGTCAGCTTTTGATTCTTGTTGCTCTTCAGCAGTTTGAAGATGAGAGCATCGTTGAAGGTTCGTTAATCAATTTTTAATTCATTTTCTTTGGGTTTTTAAAAGAATTTATTAAAATAAACTAAAATCTTTAAATCTTATAGTACTATCTTTGCTCTGTTAGAATATTTTTTTCACAAAATATTTTGCACATAATTATTATAAACGTATTATTTTTATAATCATCAGGTTTCAATAAATTTAAACCAATAATTTCTGATAAATTCAAATTTTTGATTTTTTTTTGAATTTTCTATTATTACCTAACAAAATGGATTTTGAAATATATTTCTTTTTCTAAAATATGTATCTTATAATAAAGTAGAGAGTATTTTATTGTCTTTTTTTTTAATTGATAAAAGTATTTTATTGTCTTTTGTCCTATTATTCTTGTTTTTATTACACATTTGAGACATTGATTTTAGCTGTGGTAATAACATATCTTCTGTTGGTTTTCAGGTGGGAATGGATACGAGAAGACACTTGAAGAGCTAAAGAACTTCAAGGAGGCAGAGTCACCTTTCAACGAAGACTTCTTCAAGATGTTCCAATCTGTTTACAAACACCAGATGCTGATGCTCGAGAAGCTACAAAACCGCAAGAACAAGCTTGACAAGAAGCTCAAATCCATCCACACATGGAGAAAACTCTCCAACATCATATTCGTGGCTACATTCGCCACTGTACTCATCTGCTCAGTCGTGGCTGCAGCCATGGCGGCTCCTCCTGTAGCTGCGGCTCTGGCCGCAGCTACGGCTATACCGCTGGGATCAATGGGGAAATGGGTGGACTCTTTGTGGAAGAACTATGAGAATGCGCTTAAAGGACAGAAAGAAGTGATCAGTTCTATGCAGGCAGGGACGTTTGTGGCGGTTAAGGACTTGGATAACATCAGGGTTCTGATTGAACGGTTGGAGATTGAGATCAAGGGGATGGTGATGTGTGCGGAGTTCGCTGTGGAGCATGAAGCGGTCAAGATTGGGATTGATGAGATTAAGAAGAAGCTGGAGGTGTTTAAGAAGAATGTGGAGGAGTTGGGGGTTCAAGCTGATTTGTGTAGTAGAGATATAAGAAGGGCAAGGACTGTGATACTGCAGAGGATCATCAAGCATCCTAACCATGGTAGTAGCATCACCTGAAAAATACACAAGCAAGACACAAGTGGAACTCATTCTTATTCTTCAGCTTTTGTGATGCATAATAATGAAAATGTTTGAAGACTCTATAAAGAATAGTACAGATTCTTTCTTGAGTTTAATTATCAATGTTTAATAACTCAATTGCTGCATTTCTGTATTCTTTGATTATTGAAAACAATTAAATATAAGTATTTTTCACGTTTGGGATATTAGTAAGCGTTTATAATATTAGAGTGAGCAATAAGGCCTTAGGAGAGTTAGTTTATTCAGTTCACCAGAGAACTAGACTTGATTTTAACGAGATAGGTCTTTTAATTATGGACCAATGCCCAAACTAATATCCTAGACCAGTCTAACTAACTGACATAAGGTATGTTGCTCAGAGAACTACACTTTCATGCTTCAACCCTAGGCTAGTTACTAGACTTAGCATGAACATTATCAAGATGTGGTGTCAGACTAACTAACCTATGTCCTCTGTTTTTCCCTTGTCATCGTAGTTTGGTTTGAAATACCAACTTTGATAAGGTCATTTTCAGATTCACACCCTTTGAAACAGCATACTTGAATTTAACGCCACCAAAGAATGACTAGAGATCAGTAAGAACATCAATCTAAAGACAGAAATTGTGGAAAGTAGTAGATGACTAAATATTTTATTTCTTTGTAGTTTTCATACAACTCTATCTATAGCCAATTTTTCCTTGGTCTAGATTTGTGGGTAGACTGGTACTTACCTCTTTTGATACCTTTGAGATGTAAACCTGCAAAATTTATTGGTCGTTATTTTAATAGACAGCGTTTACTGTTTGGGTGGCTCCAAGTGTGTCTTTGCTTTAGGTGGCCCATTATACTGGGCCGGCACTGATGGGGCCTAAAGAGGTTTAATAGGGATTCAAGTTTCCATTCTTTGATAATAAGAGAGAACAATTGTTTGATTCACCCTGAGATTTAAGTGATGGATGATTAGCACACTTTTGAGTTTGAAAAACTACTGCCCACAAAAAAGGTCGTTTATGTTAAGGTGAAGACATTATTAAGATGTTTAACTTAAGATACAAATCTGTACGAAGAACAAGACATTTGCTGTGTAAAAAGACAATTATAACGGAGATAAGCATTAATAGTAATTATTAACAAATAGTGGAGACATGCCTAAAATAATTTGCCTAATTTTATCAAGTATGTGTTACTGTGTATATATAATCTTTTGATATTTTATATGGATATATAGTGTTGTGGCCTTGTGGGACAAGGACAACAAATGCTTGAAGATATCATACGTTCGTTTAATTATCTTTTAACAAATCGAAAGATATTTTTAGGCAGTAAAGCTATGTGAAATGAGCTATGGAGGAGAATCAGGAGATTTAACCATCTTTAGGCTTGCGTGCCTAATATTCCAATGTATCTACAACCTCAGATACATTATACAGAGAATGTTCTCTATTCAATGTAATATCGTACATGTATTTAGATATACTTTTCGAAAATATCATAGATGCTTCCTCTATTAACAACCACGTGTGAAGCACCCCTCCACATATCACATAATTATCACCAGTCTTGTTGATATTTCGATCGTGTATATAAGAGTGCTTTAAAATCATTTAAACAATCCCTCAAAATGCTCTAGACCCTTCAATTTCCCGTCAAAATCTCTATCCATCTTTTGCCAACCAAAATCTACAACACATACATTGGTCCTTACCTTTCTTATTCATAGCAACCACAACCCTAAAATATCTCCCTAAACAAAAGAAAAGGTTAGAAGAGATTTTTTATCATTTCTTTTTTAAATTTTTTTGGCTTTTGTGACAAAGATTTGAAGAACGACATGAGGAACGAAACGGGTGGTACCATGGTCGTTGATCTTGGCGATGTTGGTCGCAAACCTAAATATGATGATCTATTGAAAGCTGACCACGAAGGACTATTCCCTCCCGGAGATCCCATCATTACTAACACAAACTCAGCTCATCATCATCGGTTCAGCAGCGTCTCAACCGCGACAATGAGCATCGGTCCGAACAGCGGAGAAGGTTCTCCTTGCGTTATGTCTCCTTGGGCTCGTGTCTCGCCACCTTGGGTTGCAGATTTCAATGAAGACAATGCTTTAGAGACCAATGGTCTCATTGGGTCCATTGTACGTGAAGAAGGTCATATATACTCGTTAGCCGCGTCTGGTGACCTTCTCTACACGGGCTCGGACTCAAAGAACGTTAGGGTTTGGAAGAATTTGAAGGACTACGCAGGGTTTAAATCGAGTAGTGGCCTCGTAAAAGCTATTGTGATATGTGGAGACCGGGTCTTTACAGGCCACCAAGATGGTAAGATCCGGATATGGAAAGTTTCTAAAAGAAAACCGGGTAAACACAAACGTGTTGGAACGTTGCCCACGTTTAAATCGATGGTTAAAACCACCGTGAACCCTAAAAATATCATGGAGGGACGTCGTAATAAAAACGCCAAGAAAAAGAAGCATAAGGACGCTGTGTCGAGTCTCAGCATGGACGTGGAGGTTGGTTTGTTGTACTCAAGTTCTTGGGATAGGACGATCAAAGTGTGGAGAATCTCTGACTCAAAATGTTTGGAATCTATTCAAGCGCATGATGACGCTATAAACTCGGTTATGTTCGGTTTTGATGACTTGGTGTTCACGGGATCTGCGGATGGAACTGTTAAAATGTGGAAACGTGAGATGCAAGGCAAAGGAACTAAGCATGTGTTGGAACAAGTTTTGCTCAAGCAAGAAAACGCTGTCACCGCATTGGCGGTTATACCGAAGTCTTCGATGGTTTATTCCGGTTCATCTGACGGTTTAGTTAACTATTGGGAACGTTCGAAGGGTTTATTCATTGGTGGAGTACTAAAAGGACATAAGTCGGCAGTGTTATGTCTTCATGTAGCGGGGAACTTGTTGTTGAGTGGTGCTGCCGACAAGAACATATGTGTCTGGAGGCGGGACCCGTCTGATGGGTCTCATGACTGTGTGTCGGTTTTGACGGGGCACACGGGACCGGTTAAGTGTTTAGCCGTGGAGGAGGAACAAGCTTACTATAGTGGAGGAAAAGTATGTACGGTTAACGAGGGAGACAGGAAGTGGATTGTATATAGTGGGAGTTTGGACAAGTCGGTGAAAGTTTGGCGTGTGTTGGATAGGATGGCGACGTGTAGGGAAGTGGACGAGCCAGAAGCATCTTCAGGGAGGAAGAGTTCTTTGTCTACACATGAAGGGAGTGGCGCGTGGAGTTCATTTTGATTTGGAAAATTAAAAAAGGAGTGATTATTTACGAAAATGCTACGTTATTGATTAGTCACGCACGACCGGGAAAGAGAGAAGGATTAATTGTGTTTCAAAATCATGACATAGTCAACGAAGAAGTGGTTTGTGTAAGTCAGCTGGTGAGGGAAGTCAAAGTTGGGTTGATGGTTTTCACGTAATTAGTTTGCTTCTTATTTTTTTGCTATAAAAGAATATGTTTAGAAACGAAATTGTATTATTATTTTCCCTAAATTTGTTTAATATCGAAAAGAAAGACTGAATCTGAATCAAACATGATTGTTCTATGTCGTGGTTACAGCTTTATAATTTGGAATTTTGATGATCGAGACACTGAGATGCTGTTTTTGTTTTTATCGTTGTAAATTTTATTTATATGGGTTCTTGACAAGTTATATGGGTTTTGACTTTCTTTTGTTTTGGTTCTGGCAACCATATTTTAATAACATAAACATATTGTAAGAGGCTTTTAAAAAAATCTTATTTCCTTTCATATTTTTGTGCTTGCTCTTTTCGTTTGGAGAACCAAATTATATCATGTCATCAAGTAAACTAAAATTCAAGGCATCATTTGTTCCGGACATTGAGGTATATGCATGTAGACGTGCGTTTCATGATGATTAACTAAAATTTAAATGTGTTTGAATTTGATGTGTAGTATAGGTTTTACAAACACTAGACATATGAATTACGAACAAACTGGATATCTTAAATGCATCTACCACCACCAAATATCTACCAAAAGTTGTTGGAAATTATTAATCAGTGACAATTACCATTTAGACATAATCATTTCATCTATACACAATAGTAATACCAGTCACATAAAGTTTTTTTTTTTTGTCATCTTCAAGCCAGTTAAAAGATCTACGACCATTACAGCATAAGGTACTCTATACAAAAAAATATTAAGCCACTTCCCTGCCAATAAACTTCTACCATATTAGACTTCCAGCCATGCTTCTAATCCCAAAAAACCTTTAGACAAACACTAGCACCCAACACCAATAGAGGAAAGCCTTTCTTCACTTTCAAATAGTTCTCTAAGCCAAATAGTCTGGCTATCTTATGTAGCTGCAGGTGCTCCAGTCACATAAAGTTTATACCATGGCTAAAAAATAATAAAACTACAACAATTATTGGAAAACAAGCATAATTCATAATAATGAAACTAATAATTTCGTAATCAATCGATCAATCAATCACTAAACCGAAACACAATTCCACAGCCCAATCATTCATCTGTATTCTGTAAGACTGTAACTATAAAGATCCGGTTCAACCGCGTTTTCCGGTTATTTCCGAACACGATGGTTGTTAAAAATAAACAAGATATTACGAAACTACCCCTCTCTTTGACTCTTTCTCAACGCATCGTCTTCAACTCCCAACCCGCGTTGACGGCAACAATTTTCCCGGAAAATAACATTCAATTTTGCACAGAAAAGAAAAGTCTTCCCCTTTTGTCTTTTACTAGTGAGCAAGAGACAAGACGATCCAACCATCTGTCTTTTCTTTTTTCTTTTCTTTCCTTCACTCATTTTCTCTCGTCGCCACTTTCCCGGAAAATCTCATTGCAAAAAAAAAAAAAAAAAAAAATCCAAACTTTATCCTTTTTTTTTAGCTTAAAGAGTTTTATGTAATCAATTTGATATTTTTCTGGAGATGGGTTGGATCGTGATTCAATAGTTTCCGAATTAGGAAAGTGTAGGCTCTGTTTTTGTATGTGTTTGTGCTATTTTTAGTAAGAAGATGACTACTACTATTCTAACCAAGTTTTCACCTTTACCATTACCAATTTCTCAAAATAACGATGATGCTGATGATGAGTTTAGTTATAGTTTTCAGACAGATATCTCATTCGCTGACGAGTACACAGGTCCTGTTATTACTAATGTCCCACTAGCTAACCCTGTAGAAGTCGACGAGATTCCGACAGCTCTTCCCCTCTCGTCTTCTTCATTCTCTAGTGGTCTCTCTTACCCTGTGGTCCAACCACTCGTTACTGCTACTCCTAGTGTCCTTTTGAGACCGGATCATGTGGTTTCTGCCTCATCATCAGAGAGAGCAGAAGAAGAAATTAATAGTTCAGTTACATTAGATGACGTGGCAAATGGGAACCGTGTGAGATTCGTTGTACCAAGTCACGGTAGTGAAAGTGATGAAAGCTCTTACATGTCTGATTACGAGGAGAGTGTAGCCGCAACGCCTAGAGCTGAAAGAAAAGGTAAAAAGGGGTCATGTTACCGATGTTTGACAGGGAACAGGTTTACTGAGAAAGAAGTTTGTATTGTCTGTGAGGCTAAGTATTGTTCAAACTGTGTGAGGAGAGCTATGGGAGCTATGCCTGAAGGAAGAAAGTGTGTGAGTTGTATTGGTATCAGAGTCTCTGAGTCTAATAGGAAGAGTCTTGGAAAGTGTTCGAGGTTGCTGAAGCGTGTTCTAACGGATTCGGAGATTCAGCAAGTTATGTATGATGAGGTTACCTGCAAGGCGAATCAGTTGTATGCACGGCTTATCTCTGTTAATGGTAGGCCTTTGAGTGAAGAGGAGCTTGATAAGTTGCAGACTTGTCCAAATCCACCTAAGAAGCTTAAACCTGGAGATTATTGGTATGATAAGCTTGCTGGCTATTGGGGAAAGGTAAAGTTTCTTTTGTATATATATATATATCCTCTTGGTTTATAGTAGCTCTGGGCATTCGGTTCGATCCTTTTGGTTCTTCGGTTCTAGAGGTTTAACATCTATTCTGATATTCAGAAAAAAATTTCAACTTTCAGTTTGGTTATTTAGAAATTCTTTTCGATTTTTGGGTATTTCAGTTTATAAATAATATTTTAAAACTAAATATAATTAATAGTTATAAGATATATAAAAATAGAAATTCGGGTACTATTTGGTTTTGGTTTTTCGGTTCTAAAGATATATGATACGCTCGGATAATTGATAGGATCTAAACCGAACCAAACTTTAATTTTTGGTTCGGTACGGTTCTTCGGTCCGGGATAAATGTGCTGAAGCCAAGTTTATATCTTGAATGCTCAGCTGAACCAGAGGCTCTATGTATTTATTACAGGTAGGAGAGAAGCCATGCCAGATTATAAGTCCTAACATGAACATAGGAGGTAGTACCATGATGGAGAAAGCAAGCAATGGTGACACTGAGATTTTCATTAATAGCCGAGAAATAACAAAAACAGAGCTCATGATGCTTAAGGTACCTCAAGAGTTTAGTGTTATTGTTCTCTTCTGCTTCATCATGTGAAAGTGAATCCCTCTTTGTTTTGATGTAGATGGTGGGAGTGCAATGTGAAGGAAAGCCTCATTTTTGGGTCAATTCTGATGGAACTTACCAAGAAGAAGGTCAGAACCGTATCATGGGGAACATTTGGAATAAGGTATGATTTCTAGAACATTCAGAAGCCTCTTTGCTTCTTCACAACGTTATGAATAATATACAATTGTTTGATGTTTTCACAGAAAAGAGCTAGGCTTGCTTGTGCTGTACTCTCTCTACCAATTCCTCCAACTTCATCTGCAGTAGAACCAAGTGATGAAGAACCCACATATAACCCAAAAATGCTTAACAAGCTTCTTCTTATTGGTAACGAGAAATGTGGCGCCACTACTATATACAAACAAGTGAGCTATTTATACTCAAATGTTTCACATATCTAGTAGAGAATCTGGTAACTAACTTCTTTTGTTTCAGGCAAGGTCTCTCTACGAAGCCCCATTCACTAAAGAAGAGCGTGAAAGAATCACATTCATAATCCAAACTAATCTCTATGCTTATCTCGCAATGGTTCTTGAGGCACACGAAGAAGATATAAACACTAACCAAGCTAAGACGGAAGGTGAGACCAGTTCTGAAACAGTTAGCTCAATGAGTCCAAGACTTAAACATTTTTCAGATTGGCTTCTGAAAGAAAAAGAAGAAGGAAATCTAAAGATCTTTCCAGCATCAAGCCGAGAGAATGCACAAACCGTTGCAGATCTCTGGAGAGTACCAACCATTCAAGATACTTACAAAAGACTTCGTGATACACTTCCTAGAACCGCTGTTTATTTTCTTGGACGAGTAAGTTTGTGTGCTTTCTTTGTCTCTGTAACCTAAAAGTTGTTAGAGGACTAACGTGTTTCTACTGCGTCTAGATTCTTGAGATCTCGAGATCAGAATACGAACCTTCTGATATGGATATACTGAAAGCTGAAGGACTCTCTTCTATGGAAGGACTTTCTTGTGTTGATTTTTCATTCCCATCAACTTCTCAAGAAGGCTCTCTTGAGGATGATTATCGCCACGATCCTAACATGAAGTTAGTTCTATTCCTTTTCCATATGTTGTTGCGTTTTGAGTCCTAGGCCTGCTGATTCGGGTAGTTTAGGTAATTCGGTTTCGGGTAGTTCGGGTCTATATAATCTAGACACAGTAGATTGTATAGACCCGAAATAAAGTTTGGTTGGATATTTGGTTAGTTCAGCTTTTGAAAATTTTACCAAATTTTTTTATTTCAGTTATATTTTGGTTTAATTTTGTTAAAGTTTTGGATTAGTTCGTTATTTTGGTTAGTTCGGTTTGAAATTTGATTAGTTTGGTTCCGGTTTTTGGTAGGTTTGGTTATCATTAATCTTTAAGAAAACCGAAGTAACTGATTGTCAAACCAAACGGAAAACCAATCTTTTTAAAAAAAACTACCGAACTCCTACCCGAACTAACCGAAAATTTTGGTTTGGTTAGGCGGGTTCGGTTCAGAATCCCAACCCTAGTTCTGACTAAATGAGAAAATGTTGGGACTTACTCTCTATCTCTCTGTTTTAGGTACCAACTCATCCGGTTAAATCCGAGAAGCCTTGGAGAAAACTGGAAATGGCTGGAAATGTTTGAAGACGCTGACTTGGTGATATTCTGTGTCTCACTAACAGACTATGGAGAATACATAGAAGATGTTGACGGGGTTCTTGTGAACAAGATGATTGCAAACAAACAGCTCTTTGAGAGCATGGTGACTCACCCAACCCTAGCTAACAAAAGGTTCCTCCTGCTTCTAACCAAATTTGATCTCCTAGAAGAGAAAATAGAGGAGGTTCCTCTAAGAACTTGTGAGTGGTTCGAAGACTTCAACCCGTTGATCAGTCAGAACCAGACGAGTAGACACAACCCTCCTATGGCTCAACGTGCTTTCCACTACATAGGGTTTCAGTTCAAGAGACTGTATGACTCACTTTCGGTGCGTAGAAGGAACATTAAGCCTAAGCTGTTTGTTTCTCAAGTGAGCTTGGAGAGTGATTCTGTGGACAATGCACTTAGGTATGGGAGAGAGATTCTTAAGTGGCATGTTGAAGAAGGTTCCATTTTCCAAGAGACTTCCACCACTAGCTTCGAGGCCAGCTTATCCTCTTGATTCTTCCATTTTTTAAAAAAAAAAATTAATTCTTGTATGTAATAAATATGTTTGTATGATGTGTGTGTATGTGTGTACAATAGTTGATGTTAACATGTAATTTGATCTGTCTGAGAGGAGGAATAAAGTGATCACAGTATCATGCTTCATTAGAAGCTGAAACATTGTTAAAATGAATGGTAAGTCTTCTGACATAGTTAATCAATATATGGGAAAGGAATCATATAAATAAACTAAACAAGCATGTTCATACATCTAGGCATGTAACTGAACTAAAAGTACTTAAGTACAGAAAAGCAAAAGTTGAATTTATTTTTTATTTTTTTAAACAGAGAAAAGAGATAAGAGTGATACTATATTGGGTAACTTGGGCTGTGTACGAACGAAAACAAATTTGGAAAGTTTTTTTCTTTGTCCAAACTAAGACAAGACACAACACAAATCTCACCTACATACTTCACAATAAAAGCATACAAAAATGAAACCAACTAAGTCCCTAACTAAACTAACTTATCTGGTCAAGTAAAAGACAAGAGGGAAGAGAAATGGAAGTACAGTTTGATTGTAACGTTATGGACTCAACTGATAAGACACACACACAAGTACTTTCTTTGACCGTAATTTACCAAGACTTATGGGTGTCCTTTGAAAATTGTTTGAGTGTTCTCTCTCTCTCACTCTATTCTCTCTGTTCTCTTTATCTTTCAATCTGTCTTCTCACACAGTTCCAGCTTCCTCTAATGTCTGCAGACGATACTCCTCCGCGTTTCTTTAAAGTTTTCATCTCCAATCACAGCTCAGATTCCATGGTACTATATTTCTTCTTCCGTAGCAACAACTGTGTAGACATTATTTCTTTCCTCTTTCGCTTAAAACTTCCAACTGATTCTCTCTGTTTCTTGCCCTTTGCTTTCCTCTGTTTTGAGCGGTAAAGTTGTTACACTTTTACTTTTGGGGAAAGTAAAGATGTTATGTTTACATAGATTAGATAGTAGAGATGCTTGAATATGTTAGTTTTTTACTTAGATTTGTTCCTTTGTTACCATTGACAGTCACACAAAGATGTTTTACTTTTGAAGCTTGTCTCTGCTTACTATTTATTCCCATATATATGATTTTATCTGGCTGATAAAAGGTTCAAACCTTCTGTTTTGTGGATACCCTCTGTTTTAGGGAGAGGGTTTACTTCTGAGTTGATTTTGGAAGTCTATGTATGTGTGTCTTGATTTATCTTATGAAGTTTAACTTTTTTTTTTTTTGCTAAACATTTTGTCTTCACCAGATGATTCCCATTTCCTACAACAATGAACTTCCAAGAACATTACCCAAAACAGCCACTCTCCAAGGAACTGGTGGATGCATTTGGAAAGTCGAGTTAAAGAGGAAGAGAGACGAGGTGTATTTTGAAAAAGGATGGAACAAATTTGTTACAGACAATTCTCTTAACGATGGAGACTTTCTTACCTTTGTGTATAATGGAGACAACATTTTCGAGGTCAGCATCTATGGTCTTGATGGATGTAAGGAGATTAGAGCAGTCACTGATGTTGTGGATGTCGGAGAAGACAGTGTTTTGTCTCTAAGCAGCGAAGACACAGAACCTGAGATGGTCAACACAATCAGCAAGAATAAAGGTTAGGTTTAACACATTGTTTGCTTTATAGTTTCATCTCTTAGGCCATTGTATGTGGTTGCTTTATGTACACTTATATTTGATTTTTTCAGGGAAGTCCCAAGTGGTGGAAGTTGAGGATGAGTCTGAAGATGAGGAAGACAGTGTTTCTACAGATAGTGACACTTGTTCTGAATTCACTGTGGCTAAAACAATTCCTAAAAGCAGAAACAAAGGTTCAACTCTTTTTTATTAGTACTTTGATTGTCTTATGTAATTGTTGAGATTTTTTTTTTTTCCAGGAAAGAAGAAAAAGAAAGTTGTGGAGTCTTCTTATGAAGACAGTGATTATAATGAAGATTCTAGTGACTTGTGTGCATTTAGTGAGAGTTCTAATTCTGTGGCACTGCCAAAGCCAAAAGAGAAGAGGGAGAGAGGTAATTAAACTCTAATTAAGCTTAACTCTAGTATTGGTCATTAGTTCATGTGATGATGCTTATATACAAAATGTTTCAGTAACGATCAAGAAGATTAAAGACCCGGAGAAATATATGGTTGATCCAAAGAATGTGTATTTTGAGACAAATGTGAAGAATAGGAAATATGAGCTGGTAAGAATCACAATATATAGAATTTTTTTTAAAAAAATACTTAATTGGTTTATTTGTTTGGTTTGTGACATTACAGTTGGTTCATGCACAACTAGTGAAAGACTATGACTTAAAGTTCAAAGAAATGGTTTACTACATTGACCATCACAAGGATGGGAAGCTACTAGCGAAAACAACGCAATGGAAGGATCATCGCGTGTGTATCAAGAAATGGCAGTGCATATGCGATAGGAACAAGTTGAAGAAAGGAGATGGCATATTGTGTGAGCTTAAGCGCAAAGAGGGTTTCGTTTACGCTGTTAGAATCCATATCGTTCGTGAAAAGGATTTGTAAACAGAATGAGTAGTGAGTAGTACTAGGAAGAGATTGATTACATGAGCATGTCTTTGAATTTTATGTTGTCTTTTTATGATGTTCTTAAATGTTTGAGTCTAGTAGCAGATATTTTTATTTCATTTTCTAGTAACGTATTAAACTTTGAACTCGTAGACTATGTACTTTTCTATCGTATTAGATGTTGTTTCTAAGTAAGACTTTAAGAGGTGTGGAAGCTATAGAATAGGGAATATGATTGTATTAGATGATCAGCGTACAATATATATACATGTAACAAGAGAAACCTAGGTCAATGTTATTTACATTAGAACCCTTTCCTTATCTATATCTATATCCTTAATATGCCCCCTCAAGATGGAGGCAATCTTGTGACTCCAATCTTGGAGACTGCAACGAGAAACTGTTGTCTTGAAAGAGGCTTGGTAAGAGCATCAGCCAATTGATCCCTTGTAGACACATGTGAGACACGAACAATACCAAGTTGAATCATGTTGCGGATGAAGTGATAATCAATGGCAATATGCTTCATCCTTGAGTGGAATACTGGATTAGCACACAAGTATGTAGCACCAACATTATCGCAGTAGATAGCTGGTGTGCTAGGGACAGTGATACCAAGTTCTTTCAGAAGAGAGCAAATCCAGCTGACCTCTGCTGCTGTGTTGGCTACCGCTCTGTACTCAGCCTCCGTCGATGATCGCGCAATCCCATTTTGTTTCTTAGAGGACCACGAAACCGGTGTTGAACCAAGGTAAATCACATATGCGTTGGTAGAGACATAATCATCCCTATCTCCTGCCCAATCTGCGTCCGTGAACGCATGTACCGTGAGAGGGGAACCCGTTTTCATGAAGATCCCATGACTCACTGTCCCAGCCAAATATCGGAGTACCCTCTTTACTGCTTGCCAGTGCATGTCGGTTGGTTTATGCATGAACTGGGACAAACGATTAACCGCAAACGAAATGTCTGGTCGAGTAAAGGACAGATATTGCAAGCTACCGACAATAGACCTATATGACGAAGCATCAGACAGAACATTACCACCGTGAAGAGTAAGTTTAGGAGTTGTTTCCATTGGAGTGGAAACTGGCTTGGCGTCAAGCATATTTGCGCGAGCTAGAAGATCCAAAATGTATCGACGCTGCATAAGATGTACACCGCGAATACTCCTACTAACTTCGATCCCCAAAAAATAATGAAGATCTGTAGGATCCTTGATCGAAAAACGCTGAGCCAGAATTTTTAGAATAGTTTCAATGATAGCAGGGGAACTCCCAGTAACAATGATGTCATCAACGTACACCAACAGATATGTGTAGTGAGAGCTCGTGATATTAGTGAAAAGTGATGTGTCTGATACCGAGTTATGAAATCCCATGGCACACAAGTGGTGTTTGAGAGCCATATACCAGGCGCGTGGAGCTTGTTTGAGTCCGTAAATCGGCTTCTTTAGGCGGCAGACATGATGGGGTTTGTCATGATCGATGAAACCTGGAGGCTGCGTCATGTAGACTTCTTCCTGGAGTTCTCCTTGAAGAAATGCGTTATTCACATCAAGCTGCTTCATTTGCCATCCCTTGGTGACTGCAATGTCTAAGACTAAGCGGATAGTAGTTGATTTGATTACCGGGCTAAAGGTTTCTCCATAGTCAATTCCTTGTTGCTGTGTGTTTCCTCTAGCGACCAATCGGGATTTGAATCGATCCACTTCTCCATCGGGCTTGTACTTAATCGTATGAATCCATCGACAACTCACAACATTTTGTGAGGAATCTGGTGGAACCAAATCCCAAGTCCCATATTGAATCTGCGCATCATACTCCAACGACATACTCTTGCGCCAACGTTCATCTTTGAGAGCCTGAGACAAAGTTCTGGGTTCCGTGTGTGAGGAAGACGACGATACCGTGAGAAGGAATCGTGAATTCGGTTTACTGATATTTTTTTTAGACCTGGTTCGCATGGGATGGTTATTTTGTGGTGGTTCAGTTATTTCTGGTTCAATGGTTTGCGACATCGGGTTAGGAATGGGTAGGGATTGAGTATTGGAATTGGATCCGGTTTGGGAAGTTGGATTGGGAGTTGGTTGTGGGCTTGGTATGGAGGGATTTCTTATTTCATTTAGTGGGTGGTTGGTCTGGGCCGAGGTATGCGGCCCATTTTCAGGAGCAGTGGGCTCAGAATTAGAAGAAGAAGAGAGATGAGATGGAGAGTTAGGAGACGATACCTGTGGGGACAGTGCCGGAGAAGACGATGTCGAGGAGGAACCAGAGTGAAGGTCCGAGCACGGGGGGTTGTTGTTAGCTGGGGGAGTGTCCATACGAACCGGAATCTGAGTTGCCTGAGGGGCCGACGGCGAGGGAACAGTGTCATCAAGCTCTGTGACGGGGTGACGTCGAGCTTGAGCAACCGCAAACGGGAAGATTGTTTCTTGGAAAATGACATGGCGTGACGTGTATAGTCGTCCGGTAGGTAGATGAGCACAAAGGTAAGCACTTTGACTCAATGAGTATCCGAGAAAGATGCATTGTTTTGATCGGTCTTCCATCTTGTTGGTTGTATAGGGACGCAACCACGGGAAGCATTGGCACCCGAACACCTTCAATCGGTTATAGTTTGGTGGTTTTTGAAAGAGCCTCTGATATGGTGAATCGTACTCAAGCTGTGGAGTTGGGAGCCGATTGATCAAGTACACCGCAGTAGCGAAGGCAAAGGGCCAGTACTCCTTGGGGACGGAAGCTTGGGACATCAACGTCAGCCAGTCTCCACTACGTGTCTGTGCTTTCTTTCAGCAACACCATTGTGTTCTGGTGTGTGCGGAGGAGACGTGAGATGAGAGATGCCATGTTGCTGGAGGTATGATCTTAACGCTATAAATTCTCCACCATTATCTGAGAATAATGTTCCAATTCGAGTCTGAAACCTGTTTTCAACCAACTCTTTATAGGCTACAAAAGTTTCCTTGACTTGTGATTTCTGTTTAAGAGGATATAGCCAAGAATATCGAGTATAGTGATCTACTAGAATGAGATAGTATTTGAATTTATTAGTAGATAAAATCGGTGATGACCACACGTCTGAATAAATAATTTCGAGAGGTCTAGTAGAGGTAATACTTGAATCAGAAAATGAAAGTTTATGGCTTTTATTGATCAAACAGTCTGAGCAAGAAATGAGTTTATTTGAAAGCTGAGAAACTGGAAGAGAAAATTTAGAGACTGTTTTGTTTAAAACTGAAATAGATGGGTGACCCAAACGGGAATGCCAAGAAAACAATGTAGCCTTAGATGTTGGAGTTGTAAACATGACCGTTGGTGTAGGAGATGTAGAAACTCGCGGCCACTCATATATTTGACCCCTAGTGTGACCTTGGATTAACCGGGTCCCCGTGCTCAGATCCTTCACCTGAAATGAAGAAGGGAAAAATTCCACCGAGACTTTATTAGTGTTGCATAAACCAAACACAGAGATCAAGTTCTTGTGTATATGAGGAACACACAGAACATTATTTAAAGCAAGAGACTTTTGTGTAGAGGGAAGGGAAATAGAACCCGTGTGTGTAATGGATTTGTTTGATCCATCGGCAATTACCACAGTCTCACCTCCTTCATATGGTTGATGCAGGGCTAAATTTTGCAGGTCAGAAGTGATATGGTGAGTAGCACCACTGTCGAGCAACCAAGGAGTAGACGCGTATGGATGTGCTGCAACCATGTTTGCGTGGGGCTGCTGCTGCCATGGCGGAAATGAAGACTGTTGAGAGGCTGCTTGGAAGCTTTGAAGCTGAGGACACCGTAGTGCGCTATGCCCCTGTGTACCACAGATCTGACACTTGCCGAGGTATGGTCGTGGACCACGAATCTGTTGCTGCCAGTTCATGTTATTGTTGTAGTGTGGCCTGACCTGTTTGTGGTAGAGCTGCTTGTTCTTGCCCGAGTTCTGATAGTTTGTTGGAGGTTTGTTTTGTACCAGATTTGCAGAGACAGGAAGCACAGGGGGAGTGATCGGATTGAGCGCTTGGAGTTTAGCTTCATGGTGGAGGAGTTTTTCATGAATCTCAGGAAGTGATGGAGCAACCTCACGACCTTCAATCTGATCGATGACTTGTTTGTATTCCTCTGGTAGACCCTCGTGTAACGCATCTACTTGATCTTCATGATCCATCGGTTTTCCTAGAATGGCAAGTTGATCCAGTCGTGTGGTAATACCTTGAACATAGACATCAATGGTCTTGTTTTCTTTCTTCCAGTACTTAAGTTGTTGTCGCAGGTTCTTGATGTGTGCTCTGCTAGGCTTAGCGTAGGTGGAAGACAAGGTATCCCATACCTGAGCCGCTGTTGTTGCACGAGACACCAGTGGTTGGAGAGGCAATGTGATTGCACCAATGAGGGCACTGTAGATCAAACGATCTTGTCTGTTCCAGACAATATAATCTGGATTTGGAGTTGTTTCGCCATTGACGGTAACCTCAGACATGGGAGCAGCTGTGGATCCATCGAGATGGCCAATGAGACCATAACCATCCACCAAAGCATGAACCTGAAGACTCCACATAAGGTAGTTGGTGGCTGAGAGTTTGGAAACGTTAGACATGTTGATGTTGAGAACGGTTTTACCGTTTTGGTTGGTGGTGATTGTTTCTGCTGCAGAGGAGGTGTTGTTTGAAGAAGACATGGTGGCGTGAAAAGAAAAAGAATGAGATTTGAAATTTAGGTTTTAGGAGCTAAGGCTCTGATACCATATAGAATAGGGAATATGATTGTATTAGATGATCAGCGTACAATATATATACATGTAACAAGAGAAACCTAGGTCAATGTTATTTACATTAGAACCCTTTCCTTATCTATATCTATATCCTTAATAGAAGCATCTATAGAAATTTATCTTTTTTGTTCTTGAACGGCAAGATCTAATTAAATCTTTAACCTAGTTTTGAGTTACATATTTCAGTTTCTCAATTTTCGTTAATAAGTTTACAAATATTTCTATTGAGAAGTTGAGATCTTAGTTAAAAGCAGACTCAATTCTCTCTTTTCTTTAATTACCTTTACTTACATGGACATCCACGTGAACTTCTTTTGTATGAAATGGACGGTTCAAGTTGCTGAGGTTTTTATTTATAAATAATGAATTAGAGTAGGTGAATTATTTCATAGGCGATGAAAATAAACATTAGAAAAAGGTTGAAGCTTAATAAGGTGATTACATATTTACATTGTTGTCTTTCTTGATCTTTTTGCCTATTAATTTCAAGCTCACTCTTGTTAGAAGTTTGGAGATAATTCTTGTGTGTCTAGTTTTTTTTGTTTTTGTTTTTTGGGGTCACTAGGATCAAATCAGCTGTTAGCAGATTGTGGTTTCAATTAATTTTTTGGTAACCAAATTTTTATTTTCATTAATGATATGTACAATTTAACAAAAAGATAGAACCTTCAAGAGTTGGTGATCTGACATTTATCAATTAAATATAATTGTTTAGTACTGATGCACATTCCACAGAATCTCTAACTGGTTAGTGGAAGGAGAAAATAAAAAATACTAAGAGAACTAGAGAAGCTAAATTGAGAAAGTAATGACGCGGTGAGATAATGAAGGAAAACGTTTGTCAGCGCAAGAAAACGTGTTATATTCATTTTTGCACGTGCACAACGTGCCTCTGCCTTTGATAAGCCTAATGCCTTTACTTCTCGGATTTTTTACCTTAACTTGTATCACAGCATGCTGCCGTCCGAAGTCTACATATTCGTCATTAGCAAAAACTGTTATATACGTTGTAAAAAACTTTTATACATTTCAAAATGTTTGATATATTAATATTAGCAAAAAAGTTTTGTACGTTAGAAAAGTAAATAGTGATGCATCAACGTTAAATGCTAGAGTAAAATCTTTGCACAATTATTTACTAAAGATTATAGAAAACGTTAAACACCAAAGCCTAAATACTACAATATATATCAAGAAAAGTTACGAGCTGGTATTGGATGTGTTTGCACTTAAGGTATACTATTAGACGTACAGTGCAGTAATATTTGTTCATACTCCTTTATAAAACACAGAACTACTCTTTGCCTCTATGATATTCAGTTGAGTCAATTATGTGTTGTGTATAACTCTAACTAACTTTTGAACCAAAAAAACTAAGAACATGTTTATTACATGAGTTGCTTAAATTTTCTTTCTTTTAAAAAAAATTTTAAAAATTAAAAATTAAAAATAAATAATGAATTAATCGCGGACCGTATCATAAAGTGCAAACAACAATCAAAATAGATTGTTTAATTAAGTACTTTAAACAATGTTACTTAACTATCTTATGGGTCAATGTGTTAAAAATCCCTAAGCAACTCCCCTGAACAACTACAATAAACATGGTCTAACTGGCTATGAGACAAAGTCAAAGACCAAAAAGGTAAAGAGAATAATCAAAGGTCAGCGTGAAGAGAGTCTAGAAAGCGAAGACGATGTGGGTCAACACTGTGATAGAGTGACGTAAGAGCTTACTGAATGCACTGCCAGCTCAGCATCGTGATCAAATCATTGAAATATTTGACCCCAGAAACAGTCAAACTTTCGCTTTTTTTTTGTCGACATCTACCTTCGCTTTCATTCACTAACTGTAACAAGTTCGCTCATTTCCCCTCCTTCATTTCTTTTCTATCTTTAAAAAAAATATATATCCAAAGAAGGTCATTTTGTATGCTAGTTGACTTTTATATAGAGGTTGGTTTAGTGTACATGTGATAAATTACTAATGAATATTATTATTCGGTGTTCTCTTGCAAAAAAATATGCTAATTATTATAGTTAGAGGTGTAAACCTACAAACATAAATGTTTTCAATGTGGTCTTTCCTAAAACTCTCAAAAATTAACCGTTTGCAATGTTATTTTTCTTATTTATATGTTCACAAAATTCTTAATATTTTATATACATAACTGACTTTTTTTTATAACACTAGAAAGATGAAATATTCGAAATGATACAAAATGACAAAAATAATATAAAGGAGAAGATGTCAATAGACATCAAATAAATGATAGAAAAACCCCACCCGTCTCCTTACTGCTGAGCCTCCAAAATAAGTAGATGGTGTAGCCATGCAGGGGCATTCTGGGTGATGTATGACTGGTGACGGTGATCTCGAGTGACACTGATAGCAATAGCATCAGCAACTTCATTGCGTTCTGGAAGTACGTGGTCTAAACTTCAGGAGTCTATTTGGGCTCGAAGAAAGGAGAGAACAATGAGTGCCAAAGAGTGTACGTTGGTGATGTATATCTTTAAAACAATATAAATTTGTTAATGTTATGAGACCTATATATATATATATTTAACGTTATATTTTATAGATATTTACTCAGATTAATTTATTTTATAATTTAGATTACATCTTACGTGTATTATATATCTTCAACACATTTGTTTAGATGATGACTCTGACGATATATCGCGAATCTAATATGTTCAGTTTGATACTTATAATTTAAAATCAGTAAATAATTAGTACTACTACTACCAACTCATGTTCTTAATGTAATAATTTAGCTTTCATCTCACTTCCAATAGTGATTTTCTGTAAGTTTGATACTGCAAATTGATAAATAATTATTCAAAAGTTGTGCCGCTGAATCATCAAGTTTATATGAAACAAGTTCAAAAGCTCACTACACTGTTTTTATGTGTGCTACTAAAGTTAACAGGTTTTCTTTTACTAATTTATTCAAGAGCCTCAAACTTCATGTTAACCCCAATGTTATTGTAATGTTACACATGTCTATTGGCATAACCTTTAAAAAACTGTTGTTGGATTGATTCGACGTACTACATCTCAAAGCATAAAAAGACAAAAGTTAGATAGATGTGCTTTTGAGTTTTTGAGACGATGAATCTAGTCATTTAGAAAGACAAACTGATCCCTACAAGAGGGATAACTGTATAAACAATGTAGATAATCGCCCAAATAGCAGGCGAAATAATAAGTTAAAAATTTGCACGTTAGTTATTCTAAGCCAATCAATTACGTACCTAAGATACTTATCCCATTAAACATGCTTAAATTTAAATGTCGACAGTGTGAAAACGAACATAACGCTATGATAATAATTAATAATTAATCAACAAATATATAAAAGCAGTTCATCCCTTCTTAAAAAGCGTTACATATGTTGGTAATATTCCAATACTTTATATTGTCATATGATAAAACCCAACTCCATAATAAACTAGAATAAAAATAACATTCTCCCTATCAAAATATTTGAGAATTTAAATACACGTGTTTCCGAAAAAAAGAAAAAACAAATAACTAAAACGACCCCGTGTCTGAAGAGCGTGCCAGTTGTCAGCTGAACAAAGCCACATAGACATTTGAAAACACGGAAGCGTATAAATAAGAGTCTTCATTCCACTTTCAGTTTCCTCAGACACAACAGAAAACAAAAAACAAAAAAACAAATCCTCTTCAGGTGCTTCAACACTTAACACACTCAACAATGCATTATCCTAACAACAGACCCGAACTCGTCGGAGCTCCATCTTCTGACCACGATCCGACCCGGAACAGGTATCAACAAAATAAGGAGCAGTTGTCACCGGAGCAAGAACTCTCGGTTATAGTCTCCGCCTTGCAACACGTTCTCTCAGGGGGAAAAGAAACGACGCCGTATCACGCCTTCTCCAGCAATAACAGCACAGTGATAAGCGCGGGAATGCCTCGGTCTGATTCCGACACGTGCCAAGTGTGCAAGATAGATGGCTGTTTAGGATGTAACTACTTTTTCGCGCCAAATCAAAGAATTGAAAATAAACAAGTAGTATTAGTAGAGGAAGGGGTTACTAGTAATAGTAGTGGAAGAGAGAGCACAGCGGCGGCGGCGGGGAAGGGGAAGATAAGGAAGAGGAAGAACAAGAAGAGTGGATACAGAGGAGTGAGGCAGAGACCTTGGGGAAAATTTGCAGCTGAGATCAGAGATCCTAAGAGAGCGACACGTGTTTGGCTTGGAACTTTTGAAACTGCTGAGGATGCTGCTAGGGCTTATGATAGAGCAGCTATTGGATTCCGTGGACCGCGGGCTAAACTAAACTTTCCTTTTGTGGATTACACTTCCGCTACTAGTTCCTCTGTTCCTGCTGAAGATATAGGAACAAATGCAAGTGCAAATGCAAGTGCGAGCCCAAGTGCATTGGATTCTGTGGAAGCAGAGCAATGGCGTGGAGGAGGAGAAGGAGGAGGAGATTGTGATATGGAGGAGTATTTGAAGATGGTGATGGATTTTGGGAATGGGAGTTCTTCTGATTCAGGAAACACTATTGCTGATATGTTCCAGTGATAAATAAAATATAGAAAAATAAATTTATTCTTCTCAGATTAAATTGTAGTTACAAAGATGTAGTTACTCGTTCATAAAAAAAAAGAACTGATTCTTTTCAGGTTAAATTGTTCAATGTTTTATTTATAGTTAAGTGCAAAACTAAATGGTTTGGATTGTTAAAAGTGAGCAAGATTCTTGGTCTGATAAAATTATAACAACAGGGAAATAAAGAGGTTAAGAAACCCATCTTGGAATCTGATGTAAGAACAATGCAAAGAATTACAAAATAAAGTTTCAAATTCAGTTATAACAGAGAAACCTATGCTTGGTGACAAAAGAAAGAAAGAGACATCACTTGTTTTACAATGCGTCACGTGCAGCGATCCGGCAAACAATAGCATCACCGAGAGAGGATATCCCTAGCTCTTGGCTAGTTATCTTGTATTGCTGAAATAATTAATGTCACAGATTATTACTTTTTATACAAAAACGAAAAGGGGTTTCAACTGTTGTTGTCAAAAAGTTACCTTTAAAATATGGGCTTGGTTTGCTTTCGTCTTTAATTCCTCCAACTCAATTTCCTTCCCGTTGATCAAATTCGCCACTTCCTCCATCTGGTTTTGATCTCAAAACATGTCATAGTTAATATTAACAAAAAAAAAACAGAATCTAAAAAGTGCAGAACAACATGGAAAGTGAGAGATTTCTTAGATGATTAACCTCAAGGGGAGAAGCATTGAACCGTGCAGCTAGAATGTAAGTAGTAGTTTCAGATATCCCACATCGTTTCAACGATTCTGTAATCTAAAATGGAGGAAAAAACATAGCAACAACATTAGTAATCTATTCTTATTACAATTCACCAAACCAGAAAATCAATAATCTCCCGGCATTAAATGAATAATATAGTTATAATAAGACTAACAACTGAACTAGACCAATTGTGTCAGAAGCAGACAAGAAGTAGTTAAGAAGAACAAGTAAAAGTTTGTTTGCTTACATGTTTGGATCCGGAGTAGTTGTAGACGAGCTCAGAATGAAGAGTTCGGGTTGATAACGAATCACGTGATTTGGAGACAAGTGCTTTCTGAGCAGCAGCTAAGAGAGGGAAAACATCTGGGATCTGATAATACAAAAAAAAAAGATCAAGAAATCTAAAGCCGTTCTTGAAAATTGAGGAAACAAGACAAGAATAACTTACGAGTAATGCATTGAGAAATGAGACTTCAAGCTTCAAAGTTCCATCTAGAATCGAACTCAAGAGTTCCCTGAACACAATAAACAGCGAAAGAGGTAACTGAGAAACTGAAGGTAAAACAAGGAAGGGAAAATCGAGAGAGAGTACTTGGAGTTGGTGACATCGGAGAAGAGAGATACGGAGAGAGTGTTTTCACCGTCGAGATGAAAAACTTTCATAACTCTTAAGTCGTTAGGTGGCGAAAAGGAGGGAGATAATTAGGGTTTTACACCCGCCGTAACGAGAGACAGAGCAGGCGAATCAATAAGCTAGAAAAAAAATTTAATTAATCGGTTGACAAAAAAAAAAATAACTTTTTTTAATGTGTGTGACTAACTGATGTGACGTGGCAGTCTCTAGAAAGATCAAAAGTCTTTGGCTTCATCATTAAAATATCTGAAGCCGACCGTAGCAGATAAAAGCTTCTGAGTGTATGTCCTCTGTTTCTGTTATCGGTTTAAGATTCTATTCTCAAATTATCGATTGTCTTGTATTGTAATTTGGTTGTGTAATAACTTGTGTTTTGATTATTACAGACATTGTATTCAATCTGGTTGTGTTACCACATTTGTTCCGGTCTGAATTTGTTAACAATTTTCAATTCTTTTTGTTGTTGTTGTGTGGCTCAGTGGGAGTATTCTCAGTTCTAAAAAGCACACCAAAAAACAAGGATGAGTTTTTGATCCTTTCTAACACACAACTCCACTCTTTCCCACAACGGATTTACAGAATATATTAACCAAAAACCACAAGAACTAGGAATGGAACTGAGACAAAGACTCTTGGGTGTTTGTTTTGTTTTCTTCATGTCACTCTCCTATGCCCTCCAAACCCCCATATCTGTATAATTCAATAAAACACACACACACAATCTAAATGTTATTCAATCATTCAAAATAATCATCAATCTGATGATCAAAGACACTAACTAACCTTTAAATTTGAATCCCAACTTCCTGTACACAAGGCACTTCCATCTGCTGAAATCTCCAAACAACTTATCCTGTTCTTGTGTGAATCTTGCAGTTCCCCTAAATCCAACACAACCTACAATAAAAAATACACATCAATGAAGAAAAAAAAACTCTCACCAGTCATACTTAATAGTACACTAGCTTTACCTCTCCCAAGAGAGTATCCCAAACATAGCAAATATTATTATTCGCGTAGCCAGCGAAAAGAAGCCTCCCGGAGGCAGAGAACGCAATGGATGTCACAGGCAAATTCTCACCATCACCATGTGCCTTACACACCTGAAGCTGATGACCAGTCCTTAAATCATACAACCTACACGTCCCATCCTCTGAACCAGTCCCAAATCTACACCCATCCGGAAAAAAACTTAACAGTATTAACATCTCCCTCGTGCCCATGAAACGTTCTCACCGCTCTGCTAGCAGCTCGAGTGTCCCACAAACATGCATAAGCAAGAATAGAGTATAGTGTAAAATAAAGGTACGTGGAATTTTTTCATAGGTTAATATTCAGATCCACATGTAAACGGAAACAAGTCTGTCAAGTGGGAAAATAGCCGTTAACGACTACAATAAATTATTATTTATAGAATATGTGTGACTACTATAAAACTAATAACAGCTTGATTACGCAAATACAAAGAGGGAGGAACACAAGAAGTGTAGAGTAGTAGATAATTAAACTACCCCAAAAAGAAGCTTATTGTCCCATTACATATTTACATGGAGGATCATGGACATAACGATGAGTAGAAAAGATAGAGAAAAACAAACTTTTGGGTCAAATGCTCCATTCTTTTTGCTCTCTAATTTGTCTGAGTTCACATATTTGTTCATTAGCCCTGTGCTTCCTGCTCCTCCTCCACCTCCAGGATAGACACAACTGTTGTAACCTATCAAGTTCAAGATAAGGAGAGCCAATTAGTATGTGTACTCACAAAGACCATTCCTAAAAACCTAAGGCAGTTCATCGATACGGTCTTCTTTTCTCATGGATTGTGAGAGTGGAGAGAAGAAGCAACTTACTAGGGTTTTGGGAGGTGATTGTTGCGGTTTGAGAGAAATCACAATCTGTAGTCCTTTTAGGAGACTTTTGAAAATACATATTCATGGCAAAAGCTGCATGTGACGCCACATTGTTTGGCTCAAAACATACTCCTCCTGGTTGTATCGCTCCACAATCTATTCCTTGTCCACACGCCCAATCAATGCTCGATTGCAACTGCTCATCCGTGGCACCTTTCTTTGGTACACACCACCCCGTTGACGTCACTTTTCCTGATGGCGTCTAATAACCAATAAACCACAACTTTTTAGTATTTTAAACAAAATTATTTAGTTAACTGTAATCACAAATGTATAAAGCAGCCAAGATCATCTAACCTGACTACTACCATTGCTGTTACTACCACTACTCTTGGTAAGACCTATATCATAGACCATGGAATGATCGGTTTTGAAAAGCCCGAAGGCTCGTTCCGAAGATGGTCCAGGCTTCAAGTTTTCATCATAGAGTGCGAAAATGTAAGTGTCGACGGACTTTCCAGGCATTAGAGGTGTCCCAACCATTGACCTTAGATGAGCTATTAGGTTTCCGTTGTAAGCTTTAGCGTTATCCACGCTCGGTCCAACTTCGTTAGGGTCCCCTCGTGAAGCCCATCCTGTTTCCGCCACTATGATCTCCACATTCTCGAATCCCATTGATTTTAAAGCCGAGTGAACCGCATCCACCTGTGGATGATGAAACAGAGACTGTAACGTGTGTTTCAAGCAACGACGAGGAACAAAAGAATATGACTTTTTTGTCTTCTATTATTTTAGCTATTTTATGAATTTTTGTAGAAACTGTTTACGTGGAATTGATGATGACGAGTGTGAACAAATGTTTCAAGAAACATCTAAAATAAGAAAATAATTACTGCGAATCCAGCCTGTCAGATAAATCAGTACACGACTGGGCTACAAGTCATAGTCACGCATGCTAATTCTAGGGCTGGACAAAAAACCCGGATCCAAAGAACCGAACCGAACCCGATCCGAAAAAGTAGTATCGAACCCGAACCGAAATTGATTCAATATCCGAATGGGTTTAAAATTTTGGTATTTAAAGAACCGAAACCGAACTCGACCCGAACCGAAGTATTTCGGGTAGCCGAATATATCCGAAAGAAATTTATATACCTATATATATTAATTATTTTAGATTTAATATATATAAAAAACATTCAGTATATATATAAAATACTTTGAAGTTATTCAAAATAGTTGTAAATATATGTAAATAGTCAAACATACATGTCTAAAATTGATAAAGTACACTCAAAACATCAAAAATACTTAAAAAAATTATTGATTCACAATCCAAATATTCAAATCAAACTAATTTATATGTTAATTTTAGATATTTTGACTTATGTTATTCAATTATTTGTAATATATTATTTTGTTTATAAATTTTTAGAAATTTAAAGTATATAATCAATTTTAAAAATTTTAAAAAGAATTTAAATGGGTTATCCGAACCCGAACCGAACCCGCAAAGATCCGAACCGAACCCGAACCGAAATTTAGAAATATCCGAATGGGACTAATATTTGTGAACCCGAAAACCCAAAACCCGACTAGATCCGAACCGAACCCGAATGGGTACCCGAACGCCCATCTCTAGCTAATTCTCTGAGAAGATAATTATTACTGTAACAACGTATGAAATATAATACAGTATATTAAGGTTTTCAATACTACAAAGCCACAGTAACCAAACTAATAAGCAGATAATAAAAAAAAAAGATTGTGTGTTTAGTGTAGTAGATTCAGACACATACGGCACGTATGTATAGAGCCGTATCATCGAACGTGAACAACTGTCTTTTGTACTATATAATAAGAATATTAGAGCATCATTATCAGTTGTCCTTAGTTGGTGGTCCTTAGATTTTTTTAAGGTTATTTTTAGATTAGGACATTGTCAAGGACTTTTTGTAATAATGGTGATTATTGGTGGGACTTTTTGTTGCCCTCACCGCTTTTCACCGGTTTTGCCATCAAATATTCAAGCTAGTTACTTTACCATATGAAAAGGAACCAAAAGGGTTTAAATCTTTTGCAGGGATGGACCTAACTTCTCCACTGCAGTTGATTATCCGAAACTCTGCTATTGACGCCATCCAAAAAGGGTTTAAATCAGATATTGGACTAGCTGTACAAATGTTTCCACCAATGCACGCAACATACATTGTAATGGAGCAGGAGATAAGAAGCCTGGTGAGAGTAGATTGTGTGGAAGCTCACATACATACAAGGAAGAAGAATCATTAGCAGATGCATAACAGAACATTTGAGACTCTGCATTCCAAAAAGACTATATTACAAGGCAAAAAACTCTATTAGAAGCAAGAATAAACCGAACACTATCATCACTACCCGCCTTAGCAAACGCAACAAACACTTGTAAAGTGCCAATGCTTGTTGATAGAGTTCTTCAAGGCTTTTATTGCTGTCTTCAAACCCTGCAGCACCATAGAACTCCTGATACATGGAAGAAAACGTTCCACAGATCAGTTTTTTATAAATCCATTACATTGATTACACTTCCCCAAGACCAATCAACAAAAAAAAGAATTGGTTGACATATCTTAGCAATGGATAAAGAAGCTTACCTGCTTGTATCTCTGGATGACTTCACTGGCTAATTCCTTCTTATTGTTCTCCTCGGTATTCATCGCCAGTTCCATTTCATTTTTATAGTTCTCGTACAAGCCTCTACATGTCTCCATGTGAAACTCAGGGACCAGCTCATCTTCAAAACATGGGAGTCTCTTGATTTCTGAAATGTGTCATACAAGTTAAAAACATGTTCGACGAGTTCTTGTATACTCTTATTACTGGCAGTAACAAGAAGAACCACATGGAGGGGGTCCGTCTTCATTCTGAGATACTATGGTGTCAAAGATTAATCCAAGAATAGAAGTGGAGTTGAAAGTCTTTTTCTTATACTCCATGTAATGTGGAAAAGTATCGAACTTTAAGTCCAATGGGAGATAGATGTTGCCTCAGTTATGGATATGAAATATGATCCACTCGCTCTTCCACACAAGCTATGTTCACGAACAGAGTGACCTCAGCAGCCTTGTTAAGCCCCTCGCCAACAGCAGGCTTGGAGCTCTCATCACCATAAACTACCACCTCATGCCTTTGAAACTGAACAATCTGATCCAGTTCTAAGCTTCTAACGTCTGTACTTCCAATAAACTTTATAAAACCCTCACCAATCCTCCCAATAGTGAAATCAGGAACACAGCTGCAATAACCGGGGTTTTCAATTTCTCGCTTAACCAGCTCGTTCATGGACGGGTTCAAGAAGTAGTCAGGTGAATTCAAAAAAGGCAATGAATCTCTCATGTCTTCGTAATGCTTACATAAGATAGAATCTCCATCTAAAGAGATTCTTCTTTTCTTTAGTGAGTCCAAAGTTTTAGCCATCGTTGAAATCTTTGTCAACAAAGTTCAAATTCAATATCAGATTATAATGCTTAAACTTGTTCTGATAAGTTCAGATAAAAACCTTAAGCAATGCAAACGACTCTTTAAGAACTTAATGAATCAACAGACGAAGTTGATTCTCTAACCGAAAGCTACGCGTAAACATAAAAAAAAGGAATCAACAGTCCACAGAAGCTTCACTAGAAACAGTTTTGAGACTTACCAGAAGCTGGGAGAATAGAAAGAGACGCCATGATTGAAGGACGGCGGCGGCGGCGGCGACGACGATCTAAAACCATTGTGCTTCTCCTGAAGCCCTTCGTCTTCTACTTACACACTCTAAGCTGCCGCGTGCTTTCGCCGGAGAATGGAGAATCTGTTGCGCAGATTTCATTAGTAGGAGAGAGAGATAGAGATGATACTTCGTTTTGACACCTGTCCTATAAGGACGTTTTCTTTTGTCTCTTAATTAAGGACGTCCCACTTAATATTGCCTATTTTTGATTTAAATAAAATTGCATTATTTCTAAGATATGTCCATAAGGACGCCGATAATGTTGGTCTTAAGAGTAATATAGATTCCTTCTAAGTGGAAAAGCAGTGACATACAGAATAAGTTCCTTGCCACAATCTAGTGCAAAGAAAATCACATACAAAATAAATATTTTTAAAAACCTAAAGTTCATACTATATATTCCCCCACGTGAATAATCCCAATTATCATTATCAACATCTTTGTGTGTCACAACAATACATAACCAGAAACTAACCCACATAGCTAAACCATGCTTAGAGGTCTAAGTAAATCATTAGATATAATAAAACATTCCACCAAAACTTCATAACTAGGCCCAGTTACAAAAAACAAAACTTCATAACTAGGGAGATTAGCTGATTTTGCGTTTAAGTTTAGTATAATTTAATTAGCCACCAAATACTACAAAAGTGAACTGATTAGTTTCAGACAAGACAGTAATTAACTAACCTGAGCATCGAACATGTTCATGTACGTGATCCCGGTATTACCGTCGTGTCGACCCGAATTAGGCTGGAAGAGGCAAAACGCCAGCGTTTCAGGTCTCGGATCACTTTGATAAGCGAAAAACGGGTAAGGATTAATAGCGAAAGGCGAACCATTATCACTCAAAAACTGCACAACACCCTTTAAACCGGCTTGATAACCGGCCGCAAACGAACCGGAAGAAGGCGGTTCCGAGCTACCAAGCACCGACATCGCGTGCACCGTCGACACCTTGATCTTCCCGCCGAGAGACACCGTCTCTAACGCCTTTTGGACGTTCTGCATCGCCGGGAGGAGAGCGTTGACAAGATTCGGGTCTTTGGAGAGTAGAACCTCGTTGCCGACGGTGATGAGGATGATCTTGGAGGCGGGGTAGAAGGGGAGGACGTTGGTGTTGAGCCACTGAGAGGCGGCGTTGGCGTCGGCGGCGAGGGGAGGGAGGTCGCCGTTGGCGACGCCGATGATGATGCCGATGTTGGTTCCGGCTAGGGCTTTGATGATGGTGGGGTCGGCGCCGTAGAGTCTTACGTTTTGGATTGTTGTTGTTTGGAGGAGCTTGGCGGTTTCGGGAGGTGGAGGGAGGTTGTCGGCGACTTGACCGTAGTTAACTCCGATGAACGGCTCTGCACCTGTCGGCAACAAAAAAACAGAGTAAGAAGGTTTAGAGGGAAAACTACGTCGTATTGAAGAAGATACTTACGTGAGGAAGGGAACAGGGGGAGGAGGATGAGGAGGAGAGAGAGGGAGATGGAGAGAGTCATGATGGTGAGTGAGAGAGAGGAGACACAAAGTGTCAAAGAGAGTTTGAGAAAGTTTTATAAGCGTTGTTGTTGTTGTTAGATTAAAGAAATTTTTTGGTTACTGTTAACAGTTATGTTACATTGGTAAAGAAACAAAAATTTCAAAGGAAGACATGGTTGTGTTCGTTTTTCCAACACCACACGTGTTGGTTTGACTTTTATGTCTTAAGTCCGAAGTGTTTGTCTTCTGTCTTGGTATACTATTGTAATTTTTTTGTTTGGTCAACACTATTATAACTCTTTTTTGGTCAACAGTATTGTAATTGTAAAATTATTAGAGCAGTTTCGGTAAGAAAACTTTTTGGCAAAAGAAATTTCGAAAGAGAGATTGGTTTCTTTTCGACGCAAAAGCAGGTTCTTGAATCGAGTTTAAAGATAAAAAGTTATAACTTTTAACATTGCTAGTGGGTCGAGTTGTAGATTGATCAAAATTAGGTAGAATGTAGATTTCAAAAGTACAAAAATGGTTGAAACATTGATTCATGTCTTGTAAATCAAAGAGGATAAGTTAAACCTCTGAATAACTTCATATACTGTATATTGTTTTTACTTCATTTGTCATAAAAGGAGGATTTCATTATTCCTCTGTTTCCATGCTACTTCCCAGCATAAGTGTATAATCCAATCTTCACGTTCCACTGACCACACCAATATCTTTTAGCTTTTGGTGATTTCACGTTTTTCACCTCAATGATTATATACTACTGTTATGTTGACTAAAACCTCTATTCGCATTTGACATGATTTATATACTTATCCTCAAGATTTACACCTAATCATTTACAAGAGAAAACAACCAAAAGGTTGAATTTTGTATATAAATAAAAGAGTGCATAATCAAAACTAGGAATGCAACTTTGTCTATCCATGATCCTGGTATTTGTTCATATTTTCATCAGACACAACTCACAAGTATTTTGCTGGGGCATCTCTTCACATATATATCTTGCTATAGGTTTTCAAGTATTTGCATTTCCTCTTATTAATAAGATTAAAGAATTTGAGATATAGTATCAGGATCACGTTCTTGGTCAGTAAATTTGTGTAAATGGCAAGAAATAAAACCCAAAATTTTTACTGGCAAATTCACAATCAACCAAATAGATTTGACCAAAATATTTAAATGATAAATATTACTAATTGTTAGACATGTGATTTTATAAATAAAATGTACTTAAATTGTTTTACCCTTTTGCTACTTGGAAAAGTTGTTGTTTCTTCTAGTTAAAGCATCTTTTAGTACTCATGAATTGTATGTTGAACCTTCTAATCCACTAAACACATACTCTATGTAAGTTTCAAATCAAAGTTACATACAATTAACACATTTTGCCATATTACTCGTTTATGATAAGTTAATTTGTTTGCGTGTAAAAGATTTATTTAGTGGGCTTAATTTGTTTTAAAAATGTAAAGATATGGATTTGAACAACCAAAACCATCATGGACTTTAGTGTAATAGCCTACACACAAGAAAACTATCCTATATATATTTCCCATTAAAAAAAAAAGTGGTGAAAAGCTAAACCGTTCAAAAAACCCTAAGTAGCCAACACGATGATATCGTTTTCATCGCTTCCAGATGAAATCATTGTGAACTGTTTAGCACGCGTCTCAAAATCTCAATACCTTTCACTCAGCACAGTCTCGAAGAGCTTCCACACTCTCCTCTCTTCTCCAGAGATATACGCAGCTCGTTCTCAAGTCGGAGCCACAGAGCCACGCCTCTATTTACGTAGTCATCGCTGGTACAATCTCACGAGTCTCGGCAACAGCGACAATGATGATGATGGGATCATCAGCGAAATAAAAATAACGAGGGAGTTGAGTTTAGTACCTGTAAGACTACGACTTCTCTCTTCCTGTGGTCGATTAAGAGAAGCCTCCTTTTTAGCTGTTGGTTCCGACATCTACCAGTTCGGAGGAATCAACAAGAAGAAGGGAAAGCGATCTAGATCCGTACGCATGCTTGATTGTCGGAGCCACATGCAACGTCGTGCTCCTAAGATGAGGGTGGCAAGGGAAGGCGCCAAAGCTTGTGTTTTAGATGGGAATATATATGTAATGGGAGGAGGATGCAGGAAGAACAAAGAGTCTTGGGGTGAAGTTTTCGACGTAAAGACTCAGACATGGAACAAGGAGCTACTGCCTAGCCCTAGTGCTAGTGGTGAAGAAGATGAATTTGATTGTAATTTTGAAGTTTTAGTCCTTGGAGAAAAGATATATGTTATCACCGAGCATAACAAATATGTATTTGATCCTAAAGAAGGAAGATGGTTGATGCTAGACATGGGTTTTGTGGATCTAAAACGCATAGTAAAAATAGGTACGGTTTGGTGCGTTGTAGATAATTTACTGTTTTTGGAGTTTTGCGACGATAGTTTGCGGTGGTATGACATGAGCTCTGGAAAGTGGTTGATGGTTGAGGGTTTGACAGATCTGTTGTATACTAAGGTTGAATGTCATTACCGTATGGTTCAATTAGTTAACTATGGTGGAAAACTGGTGATTGTGTGGGTAGTGTTGCCTGACTTTGTATATAAGCAGCTTATTCCAGAAGAGAGAATTTGGTTTGCGGTGATTAGGTTGGAGAAGCATCTCACTTCATCTGGACTTGTGATTTGGGGAGAGATTGAACAGTTGAACTATCTTGTTCACGGTTCATGTAATCCCTTGACCTGCCTAACCGTCTCTCTTTGATTTTTATCATAGATCCTCTCTTGCTTTTTTTTTCAAAACATTTTCATTTAAATTGGACTTTGAAATTTATTTATTTTTATCTCACTTTGTTTTGTAATCTTTTTAATTTATGCCGTCTTTGTTTTACTTCATCTTTGTATATATATAGAATTTTGGTTACTTCAAATCATATTAATAAAGTTTTCGAGCTTGATTTATTTTGTAGTTTCACTCATTTGCTTGGCTGAGATTTACAACAATACTAAGGTGTGTTAGCTAAACTTGATATGTAGACTGGAGTAGTAGAGGAAAGATATAAAAATTACGCATGTGATCGATCCTAAACAAGGAAGATGTCTACTGCTAGAAACGGGTTTTGCGGGTCTAAAATCCATACTAAAAATTTGGTATGGTTTGGTGCGTTCTAGATAATAGTATAATGTTTAAGGAGTTTTGCAATGATTTGTGGTGTGGTGTGAGTCGTATGCTCTAAAAAGTTGTTTTTAGTTAAGGGTTTGTAAGATCTGTTGTGGTTTAACATCTCTTCACATATTATTTGCTATAGGTGTTTCAAGTATTTGCATTTTCTCTAGATTGTTATTGCGTCTGCAAAGGCTCTTCTCGAACAAGTTGGTTGATAGTCGTAGCTTATTGTTGAGTGTTTACATTTGATAAACATTCTTTACGAAAAAAGTCATGCAAAGTGGCATATGATCTAACCCAACTTGTTCTTTGTAAGAAAAAGGAGGTGAAGATTTAGAAATAATAAATCTTAATTGAAACCTTCAAAATATATTTTCAGTCAAATTTATCAAATAAGCATGCATGACTAAGATTGAAGAACTGAGATATAGTATTAAGATCAGGTTCTTGGTCAGTAAATTGTTGTAAATGTTAGCGAACACCGAAGAAACAATTCCCAAAATTTTACTTGATTTGCAAATTCACAATCAATCAAGATAGATTTTACCAAAATAGTTAAATGATAAATATCACTAATCGTTAGACATGTGATTTTGTAAATAAAATATACATTAATTGTTTCACCTTTTGCTACTTAGAAAAGTTGTTGTTTCTTTCAGTTAAAGCATCATTTAGTTCTCTTGAATTGTATGTTGAACCTTCTGAATTCTGATCCACTAAAAACATATACAATTTCCCAACGAAAGTTACATACAATCAACACAGTTTGCGATATTACCCTCGTTTACGATTACGAATTTATGATAAGTGAATTTGTTTGTATAAGATATTTATTTAGTGGGCTTAATCTTGTTTTAAAATGTAAAGATATAGATTTCAAAACCAAAACCAAAACCATTATGGAGTTTTATGTAATGGCCCACACAAAGAAAACTATTTATTACCTCCATTCAAAAAGAGTGGTGAAAAACAAAATCGTTCAAAGAAACCTAGTAGCTCCAACTAGATGAAGAATTCTACAGCTCCTCAGCCATCTTTTTCATCGCTTCCAGATGAAATCATTGTGAACTGTTTAGCACGCGTCTCAAAATCTCAATACCTTTCACTCAGCACAGTCTCCAAGAGCTTCCACTCTCTCCTCTCTTCTCCGGAGATATACGCAGCTCGTTCTCAAATCGGAGCCGAAGAGCCTCGCCTCTATTTATGTTGTGATATTTTAAGTACAGCCACCACACGTAGTCATCGCTGGTGGTACAATCTCAGGACTCTCAGAAACTGCGATGAGGAGAAAATAAAAAAGATAAGCGAAATAAAAATAAAGAGTGAGTTGAGTTTAATACCTGCCATAAAACTCTCTTCATGTCCTAGATTAAACGAAACCGTTTTAGCTGTTGGTTCCGAGATCTACCAGTTCGGAGGAATCAAGGAGAAAGACAAGCCGTCTAGATCCGTTCGCGTGTTTGATTGTCGGAGTCACACGCAACGTCGTGCTCCTATGATGAGAGTGGCAAGGGAAGGCGCAAAAGCTTGTGTTTTAGATGGGAGGATGCATAGAGAAAGAGTGTTGGGGTGAAGTTTTCGACGTAAAGACTCAGACATGGACCAAGGAGCTAGTGCCTAGCCCTAGTGGTGAAGATGTATTTGATTGTATATTTGAAGTCTTAGTCCTTGGAGCAAGAATATACGTTATCGCCGAGCGTAAGAAGTATGTATATGATCTTAAAGAAGGAAGATGGTTGCTGCTAGAGACGGGTTTTTCGGGTTTAGAATGCGTACTAAAAATTGGTACGGTTTGGTGCGTTCTAGATAATAGAGTGTTAATTAAGGAGTTGTGCAATCATTTGTGGTGGTATGATGTGAGCTGTGATATGTGGTTTGTAGTTAACGGTTTGTCAGATCTGTTGTGGGATGCCAAGGTTAATTGTCGTTCACGTATGATTCAATTAGTTAACTATGGTGGGAAGGTGGTGATTGTATGGGGAGTGTTGCCTGACGTTATTATATACAGGAGGAATAAGCCGCCTATCATTCATGAAGAGAAAATTTGCTTTGCCGTGATTAGGTTGGAGAAGCGTCTCACTTCATCTGGACTTGCTATTTCGGGAGAGATTGAACAGTTGAACTGCTCTCTTGTCAACGGGTCATATAAGCCCTTGACATGTCTATCCGTCTCGCTTTGATTTATCAAATATCACCTCTTGCTTTTTCAACATTTTCATTTAGATTTGGAGTTTGTAATTTTTTTTAAAATTTTATGTTGTTTTTAATAGTTCATCTTTGTGCACGATTGATTCGAAGTTACTTCAAATCTATATTATTGAAGTTTTTGAGTTTGATATTTTTCGTTACCTTATTGCCAAGAAACTTCATATAGATAAAAAACACATTACTACCTCCCTGATTTCAAGCTTGATATCGACCATTTTTGTATCCATGCTTGCCGGAGGTAGAGCAGTGATCGATGTGTAATGTGCTAGAGAACAACCTAGGCCTAGCAGCTATAGATGTCGAGCATCAAGATCAACCCTACATAGATTTGGGATTACTTTGTTAGGTCCCAAAGACTTAAGAGAACACGAACACAATTTTACTGCAATTTTTCTTTTCATATCCCTTCTCTTCTCAACTCATGCTTAAATACAAAACAAAATAAATAACCAACTAGTACTACGTGAAATATGAAACGTGGGTAAGAAGCTACACGTCCTCAACTTAAGGAAACATAATTCCACTAAATAAAAAGCAATATGGAAACCAATGGCCACGTTCATTTCTTGCTCAAATGGTATCTCACCACAGTTCGTCTAGCTCAATATAGTATGAGTTGGCATACATAGAGGCAAAAGAAAGGATGAAGTGAGGAATTAAAGTTTGGCAGATTGCATTAGGGTCAGGTTTTAAGTGTAACACTGCTGTTTGAGTGGCTCTACGTAATGCCATAGCTTCTACAAACTAGCCCTTGGGAACATTGCATTGGTAGATATCCAATTAAAACTAATTCTAATTCAGCTACGTGAGATGTGTTTCAAAAAAAAAAAAAAAAAATTCAGCTACGTGAGAGACTCGTGTCCAAAACGGTCGGTCCTAAATGATGTATCTGAAATGAGGTCGTCTACTCTCTAGTTCTAATAATTTGATGGCTATGATGTCTTCTCTTGTTCGTTATAAATAAATAATACATTGATGCTCTAGTATTCGATTGCTTGAGGGGCTTGTTTTTACATGAAATTTATAAACGCCGACACAATTGAATTATTTGACGTCATATCATGAAATGTCATGTTACATTACAATGGATAAATTAAGTCAACAGTGGATTAGGCTACTAATGTGTAGATAGTGTGTCACTAGAACCATATACTGCGAATCAAATAAAAGCTACTTAGCATGGACCATATGTATATGACTTTTTCTTTACAAGGGACCATGCGTTATATGACTTTATCCACCTTTTCACGTTAAAATTTGTATTAAACGCCAAAAATCCTTAGAAGAAAAGAAGAGGAGATGAGAGAACATTTTGGATGATACAAATGGATAATTTAAAGAAATTAGAGAGTTTTATCAACTTAACCAGCAGCCACAATATGAATTTAAAATTTTCTTCTATTGATCAGTCATGTCCATAACGGAAAGTTTAGTTGCGTCAAAAACTCTAAAAAAGAGATATTGATTGCATCGATTTTACAAGATGGGGTCTTTCATGTTATGGAAAAACAAAGTTAAAGGTCATCAATTATTAAAGAAAGACGAAAAGGGTATAATGTTGAGCATGTCTTAGTGAAGAAGGAAATCACTATCATTAAGTGTTCCATATGTATTGCTAAATGGACTTTCTGCTAGAAGATAATCTATATATTGGCATTATATCTGCATAATTTGGGGATGTATATCCTTATGTTTTAATATACTTCCGTGGGGTATTATTTATTTTGTCTTTGAATGAGTTTTGGTTATGTGATGTATATTAAATATAATCTCATGAAGGTATAACTCTTTAAATTTAGTATATTTTGGTTTATTTGATTCTTTTACTAACCTTGCATATAATTTCGAAAATTTTGAATATAGAATTTAATGTTTTTCTCTTCTTAGTATTTTTAATTTTTTTATCAGAAACAAGAAAAGGGCTTTAAACAGATACTATATGTATTTTTTATTTTTTTAGTTTTTGGTCTAACTTTTTTGAGTTAAAAATGCATTAGACCATCAATTCACGTTTTATTATCAATTTACATTATACATTGAAACAGCTAAACATTTCACAACAACAATTAACAAAACGAGCTCCATACATTCAAAGACATAATGGCCTTTCAGCTTCTTTATCTTTTATCTTTATAGAATAGCAAAATGAAAAGCAGGAAAGGTAATCACTGTTAATTTGCTTTTCTTATCGACCAGACTTTTATAAAGCTTCTCAGTATGAAATCAACCGAAATAACCTCCCTAACTATATAACTTACTGTTGGGTAAGAGTTTAACTAGAACCGAAGACATATAACCTCCTGGTTTCTTTAATTTTCCCTTTATTGTTTGTGCTTAGTGTTTTATTAACTATCAGCAATTGTGTTTCAAAAAATAAAATAAAATAAAATAACTATCAGCAATTATATTGGTCATTTTGAAACCTTAGAAATTAGAATGCAAGTGAAGATAACATTTCTTAACTAACCAAGAATGTGTTAGACGTAGCAAACCCTTTCACAAAAAAAAAGAAAAAAAAAAAGAATGTGTTATACTTGCATGTGGACGTAGTTAGACATACATCTATTGTCATTTTTATAAGAAAACTTATAAGATTGATTGTCTACATATTCATTCAAGTGTTAGAATTAGAAGACAAACCTCCACATCCCATATAAATGTGTGTTACTGAAATCGAATAAATGATCAAAGCAGAGCAGGGAATAAGAAGAAGATGTGATTGGTCATGACCTCATGGGCTATGAACAAAATAGCAAGGACAACTTTTGGGAGCACTCAGAATAATTTTGTGGATAAAGTAAAACTCAATAGAAAAACTATAATGATATTTACATTTAAGATAACAAAAAAATATGATATTTATTTCCATGTTTTCCAGAAAAAAAATTTGCAATAATTATTACTGAATATAGTCTATGAAAAAAAGTGCAATTAAAAATATTGAAAATAATCATTCTATGGTCTATAAATAAGAAATGAAACCAACTCAAAACCAACAAGATACACCAAACACAAGAAGAAGAAGAAAACATATAGAAAAGACTCCTCTATTTTTCTTCTTCTCTATTTGTCATTGTGCACCATGACTATTGTTCTTCTTCCTGTGTTTCATTTGGTAGCAAAGGTCTCTGCTTCTCACTTCTTTTTAGAAACTCTTACTTCTTTCGAGTGACCCAATCCCTTTGATACAAAGAAACCCTTTCCTTGTTTTTAATATCTATTTTGTAATATATTAATGGACTCAGTTCAGTTACAACACTTTAAGATGGAGAAACCGAGAGGAATCTTGAACTTCAAAGCCCTAAGATCATTCACAAGCTTATTCAGACTCATAGAAATGATTCTTCTTCTAATCTTGATCTCCAAACTCTCTTTCCCTTCAGTGAAACTCTCCACTGACATTTTCAAGGAAGCAGCAGCGTTTCTCGTTAGCCCAAGATTTGTTTTCTTTATAGGTAACGCTATTGTAATAACTCTTTTTGCGATATCCAGACGATACAACTCGGTTCACGAGCCTATCTCAAAGACAACAGAAGCTGGAGGCAACGATCTTTACCATGAGTTTCTTCACGAGAGTGAGAAGAAGAGGCTCGAAGTTTGTGAGACGAAGAAGCCGAGTGGAGTGAAGAGGGTTAGTTTCGAGAGAAGCCAAACGCAGAAAGCGTTTGAGGCGGTTCACCCGCTTGAGAGTACATGTGGTGGGAAAGTAATGAAGAGGTATGAGTCGGAGAAGCATTTGAGGATTTGTGATTCGGACAAGAAAGTACACGTGAGAACTAAGAAAGCAGATGATAGAATGAGCAACGAACAGTTTAGGACAAAGATTGAAGCCTTCATTGCGAGACAAAAGAGGATTCAGAAGGATGAAGAGCACTTGATAGTCTAGCTCCTTTTTAGTTACTGAATGTTGTTTTTTCTTTTGGTGATAAACTTGGATGCTCTGTTTCAAAACATTCCATAACGTTGCCTTAGTAAATCTATGTATCTTAACTCTTGTAAACCTTTAAAGTTGTTTCAGTAAATAATACAAATGTTTGTTATGGGATAGTATTCATTGCAATTGTACATGGTAACCTGAGAAAAAATCACAGAATTCATTATGCCATATGTGCTTTACTTATAGTTAAAAATTTGCAATTGTACATGGTAACACTTTCACTGCGAGGTTGATAGTTTTCCATTTTCAAATTTTATTGTAACTATTAAAAATAAGATTTGTAAACTATCATTATTTTAAATATATTTTCTATTAAAATATCAGTTTTAGCAACGTTCGATTCTATACTTCTTTTTTGAAACACTAAAATATTGTGGTTGATACATCTATTTACCTATAATTCTACAAAATTCAGATATTTATTAATGTTGCTTTCATATTTGTTGTTTAGATTTGTTGAATATGTTACATGCTATCATACAACACATTTATATCGTACTATTGGCAGTTGAAAAATACACACGCTACTTTGTCAATTGCTATAATTTTTTTCTTCTAGAAAATCAGGGTCGATCATGAGGTTTTGGAGACAGGTTTTGGAGACGAAGACGAAGTAATAAAAATTTTAGTTAATTTTTTTTTTACAGATTTGGAGGTTGTTTTTTACAAATCCGGGTCTATATCAATATAAAAAAAAATCCAAAGTTTTTGAGGACTATAGCCAAATGCTTTATCCGGCTTGGTTCAAGACCGATCTAGAAAATAATTCATAGAATTCACACGAGGTAGTTCTGGACCAAAATTTATTTGTTTCCTTCTTTGAAAACAGATGAACTAGGAGTCTCAGGTAACTTGATCGAAGTGGGGCATACTGACAATGACGGTGGAACGTTACATACAGTTGATCGCAAGAGCTGAATCTTGATCACACGCTATCACCACGCCTCGAGTTTAGGTTCTGATGTGATATAGCGAACGTGGTTAGTTTACACAGTTACACTAGTCGAGAAAATCGAATATTCGTTGCACTGGTTGGTTCTTAATATGGAGATAACAGATAGAAAGTAAATAGAAAAGCATACGAACGATGTCTCCAAATGCTGGATAGCGTTGTTAAGGGTTGTGCATGAAAGGGAATAAAATACATTATAGAGGAGGGAATTGTTGGTACTATATATGTCCTCACGTCATCGATCCTGGTCTCAGTTTTATTGGGAATAGTTTAAATCCCATAACTTATTTTTATCTCCATTCAACAATAGCATATTTGCTATTGACAAGCCAACACAAGAGTATTGATTCTTTGATATTTGAACCAGCTATCAAAGAATCAACAGTTAATTATATTTTAGCACAAACTTCAAGCATATACCCAACACAAGTGTATCTTGGTCTCAGTTTTATTAGGTATATCGGACATATTATATATGCTTGAGGTTTATTTATGCTAACATATGAATTACGTAACACTTAATTCCAAGCATGTATGTGTGTGCCGACGACAACATTGGTAATTTCTGAAGAATTCTGATTTATACATGCAACTATAAAAATATATTACTACATATATTTTCTTCACGGCTATTTTGTCAATAAACAACTTTTCCTCACGGCTGCTTTGTTATTATTTCACAATTAACTTTTAACAGTAGAAAACATTATACAATCCTATGATATTTTATCTAGCTAGTGAACTCACGATGAAATGCTAATTAATGTTTTATAATGGTTTTAATTAGAATAGAAAACTGAAAGCAGAAAGATAAAATATGATTTCCATAGAGAAACTACGTCAGAAAGTATCTGACGTATAGGAACCAATATCTGGAAAGGTGTAAGAGACAAGATATGCTCGATCGGATAAGAAAAGATCGATGCAGATCTATAGTATCTAATGAGAATGACGAATACACGTGAGATCGACAGGAACCTGTAAGGAACAAATCTTATTAAATAGAAAAGTCGAAGTTTGTTTACTCTATTTTTATACGTTTTACGCATGCGATTACTAGATTATTATAAACTGCTTTCACTCTATTATGAAAAAGTAGCATAAAGTTTGGTTTTTTATCTTATTTTGTATACAAACATTGTGATTGTGAGTTATACATAGTTTTTTTTTTGTTCAACCGCGAGTTATACATGTAGAACACCATTTGAACGCAGTGCTTGTAAATATATTTTTCTTATACAAGAAATTTCAGATCGAATGTGAATTTCAATTTTGTTGTCACCATTTATATTTTAAAAATGATAAAAATGTAAAAAAAGTATCCAATAATTCAAGAAATATATGCATATATCATACACGACACGCACACGATATGACAAAGTTGAGGAAGCAGAGAATATGTGCCATATAAACGTATTGTCTATTTTTGGGTTAGCAGGAACCATTCATTAGCTGCCATTCAACATGCATAGACAAAACATCACTTCGAATCACTCCTTTAGCATAATTTATCTATTATCAGCAGAATCGACTTAAGTTCCCCTCACTAGAATTTTCTAGATATTTTGTTGGATGAAATAAATATCTTTTGGATATTTGATGTAGACTATCTAAATTAAAAGAAATTATCATTTCAACGGTTGTGAATGATCTGAAAATTTTTTGTTTGATCAAAGATCTGAAAACTATTGATACTAAATTTTGCTAAGCTAGATGCTGATAAGAGTTAAGGATTATGAAAACAAAAATGAAAATCTCACACATTTAAAAAAAAAAAAAACGTCACCCACAAGAAACACAAAACTTTATTTTTTGGCTAAACAGATAAACCAACTGCTTATCAATAATTAACTTTGTGATTAGGCCTGGATACATAACAAATCCATCTTTAACATCTTATCATCCAAACTTTCTACATCATCACAAAAAAATGATCGAATTTTAGCTAGAAAATCCAGAAGAACTCTGTTTTTGCAGGCTAAACCGCCATTTTCATATCTATTTTCTTGTGAGGATTATAGCCAATGAGGTCAAAATCAGCTGCCAAAAAAAGAATCTATGTGTTTCTTCTCTTGATTTATCTTCAAAACCTGTAAAGAGCCCAAATATAAATAAAACGAACTAAATAGTTGGAAGCTTATGCATTCATCAAAAACATGTGTCGTGCATATACAGTGGCGGAGCCAGAAATATATTGTACCATGGTCATTATATATTTAAATAAAAAAGATAAATATAATTTTGTTAATGTATTCAAACTCATAAAAATTTTCATAAAATTATTTATATTATTTAGATGTGAATTTATCCATTGATTAAGAGGTATATGAATTTTAAATAAATAACTTGTTACAAAATTAGAAATGATGTCCATGTTGATAAATACATAATGTATAATGTATAATGTATAATGTCAATTTTGCCGAAATATATAGACAAACCTTCTATAAAAAAAAATTCTATATCAGGAGAAACATGAACACCTAATGTCTCAAACCTCTTTAACCTTCATATTATGTCACTGAATGATGTAAATATGCATTAAAACAAATTTTTTTATATTTTCTAATTTTTCCCGAAATATATGGGCTAATCCCTATAGAAAAATCAAGTTTTTCGATAAATGCTATAATCATGAGTTTACGCTCCTCATTGTTGATAAATAATTAGCTAATCACATTATAACTTTTTATTAATGTATGTTAAAATTATTTTCATGGTACATGAGCATCATTTCAAATTTTTCCAACATGTAATTTATTTAAATTTCATATTTCACTTAATCAGTGGACAAACTCTCTACAAAAACTCTATCTTCTACAGAAACATGAACACATAAGGTCTCAAACCTCTTTAACATTCATAATATGTCACTGAATGATGCAAATATGCATTAAAACAAAATTTTCATATTTTCTAATTTTTCCTGAAATATGTGGGCTAACCCCTACGAAAACTCGAGTTTTTCGATAAATGCTATAATCAGAAGTTTAGGCTCCTCATTGTTGATAAATAATTACCTATTCACATTATAAATTTGTATTAATTTATGTTAAAATTATTTTCATGGTACATGGGCATCATTTCAATTTTTCGAACAGGTAATTTATTTAAATTTTATATTTTACTTAATCAGTGGACAAACCCCCTAAAAAAACTCTATCTTCTGGAGAAACATGATCACCTAAGGTCTCAAACCTCTTTAACTTTCATTCTATCTCACTGAATGATAAAAATATGCATTAAAACAAAATTTTCATATTTTCTATTTTTTCCTGAAATATGTGGGCTAACCTGTATGAAAACTCAAGTTTTTCGATAAAAGCTATAATCAGAAGTTTAGGCTCCTCATTGTTGATAAATAATTACCTAATCAAATTATAAAATTTGTATTAATGTATGTTAAAATTATTTTCATGGTACATAGACATCATTTCTAATTTTGTATTAGGTTATTTATTTAAAATTCATTTACCTCTTAATCAGTGGACAAACCCCCTACAAAAACTCTATTTTCTGAAGAAACATGAACACCTAAGGTCTCAAACCTATTTAACCTTTATATTATGTCACTGAATGATGCAAAATATGCATTAAAACAAAAAAATTATATTTTCTAAATTTCCCGAAATATGTGGGCTAACCCTTACGGAAAAATCGAGTTTTTCGATAAATTCTATAATCATGAGTTTAGGCTCCTAATTGTTGATAAATAATTACCTAATCACATTATAAATTTGTATTAATGTATGTTAAAATTATTTTCATGGTACATGGATATCCTTTCTAATTTTGTAACAGGTTATTTATTTAAAATTCATATACCTCTTAACTAGTGGACAAATCCCCTACAAAAACTTTATCATCTGGAGAAACATGAACACCTAAGGTCTCAAACCTCTTTAACCTTCATATTATGTCACTGAATGATGTAAATATGCATTAAAACAAATTTTTTTATATTTTCTAATTTTTCCCGAAATATATGGGCTAATTCCTATAGAAAAATCAAGTTTTTCGATAAATGCTATAATCATGAGTTTACGCTCCTCATTGTTGATAAATAATTAGCTAATCACATTATAACTTTTTATTAATGTATGTTAAAATTATTTTCATGGTACATGAGCATCATTTCAAATTTTTCCAACATGTAATTTATTTAAATTTCATATTTCACTTAATCAGTGGACAAACTCTCTACAAAAACTCTATCTTCTACAGAAACATGAACACATAAGGTCTCAAACCTCTTTAACATTCATAATATGTCACTGAATGATGCAAATATGCATTAAAACAAAATTTTCATATTTTCTAATTTTTCCTGAAATATGTGGGCTAACCCCTACGAAAACTCGAGTTTTTCGATAAATGCTATAATCAGAAGTTTAGGCTCCTCATTGTTGATAAATAATTACCTATTCACATTATAAATTTGTATTAATTTATGTTAAAATTATTTTCATGGTACATGGGCATCATTTCAATTTTTCGAACAGGTAATTTATTTAAATTTTATATTTTACTTAATCAGTGGACAAACCCCCTAAAAAAACTCTATCTTCTGGAGAAACATGATCACCTAAGGTCTCAAACCTCTTTAACTTTCATTCTATCTCACTGAATGATAAAAATATGCATTAAAACAAAATTTTCATATTTTCTATTTTTTCCTGAAATATGTGGGCTAACCTGTATGAAAACTCAAGTTTTTCGATAAAAGCTATAATCAGAAGTTTAGGCTCCTCATTGTTGATAAATAATTACCTAATCAAATTATAAAATTTGTATTAATGTATGTTAAAATTATTTTCATGGTACATAGACATCATTTCTAATTTTGTATTAGGTTATTTATTTAAAATTCATTTACCTCTTAATCAGTGGACAAACCCCCTACAAAAACTCTATTTTCTGGAGAAACATGAACACCTAAGGTCTCAAACCTATTTAACATTTATATTATGTCACTGAATGATGCAAAATATGCATTAAAACAAAAATTTTATATTTTCTAAATTTCCCGAAATATGTGGGCTAACCCTTACGGAAAAATCGAGTTTTTCGATAAATTCTATAATCATGAGTTTAGGCTCCTAATTGTTGATAAATAATTACCTAATCACATTATAAATTTGTATTAATGTATGTTAAAATTATTTTCATGGTACATGGATATCCTTTCTAATTTTGTAACAGGTTATTTATTTAAAATTCATATACCTCTTAACTAGTGGACAAATCCCCTACAAAAACTTTATCATCTGGAGAAACATGAACACCTAAGGTCTCAAACCTCTTTAACCTTCATATTATGTCACTGAATGATGTAAATATGCATTAAAACAAAAAATTTATATTTTCTAATTTTTTCCGAAATACGTGGGTTAACCCCTATGAAAAATCGAGTTTTTCGATAAATGCTATAATCAGAAGTTTAGGCTACTCATTGTTGATAAATAATTACCTAATCATATTGTAAATTTGTATTAATGTATGTTAAAATTATTTTCATGGTACATGGACATCATTTCTAATTTTGTAACAAATTATTTATTTAAAATTCATATACCTCTTATGTGGGATACCCTATGATATTAAATGATGTCCATGTCTAGAAAATGACTTTAATTTAATAAAGATATTTAAATCTGAAACCCAAGTTCTTAGGAAAAGATACTAAATAAATAATATTTTTAGCTAAAATCAATACAGATCAATTTTGCTATAAGTTTATACTTGAACCTTGTACATGATTTCATTCCGCAGTTAATAAGAGCAGTACACAATAAATATTTGGTAGATACATAGAAACTAGATGTCTTTAATTATTAGCTTTTCCTTTTTTGAGATGAAACAATAAAGAAAAAAAGAGTTATTTTTTTAAGAAATAAGAAGTTAAGAAAGGACATGGATCAAACACAAGTTTATTAGGGGGTCACTTATAGAAAATTGCTATAGTTAATGAAGAAAATAAAAATCTCACCGGCGTCAACTAACCCCCTATGCTTGTAATAGATCCGGCTATGTGCATATATACTCACAGAAAAAGGTTTTGGTGGGTTCTCAAGTTTCTCTTGTAGAGGCCTAACATGGTTCTTGTAAACATGAGCATCTCCAATCACATGTACAAAATCACCAGTAACAAGATCCACATAATATCAACAAAACATCAATAGATAACGGATTCAAAAGTGTGAGATATCAAACTAAGTCCTACATTGGAGAATTAGATAAGAAGAGTCTAATATGTAAAGAGATATCCAATTCTATTAATACGAGGCCTTTTGGGAAGAAAACCAAAATTAAATCTATGCAGGTCAGTTTTTAAGGTCCAAAGTGGACAATATCGTATTAATATGAGAATATAAAGTTGAACATGGGCTTTAACAAACCCAACAATTGGTATCAGAACGGTTGATGAGAAATCTGCAAGAAGACCAAAATACCCTTCGAGAGATGAGTGGGTATCCTATGAGTTAGGAATGAGAGGTCTGTGGCAGAAATCAAGTCAGCAGATCTTGGAAATCAGTTGTGGGATACGAAGAAAAATGTGATATTTAGTTTGAGGAGGAGAATATGAGATATCAAACTAAGTCCTACATTGGAGAATTAGACAGTAAGAATCTAATATATAAAGAGATGTCAAACTTTGTTAGTGCGAGACCTTTTGGGAAGGAAACCAAAAGTAAATCCATGTGGATCAGTCTTTAAAACCTAAAATGAACAATATCGTACTAATATGTTGGACATGGACTTTAACAAACCTAACAAAAAGAACAGAAACCTTCTTAGGAAGAACAGAAGAAAACTTCTTCCAATCAAGGGCCTTTGACTCATCACCACTCTTCACACGAACATAAGTAATGAACAAAAACCGAACTCCATTTTCACATACCTGAGAAGATGAACACCAAGGCTGATATGAAGAAGCATCAACCTCTGGAATAAATATATCACAGTCAATACTTGTATCAATCTCAGTTAAGTGAATAGCTTCACATCTCGGCCAAAACAAAAAGACTGAGATTGCCTAACCTTGAGACGTGGTAGCAGATTCAAGGCACCGTGTGAAACGCCGCGTATTGGTCGCTCAAAGCTCTCGGAGAAGAGGATATAAACGGCGGGAGACGAGAGGGCTGGTCGCTAACTCGTTCGTTACAAACTTACAAATCAATATATGGGCCTAACTGCAGGCTATAGTAGGCCCAATGTATTATTTTCTCGGCCCGTCTATTTCTAACTTCAGAACAGTACCAGGATTATTATTACTAACTGTTTATATGGATGAACATGGATAAACGATACGATATTAAGTTTTCAAAGAATAATGTTTAATTTTATAATAGATTGTTTGTCATATGTAGCACTTATCATTATTAGATCGAATGTTTGACATGTTGTAAAGTAAACGGTATAGACCAGTTTTCTCTAAACTTATAATTGTTAATGTCTTAATGATCAATTTAATACAAAAAACAATTATGTCTCTAACTAAACTAAGCACCGTCTATTTCTGCCACTATTTCTTTTAAAGAATATTCTTTGTTATTTGTAAATAATTTATAGAAGAAAAGAACTTTCTTGTTTGGTGTTCCTATCAGTATTGTTTCACATTTTGGGCATGTATTCAATTTGGTAGCTAATCTTACAAGTCACAAGTATACAACTATTGAAATAAAATAAACAATATCGTTCTTTGGTTGACATCATGATTTTTTAATATCGACGAAATGTTCAAGTAGTCTATGTCAGAAGAAAAAATGTTCAAGTAGTGGACTGCACTTCGCCTAGTACAAAGGCATGCTTTTGTCTCTTTTATTTATTTAGTTATAAGCGATTGGTTGCTCATTAGTTTATAACTATTATTTTTTGTTTAAAAGAAATTGGGTTCTTATAGATATAATTCCAAAAAAAAAACTAGGATGCTAAGGTCATGTCCAGTGCCGTCTCTAAGTTTTGAGTGGTCTTAACCATATTTGAGAATATATGGCCTTCTATATAAATTAAAGATGATAAATATAACATTAAAACAGTAGTATAATATGTTTTAAATTATTAAAAAGGTTAAAACCATTGTTTGTGGAGACTAAAAACATATTTATCAAGTAATGACGTCCAAGTTTTTTAAGTTTGCCAGTAAAGAGAACCTTCCACGAGGATATATATGTTGATTAAAGGTCAAACTAAATCAAGCACTAACCAAATTAATATTTTGTAAAATGTTACCATTTAGTTTGAGATGTATTTTGTGATTTGAATCAAGTTTTTTCATATGCCTTATAAAATGGACGGGTCTACCAATGTCAATATATAGGTTGATAGAATCAAAAATCCAGAACCAAGAGTTGTCTACATGCTATGAAGTAGTTTCAAATGAGCCTCTCCATTATGTTTAACCTCCTTTACCTCTCCCCAAACACTCATCTGCAATAAGGTAAAAGGTAAAAACTCTCTCAATACATCTATTTAGCTTTCTCATATATCTCATGTATCCTAAACACACATTGTCGTTATAAATTATAACTCATTTTGATTCTTTAGATTCATCTCACAGTTCTCATATAATTTAATCTCAACCTCTTTTTATGATGTTATTGACAATATTTTCTTGGTAGGTATCCAGTTGCCGTGTGAAATAGAGTGCTTTCGAATTTTATCTAACCATGGCTGAGATCAGACCTGGTTAGTCCTAGTTTCAATAATTGCTTTAATTCATGTAACTTTTTCTTAAGACTAATGCAAATTGAATATGTTAGTATCAGAAATAGAGATAGTGGAGGAGGAGAGGAAGATTGTGAAGATGTCTTCGCTGAAGAAGAAAGCGTTAAGCGCATCGAACAGATTCAAGAACTCTATCAAGAAAAAGGGTCGAAGAAGTAGAGTTATGTCCGTACCGATTGAGAACGACATCGACGCACAAGACCTTCACTCTATTGATGTTTTTCGTCAAGCTCTTGTCCTTGAAGAGCTCTTGCCCGACAAACTCGATGATCTACATATGATGCTTCGGTATATATTAATCTTTTTCATTACCATTCACCCTCCCTTAATTTCTTACCGTAATCATGACAGTAATTGCGTGAGACCGACCATTCTTAAAGCGTATTATTGCATTCGAGACTTGAGTATTATAAATATCCTATCATATGACAAAGGTTAGATCGCCATTTTATTATTTTCGGGAAAATGTTTAAGTGTAAAGAAAAGACATGATGTTTAGCTATAAAATCAATTACTCATTCATTAGCATGCGCAGATAAAAAAAATTCAAATTTTTATATCGAATATAACACAGGTTTCTGAGGGCAAGAAAGTTTGACAATGAAAAAGCTAAGCAAATGTGGAAAGACATGATTCAATGGAGGAAAGATTTCGGTGCTGACACAATCATCGAGGTGAATCTATTTGCAAAAATCTGGGAGCATTTTTGACCTAACTCTCATCTCATGTTTTTTGTTTGGTTTTATTGGTTAACAAAAAAAGTTCTTTTTAGCAAAAAAAAAAAAAGGTTTTAATAATGTATGTATCTAATTATGATGAAGGATTTTGAGTTCAATGAGATTGATGATGTAATGAAGCATTACCCTCAAGGCTATCATGGAGTAGACAAGGAAGGCAGACCGGTTTACATTGAGAGATTAGGTCAAATTGATGCTAACAAGCTACTTCAAGTGACAACAATGGACCGTTACGTGAAATATCATGTCAAAGAGTTCGAGAAGACTTTCAACTTCAAGTTCCCTGCTTGTTCTGTCGCTGCAAATAAGCACATTGATCAGAGCACAACTATTCTTGACGTCCAAGGCGTGGTATGTATACAATAAAACTATGATTCATCATGTCTTTGAATACAAAAAAGGGTAAATTTTCTGATTGTCTAAAACTATGTGTGCGTTGTTCTGTGTAATTAGGGGCTTAAGAATTTCAGCAAATCTGCAAGAGAGCTTCTTCAAAGGCTTCTCAAGATTGACAATGACAATTATCCTGAGGTATATATAGTTTGATCTCAGTCATTAGGTTATGTTAATATGTTTATATATGATGTGATTGTGAAAAAACAAATACAAAGGGGGTTTCACACTTTTAACACAAAAGAAAAAAAGAGGTGTTTCACATTTTAAAACCTAAAATATTTTTGCAAACCTTCCTTTTTGCGTTAACATTTTTTTTTTGCTGGTAAAATCCTACAATGTTTTTTTTTTAATTAGATAATGTAAACACAAAAATAAACGTTCAAATTAAGGTTTTAAAAATTCTTGAGTTCCGGATTTTATTGTAGACGTTGAACCGGATGTTCATCATCAATGCGGGTTCAGGGTTCCGCCTCTTGTGGAGCACAGTTAAGTCGTTTCTTGATCCCAAGACCACGGCAAAGATACATGTTCTTGGGAACAAATATCATAGCAAATTGCTTGAAGTCATCGATGCTAGGTAACACACGTCTATGGAATGATTAAAACATAAGTTTCCTTAGCTATCAAAACATGCATATTTATTAGATTTTTTTTGTATTGTAAATAGTGAGTTACCAGAGTTCTTTGGAGGCGCTTGCACTTGTGAAGACAAAGGAGGTTGTATGCGCTCTGACAAAGGTCCATGGAATGATCCTGAGGTCCTCAAGGTAATTACAAATTCACATATATATTTTACTTAGTTAAAAACTAAAATTTATTTAATTTAGTTCTTGTATTGAATCTGATAAATACAACATATTTTAAAATGGAAACAGATGGCTATAAACCGAGAAGCGAAGTGCGCACCAATCTCGGAAGATGAACACGAGCATGTTGGCCAAGGAAGATCAATTTCAGTTCGTAAAGTAAGCTAAAGACGAACAATACATTTTAAAGCAGCTAATTAGTACTCTAGGGTGAGCTTGTACTGAAATTATTCATTAACTCCGCAGAGTGTTGAGAGAAACAATAAGAAAAAGAATGAAGCCAATGCACAGGAGAAGCAAATTACAACCATTGACAAGTCCATGGATATGGCAGGGCATGCCAAAAATCAGAAAGCCGAAAATGAACTTATCTCTAAAGGTATAGTATATATATATATATATATATATGTTCTCATATTTAGCGCAAATTTTTTTTAAAAAAACATGTTTTTTCTGCATGCACTTAATTAAAGTTTATGTAGGGTTAGAGAGTTACGTGAGGAAGGGGCCACCGAAGAAAGTGGGTGGATCACTTGTGGGAGGGGTCATGGCCTTTGTGATGGGAATCGTTGCAATGGTTAGGCTATCAAAAGACGCTCCACGCAAAATCACCGAGGCTGCTATATATGGAAACTCAGTTTGTTATGAAGAATCTAGGTCCAGGAAAACTAAAGTTCAATTTGCAACACCAGTCTCTAGCTCTGAGTATATGTTGATGATGAAACGTATGGCTGAGCTGGAAGAAAAGTGCAAGCTCCTTGATTTGAAACCTACTAATATCGAATCAGAAAAGGAGGAGAAACTTCAGGCCGCGCTTAACCGTGTTCAAGTGCTTGAGCAACAGTTGACTCAGACACAGAAGGTAAGACAAAATCTTAGCTACCAATAATGTCCCTGATAATAATAGAGATAGATATGTTAATACGGGTTTACTTGTAATTACCTATTATAATTACCCCTAGCTAGAATTATATACGTTAATAAGGGTGTACTTGTATTTGATTAACCTTTTAGAGTATGTATACAGTCTAGCTAGCTAGGGTAATTAGAAGAGGTTTTATTACATATAATTCCTATAACAATAACCAAATCAACATATTAGTCAGTATAGTGACTTAAGTTTGGTTCTTCTTTTTGGTTTAGGCTTTAGAGGAAGCTGTTGTGAGCCAGAGGGAGATTTTGGCATACATTGACAAAAAGAAGAAGAAGAAGATGAAGAAGAAGAAGCTGGTAAGGACAAAAATTCATAAACATATATAATTTAACATCCCACATCATTGTTTCTATTCATAATAATATTGTATTACATTTTTCAGTTTTTGGGGTTCTAAATGTGCAAAAATTAAGAAGATGAGATCACACAAGAAGAGGCTGGATCAGAGAGAGTTTGTTTGTGTTTTCAAATGAGGAACATATTCATCTAAAAAGCAACTGAGTTGAACATTTATTTGAAGTGAGAACTGTTTGTGCTTTTTGCCTGTGGCATCGTTTGTGTGTGTTTTATTAATTTCGTATTTGTGATTTTTGTGGACGTCATTACAGGACAATCTACGTTTGATTGTATTTGTATTATAATAGCCGCCTGTAACATAGTAGTCCCAGCAATCTCTATAATATTATTTGAGAAGTCAGTTTTCTACGTGTCCCGCTCACATTAATTCTCGCGATGGTTGATTACATAGATACCCTTAATGAAATTGTTAGATTTTAAGATTATTATTAAATTTTTTTGTAATTTCTTTTTTACATTTTTCCAAATAACATATATAATAAAAAGGAAATATTTCTAAAATTTTTAAATAAATTTAAAAACGAAATTTTATTTATATAACATGACTTTATTAAAAAGGAAAGTTTACAAAATAAATTTTATCTAAGAATATATTTACATATCTAAGACAATAACGAACCGAAATGAAATAAGAAAATTAATCAAAGTTTTATTCTATTTAGAATAAAAATATTATAGCTGAACTCGAAAAATAGATATATACCAAATTGATATATAAACCGACTATTAATCCACAAAATAATTAAATCAAAAATAATATATCCAAAGTCATATGTACAGTTAGAATAATATAATATATTAATATAAACTGATTCAAAACTAAAACTAAATATCAATTAATTATTATAAAATTTTACTTTTATGAATGTTCATACTTGTGCATGAGCACGGTAAAATCACCTAGTTATATATATTTGAGTGCGATGGATCTTTGGATTGTAGGGTTGGTTGTTTGGTCATGTGATTACAAAAGATAGAACACAGATTTGATTTTTGTGTTCCTTTTTTGCCTTTGCCTTCATCACTTCCTTTGGTCCTCTCTCTTTCGTTGTCCCCACTTAAAGATTATATGTACCCTTCATGATATTTACTGATCATATTTTTCTTACAACAGTATACTTTTTCCTTAATTATATTAAAGAAAGCACCATGTCCATCGATATAATTAGATATCTAGAACTAATTTTGTTGCCAAACCAACTTGGTTTCTAGCGATAACAATGAAAGGAGAGTGTCGATTAGATATACCAACCAAATCAATCAATGGATGTTCAACTAACTTAGCCCCCTCTATCCTTTTGGAACTAATTTAGCTCTCTATCTCCAAACTCTATACGTGAATTATTGGAGATAGTAATTGTTAAAGATACTGAAATTCAAAGGAGTTGAAACACAGAAGATCACATGAACGCTTCAGACCATTTGTTAGTTCCAAAAGCCAGAAGATGTTCTACTACTATCGTCAGTAGCCACTGTAAAAATAATAATTGTACTTTGGGAGTAAAATATTCAAACTAAACGTAAATCAAAATTGTAATCCAGTGAACCGTGAGCGTGTAATAAATGGACACACATGTACTTGCTCATATACTTTTTGAGGATTTTGGAGAGACGTTTGTCAAAATTGGGGTGACATCATTATCAAGGATAGAAAGTATCAATTATTAGTTACCTTGTAGTTTCAAAATCTAAACCTAATTTTTTAGGTATCCCATGATTCTATCTATGATGTGTAGTTTTTTTTTGAGATTTTCATTTTTTTACTGGAATTCAAACATTGTAAATAGTTATTTCTAAGGCAATAATTTGGGTAGCAGAAAATACAGTCATAACCCTTTTACCATTAAAACTGATTCGTTCTAGTTTTTTTTTAGATTTGACTCTATGTTCACTGTTAAAAAGCATGTAGAGTGAATGGGTTTGGTGAAATTCATGCAACATCGGTTCTGGGAAAGGGCTAGATCACTGGACCTACTTTCCATAGTATTATTCTTTTTAAGTATAGTAATGGTAATGGTTTGATCGTAAATTGTTTTTTTTTGTTAGAAATTTTACAAGTACTATACTAATTTTGTAAAGGTAAATCTATCATTTATGATTAAGTCGGTGGTAATACATTAATTATCATAAACTGTACATGTACTTTACTCATTTTAAGCATAATGTTATTCTCCAACACAAAATAGTTGATTTCACGTTAACCTGCCATCCTTCAAAACGTACTATAAGCATATGAATAAATAATTAATAGTGGTTTTTCTTTAAACTTGAGATTAAGAAAATGGAACAGCTGTGTTGAGTCTGGAGACTTCTCTTCCAAGCTCACATGTCCCTCTCACTTTTTCTCTTCTTCTGCTGCCTACTTTTACACATGTTCTTCTCAGTTTTACTCTAAGCATAGATTCCTTTGTGTTTATAATATCTTTTTAGAAAAAAAAATATTTCATTCTTTCATTTGTTTATTTTACATCTGTGCGTTTCTATTTAATTCAGTGTTGGTGTGTTTAATTTTTAAGTAGATGGTTCATAGATTTTCCAGACAGATTCTGGCTTTAATGCATGGGTTTAGAAAAGAAGAAATAAAATAGTACATTCTACGAATTTATTATTTTCCTTTTCTTTTTGTCGTTACATGAATATGTGGTTTACTTAAGAAAATTCAACAAATAAATAAGTTGACCAAAAAAAAAAAAGCTCTTTACCTCAACTCAATTTTGTAGGAATACAAAAAGAAAAAATGAAAACAAAGAGTAGTTTACATCTGCATTAATATTCTTTGAAAAGAATCTGTAATTTGTTTTCTTTCATACTAAGAAATTGCAGTTCCTGTTAAACCAAAGTGTAAATAGCTCATACAAAAAGGCAAATTTAACTATTCTAGCTTTTTGGGTGAGCTTTACTGTCACTGAAATATCTACAACTACAGTTTATATTTCTTGTAATAATATTGATTTTGTTTTCTAAAGCTTGAATAAAATTTAAATTTGAAAGTGTAAAAATTTCATTGATACCAAGGTTAGAGGTCTAACCATCTTTTATATACTATCATGTAAGATTTCGGTTAGTAAAATTCATTGAAAAAATTAACTGTCATAATTTTGGATTTGAGTTAACACATAATTAATTCTAGTATTTATATCATTGGTGAAGTTTAATAGCTTCATATGTATATATTCTATATTTTTATTTATTTAATATTTTTATTTTCACAATCATCGAATTAGATAAGTTGGCAAAGGAAGGAAATGCATTTTATTTGAAATATCAATCTGTGAGTTTTCTTATTAACCTAGTCAATTAAATTGCAACTAGATAGCTGGCCTGCATGCAGGTATATCTAAAAAAGAAGAAGATAAATCCTAGATGGTACTCAAGCAAAAAATAGATTCAAATTTATTTTTATTTTTTTTGAATATGTCATCATTTTTGGAATCGAAATATATGCATGGTTCGTAATATCTACTTAATTAATCCATCATTTTATAAAATTAACTTTCTAATTTTCTTTGTCCAAAATTAACTTTCTAATTAATCCATCATTAGATAAAATCATGGTTCATAAAAGAACTTCCGAAATATTTTGTAACTTTCTAACGTAACACAACACGTCAATCAGTTTTTTTTTTTTTTTATTGTTGCTGAACCTTTTGTTTAAGTTTCTCCCAATTTCTCTTTTAATAAAGTAAAGATTAAATTATAAAGTGTTTTTTTCTCTGTAAATAACTAAATATTGCCGACTTATGTAGATACTCCTTTATCAGCCTTTAGTCAAAAAGGTTATAAGAAAAAAAAAACTAAAATAAATAAAGAATCTTTAACCCTCCAATAAAATACAAACACATATACCGCTTCTCGTCAAGTTGCACAAACACTCAAAAACGCTTTTCTCGAATTTTCTTCTATAAATTCATTCTCATAAACCATACACATTCCCCCTTCCCTTCTTCTTCTTCTCTTGTTTTCATTTTTCTTTAAATCATTCATTATAAGTTTGACAAAAAAAAAATCATTCATTATAAAAGATCTCAGCTCTTGTGAGAATAATCTTTAAAAAAATTTAGACAAAACATTGATGCTTAATCAGCAGTTCTTGGTCTTCGAGACACATGTCTCCGATTATACTCAGTGAGATCTTCCTCTCTGGGTTTATGTTAAACTCTACAATCAGGCGCAGGACCCATCTCGTTCAATCTTTCTCTGTTGTCTTCCTTTACTGGCTTTACTACGTCTCATAGTTTCTCAAACTCTCCAACTTTAATTTTTCCATATATATATTATATACTCTTATAATTAAATCAAAACCCTAGTTTCATAAAAATAACTTTCTTTTCTTGGTCCTGTCCTGTTCTTGACTTTCCCTTACAATAAAACCCATTTTTAGTATTATCTCTCTTCTCGTAAAAAACTTCTTTGTTTGCGTGTGTGTGTGTTTTGCTGAATGGACTCATCGTCGTCTGGAACAACTTCATCGACGATTCAAACGTCGTCAGGACCTGAGGAGAGTCTCATGGAGCAGAGGAAACGGAAGAGAATGCTCTCGAACCGTGAATCAGCGAGGAGGTCAAGAATGAAGAAACAGAAGCTTCTTGACGATCTAACGGCTCAGGTTAATCAGCTTAAAAAAGAAAACAACGAGATCGTGACAAGTGTCAGCATCACAACACAACATTACTTGACCGTGGAAGCAGAGAACTCTGTCCTCAGAGCTCAGCTTGATGAACTCAGCCACAGGCTTGACTCTCTAAACGACATCATCGGATTCCTAGACAATACAGACAATGGGATCTCTTCGAACGTTCTGTCGTCTGGTCCAGAGTCTGATGATTTCCTCGTGAATCATATTAATATGAACATGTTTTATATGAACCAGCCCCTCATGGCATCTTCTGATGCGTTACTGTATTAGACATGTGGACCTAAAAACCTCGAAATTACAAAATGGGGTCAGTTTTTTTGTCTGATTTCAAGATATGTCCAAAGAGCAAGAGAGAGAGAGATATGTATAAATGGGTATGTTGTTTTCCATTTCATTTTCTTTTTGTAGTTTGTTCCGTCTTTGGCGCTATGTAGTAAAAGCATTGTTATGAGTGTTTTGTTTGTAATAAAAGCTCTGTTGCCGCATGACTACAAAGTGCTTTTAATAATATCTCAAGTAGCCCTATTTTTATATACTAGGATTAGTACTATATACTGGTTCATGGAGCGTTAACAGTAATTGACTTGAAACTTTCATCATTTAAAGTAAATAAAGATTTTAGCGAGTATAGACCAGAATACCATACACTCTGTATCAGAGGCGGTCCTTGGCATAAGCCAAGGAAGCAGTCACTTGTGGCCATTTTGTTAAAAAGAAATATCAGCCATATATTTCCAATAGTTTCCTTTAGTCTAATGGTTAGATCTCAAGGTGACAAACCTTCTCTACCCAACCTGGTTTGAATTCCAAAAAAAAAGAGAATTTTAAAAATTTGTTTCTGATCTTAGATTTTTTAGGACCGACGCTGTATATTATATAATCTTGCCAAACTATCATATTTGAATTTAAGTTATGAAACATGCAGCAGGGCTCTTAGTACAGATCACTATGCATGCTATAAGCCTTGGTAACATATTTTATATTATACATGTAACATGTCATGTCTATTAAAAAAAGAAAGAAACGTTATTTAACTTGTTTTCTTTGTAATTGAACAACATTTATTTAACAAAAAGTCACACGATCATTTACCTAACTACAATCTCAAAATTTCACAAAAGGTATTTAATCTTCAAAAAGCGTCGATATCTCCATGATATCAACGCCATCCTATAATTTGGATGTATTCATAAGAAGAATAACAAATCTGTTACGTCTAGCTAGCTAGTTAGACGAATTAAGGATTGTTTTTTTTATCGAACGAATTAAGGACTGTTAGGTTTATGTTTTCTGTGGATTATATATAATAATATTTTTAGTGGTCGTGTCGAATTGGTGAAAGATATTTTTAAAAATAATCAGTGCAAAAACAAAAAGAAAACATAGAATAAATGTAATGTATGGAGATCACTCAAATGAAAGGGTTATGGTAACGCTGTATCTGCATATTCTTGTAATGTATTTTTTAACATTTTAATGAATTTGGGAGGTTTTGAAGTGTACTACCACTAGACTAATACGTGAAATCTTAGCATCTTGATTTATTTATTTTACTTTTACACATCTCTTTTTTTTTAACTTATTTTTCGTATCTCGATTGTTGTCTGACTTTTTAATTTCAAAGTTCGATATATTTTTTTTTTGTCAAATCAAAGTTCGATATATTTGTATATCATCAATAGAGCATACACCAGTACATTCCAAAATAATGGTTATATTAAATCGTGACTCATAATGGGGAATCCTATTCTACCCTTTAGTGGCAGTTTTATACCTTTAGATGCTGCGTAGTTTGTTTTATACCATTGATCACGGATGGTTCATTCATGAATATTACAAATACATAGAAGCTTTTTATTTTCATTTTTATATAAATAAGTCTGCTATACCGGGACCTCCAATTCTGGTGGTATAGAACTCACAACTGTGAGTTTTGTCACTTTGGTTCGAGTCTGGCCAATTGTAGATGTTTTATATGGTAAAACTTTTTTGAATTTTTATGAATTTATTGTGATTAGTTTTTGGGTTTAAATAATATTTGAGATCACACCATAGTTATTAAAAAAAATTCTGCTATTTGATAATTCCCATATTTGCTACCACTATTTCCAAGTACAGATAGTATTCGTTCTTTAGTATCGTTGCATGTGTCTGAGACTCGAGGGATTAAAAATGGCATCTTATGTTGTTTGATCTAGTCTCTTAATAACATAGAGAAGTAATGTAAATTGATTGCTTAGTTTTAAATTATAGTATTCAAACACAACAACTAGATTCTTGGTTCATCTTCATTTCTGTATGATAAGAAAAACTTGAATGAAAAAAAAAACTGTTGATGCTTAATTGGAAAAACCTTTAGACTACATTTCTAGAACGATGAATACAAAATGAACATTATGCGACGGTAAAATTGTAAACAAATTAGAAAAAATAACGCATGTTGTAGACAGCTAGCATTAGTTTTCTTGTATTTTAAATACAAGGATATGTTATTTAAGTTCATAAATAGTATGTTATTAACCTTATAATAGCGGTTATTACAGAACTATAAAACATAATAATTAAGAAGCCGTAATCAATTATGAGAAATTTGCCATGTGCAGGGAACAATACTTGCCGGTATTTGACCTAAACACATGATGATTTAGCGACTTTAATAGTATAGATCCCCTAATTAAGTGTTTTATAGTTAACATTCGTTCTCATAGATCTATCTGAACAAACATAACTGATTATTCTTAAAATTTGAATGATCTATAACCAATTGGTTTATGCATACAATATTTACCATGCTATACATCTGACAAATACGATCTAAGGTACTTTTGATTATATGTTGTAAATATATAATGTCTCCATCATTTTGTGGACTTAAGTCACTGTCAAAAAGAGTCCTTAATCAATTTTGAGTTGCCTACTTCTTAACTAAAATTTCATCTCGTCATCTTATCGTTTTCCATTGATTGACATCTTAGCTATTGCACGCAACACATCTCTCCACTTGTAAATTATTGTCTACTACACTATAAACTTGATTGCAAATCCTAAAAAAATGGAAATTGAATCAGGTCTTCGAGAGAGTGGGTACGTTTGAGAAAAACATAGGAGCCAAAAGACGCTGTTGACGCGTGGGTTGAACTTCAAAAATAGCGGCATTTTGGTAACATAGATTGTGGGTTGGCTTAAGCCTAATTAAACTCGATTTATTACTCTATATATAATCCCACAAAGGCATTTGACGAAAGCTCCATAGTCCTCTTTACTTAAAGTTAAAGCCCTAGCATGTTGGAGCTTCTTTTCTATTATTTACAAATCTTTTGTTCGAGGGGCCAAATTATAATTTGTCATACAGCTTCATTTTGATATACATTTACAGTAACATACACCCAGTGATTTACATGAATGCCTCCGGATGTTCTTGAAGATTCGGTCAAGTTAAAAGATATATGTTTTGATTAGAATAAGAACAAAATAAAGAAAGAAGAGCTTTAGCAGTACCACCAAAATAAAGTGGTGATTAGAAACGTTTCTAGGCTAGTTTGTTATATGATAATATTTTGTCCGCGGGTGTCATATATTTGCTATTCCCATCCTACGTAACATGCAAAGGTATTTAAGGTTGTCCAAATCATAATTTGAGTCGCCTATATCATGAAGAAAAGTGTTTTACCTTGATGGATGAATACAAACAAACGGAATATTGAAAACACTCTGAATATCATATCACATTCGTAACATGATGTGCCGTAACTTCGTATTATTCTGAAAAGAAATACAGAGATTATCAAAAAGCAAATTTCTCATGATTGAAACTGGGGTCAATTGATTAAAGAGGACTAATCAAATTTGGGAAAGTCGCTTAAAGATATTAAAGCAAAAAATAAATAAACAAATTCTAACGTGTCATGTTCTTGATGAATTAATTAAGATTTTTTTTTTTTTTTTTTGTAATGCTGATGCAGAAATATAATGTATATTAGCATTGTTTATGAATCAAACCTTATATCCATTATTATACATTTTACTATTTTAAACTAAAGCATTTTAATTAATATTCATATAAAATATCATTCCACTTATTTTTATACAAAAAAGTAAAATTATTGTTAATTTACTTTAGTTAATATATTCGTAACTGGATATATATTTTGGTAAAGAAAGGATTTGAACTCAACGTAATTGACTATTTGTGTAGCATATACTATATAGACAAATAATTTTTAAAACATTTATTTGCGTTATATACATATATATGAAATAAACAGCCGTACCATGGGACCAGAGGCAACAGTATTTTTAAAAGCCTCCAGAAATAAAAGACTACGAGCCAATAACAGGAAGAAGTCGGTGCTTTTTTATAAAGGTTCAAAGAGAATAAAGGGAGATGGCTAGACTTGGGCAAACAAATGCAATTATTTTATAGTTTATATGAATATTTACTTTTACAAATCTGATGTTGGAAACATCGATGACGAAATAGTGCATAGCATGCATTAGTTAATCGAGAAAAAGAAAACAATAAGCAAAAGATGAGACATGGCTTATAAAATATTGAAATAATGTATACAGATTACTATATGGTGCCATATGGGTAGTAGTTGGCAAATAGAACTATAATTTTTTTTTGTTTCTTCATATTCTTTATTTGTGACATCATAATGTGGATACCACTATTTTAGGCGGCCTACATACAATACTTTTTCGCCAAAGCTTAAAATAGCGCAAAATAATGCTTATAAGTTATAACCAATTAATTGCATCTGCATCAATATTCTAAACATCAAATATATAACAAAAGTCACTTTAATAATAATCTAAATTTACATTACATATAGAACGATGAATAGTATTGCTCCAAATATAAAATAATACTGTTCATTAACTCTATTTTAAAAATAAAATTTTATTTTCATAAAATAACTCAAATTTATGTTTTCATTTCAACCAAATAGAATTATATAGTATAATTTTCACATTTAAATATTATCTTTAGTATATCTCATTTTTTAGGTGTTGTAATAATATATTTTGTTATAAAATAAAATGATAATTTTTTTATATTTTTAAAACTATGACTTGTATAATAAATAAATAAATAAAAATACATTTGAAATGTTCGATTTAGAATAGAAAATAGAAATAACCATTACATCAAAACTCTCCGAAATCATTAAAATAGTCTTACAATACCAATATATATATGTATGTCTAGTTACACATATACGAACATACCGCAGCATAATTATTCTGATTTTGAAATTTCGTTATGTTGAATTTTTAAACATGTGAACTAGAAATCAAAATCTTGCAGCACTAAAATCTGTAATCACAAAAATACCACTTAAATTTCATAGCAAAAAATTATATAGCTATAACCTTGATTAATGAAACATTTAGGCACTGGCAGTGGCACATTATGTTTTCCATCATCATACAGGCATGCGTAAAGATGTTTGGGTTCAAATATTTCTTTAGAACTTAATTAGTTTTGGAAAAAAGTTGATAAGGTTTAATTAAACGCGTAGGTTCAACATTCACAGTCGTGTTATAACACTAACTTATAATTGAGGAATCAGATAGTATTTGGAAGGTTTTTAACAAACTTTGAAACTTCCTGTTTATGTTACACGTACATGGAAAAACGAATAGAACCTCAAATCTATTTTAACTTCTAGTTGGATAAACCTATAACTAAGCCTTTTGAAACTCAGAAGCTTATGAAATGTTGTAATGTGTGTGAAAGCAAAGCTAATTAATTGAAAGGCCCATTTTAATACATAAAGTAACCACAAATATTATAAAGCCTCAAATGTCAAAACATAGGCCTGAGTAATATAGCAATGCGGATCTACAATATGTTTGATTCTAATGTCCATTACACGTAGTACTAAGCCTATGAATCAATAATCTAACAATCTAGGAGCCATCATCGTTTTATTGGTTCAAATCGTATATCTTTATGTCACTACTTCCTTCTTGCTAAGATTTTAACATGTTTTTTTGGGGTCTGGGTTGTATAAGGAGCTATGTATGTCCATTGACTTTCCTTGAGTGGGATTTATGATGTGCTTTATATGATTTTGGTTTATATGAGGATTTGTGTTCACTGAACATTTGAGCTGTTCCTTGTGGAATGTGGATCAGTGCCAAAGTTAGAAACTTCTTTAATTAAAGTCAAAATCAATTAAAAATTTACATTATTTATTGACGGAAAAAAATGCACAAAATTTTCAAATAAATAATACATTATTTATAGTGCATGACATTTTAAAATATTTTAAAGAATAAATGTTTAACATAACACAAAGTTCCTAATGCTTTCATAAATCATGTTGATTAGTTAATAAAAACAGCTTGAGTGAACACTCAAACCTGTATTAACAAAAAATGATTTGATTTAAGTTATTTTATCTAATTGTAATTATAAAACATTTTAATAAATCAATAGTTTTTTTAATATATATATAAAATGAAAATCTAAACCAAGCTTCATTATTGAACATCAAGAAGGTTTACAACCTATTATTTTGGATTATGAAAACATCCCAATCCTACAAGGTATGACAACTGAGGTTGCTACAGATTATATCACCAATGCTTTAAGAGTATTAACATCACTTTTCCTCTCAATTTTTTTGTCTATGTCGCAAATATTTGTGTCTTCAGAATTCTTGATAACCATAACAGTTTTTTTGAATTTCTTCAGACAAAGACACGATGAATTCTTTACAGATGATAAATATCTTAAATACAATTTTTTTTTAAAAGTGTTGGCAAAACCATGTTATTAACTTGTAAATTTCATGGGATAGCATGTGAACGTATGTTTAGTGGCAGAGCTAGAAAACCTTTTTATTGGGATCAAAGTTTATTAAAAACTTGTATCATATATCGACGAAAGAAAGTGCACAAATTTCCTAAATGAATGATGCATCAACTATAGTGCATAGCATTTTAAAATATTTCAAAGAACAAATATTTAACATATCACAAAATCCCTAGACCTTTCGTAAATCATGTTGATTAACTAGCAAAGTTTGATTGAAGACTCAAAACTATATAATAGTTTGACACAATTAGCCTAATAATCTTGTACTATACTTTATATTTTATATGGAAATGTTAAAATATTTTGTGACAAAACAAAACCGAAATTGAGAATCGTGAGAGTACGGTCATCTTCCACAACACCATCGTCGCATCCTAGTTTAAGTGGAACCAAAAGATAGATAATACGTCGAGAATTTATCACAGTAACGAATCAGTTCATTAAAGCAAAGTTCAAACAACTTTGTTCTCTTTCCATGACCTAATCTCAATTTATCAGCTATCCATTTAGGTTATGTATTGTGTGACGAATCAGTTCATTAAAGCAAAGTTTAAACAAAACTGCTTTCTCTTTCCCCTAATCTCAATCAATAATCCATTTAAGTGTGACACTTTTCATATATATACTTACAGATTCAATTCTTGAAAGAAGATTATGACTCTTGATTGGAGATAATAATATGACCGATCTGTATATCTAGTCTTCAAGGATTCTGTATCATTATGAATTTATGAAGGTTCGGTATTTGCTAATTGAATTATGATGGTTGCTTTTCCGAAAATTAAAAAGTTAAATAATCAACCTACTAACTTCTTTAGACTTATTGTGGCCAACAACAGGAAAGTGGCCACCTTTCAACTTTTCCTCTAAACCCACCATTTTCATGAACAATTAATAATCATAACCTATAAAGCATTAAGAGATATTTGCATTAAATTAGTTGATCAATGAATCGAAAGTGTAGTGCTATTTTTATTTATATAATTAGTGCAGACTCATTAGAAACACACAAACTAATCTCTAAAGGTACGTAAAAGCTATTTTGTTTATTTAAAATCAGATTTAACTTGTAATGGTATTATTTCCTTGGAGTTTATATATAGTGACAAACCAAATGCATTGGCTTCTAGTTTTTTATAAGGTGTATCTGAATCAACAAGATATAGCTTAAGAGCACATCAAACACTCTCTTTAACTTGCTTTTTCATAGATAAGAGCTGAAGAAGATGTATTTATTACAATTGGTGAAGAAACTAGGTTTCCTTTTTCTTCTTGTTACAGCTTCAATGTTTGCTCTCTCTTCCGCAGGTTTTTTCCTTACATCTCCCTCACTTTCTATCTATCTGTCTATCTATATATATATCCTTTGGTTTCAGCTTTTCTCCGCAACGTCATGTGCCTTTTACTTGTTCAGCTTTAGAAAGTCAGATTATTACTTGTGGTACACATGCGTGTTTCTAAACACTTGATGGTTTTAGACATAGTGTGATAGCATTATTTGGAGTAATTAGTCATGGATATGAAGAACAAACAAATCTCTTCATTGTTATTTTGTAGGCCGACCATCCATGCTAATCTATAGCCAAGATGATAATCATCAGGAGGTTAGTCGTCGTTTTGATTCCTAAAAATAGTTGTAAAGCAAAATAATCTAATCATATGATTTCAATAGCTAGAATAATATATAAATTGGTGAATAAATAAAGATTTTCTATATGTGAACAGTTGGTGGAAAGAAGGGTACATGAACATGAGAGAATGCTGAAGATGAATTCAAGAGACTATGGTCAGTACAATCCTACACCAAGGCTCGGCAGGCCTCCTTCCAAGCTTATTCCCAACTAATCACACGATTCATATTACGGATCGACTATATATAGATGCAGACTTTATGAGCTGTATGATGTATATATATATAGAGAGATATACCTACTTACTAACATTGCAATAAGTTTGAATTATATGTTCCAGTTACCATAAGAAACTGATAGTATGTTATCTAGTAACAGATGTTATGGTCTTTGTTCATAGGAGTGTAAGTTTGGTGAAAGTGCATGTCACTTTATCACTACAATATATTATATATAGTTTGGTTATCATGCAATATTGTAAGTAATGGAAGATAAGGCATTAATGAGATATATTTATGTACAACTAAAAGAAACAAATCAACTATGTATTTTCAACTATTTTTTTAAAAAAGCTTCCACTAGAGTTAAAAAACAAAACTCATGATTGTGATTGTTGTAAATTTTCTTACACAAAAGAATGTTTTCTTTATACAAACTTTTAAAAATATTTTTTTTTTCTCTGACCAATCTTCCACTAGAGAATTGAGATTAATCATAACATTCACTCATGCACACCTACTCCTCTTTATTCCTCTCCATAGCTGTCTCTTTCACGCTACAAAATCATGTACCAATTGTGAAGAACCTATCCGGTTCTGGCGACTCTCTTGGTTTACATACTCCATCTCAGCTCCAGGGATGACATTTTCATAAACACCGACCCCGGGAAAGCTGTTGTACGCCTCACTAGACATATCAACAGCACTACCATGTCCTTGAGAATTTTGAAGTCCAAGAGTTAAAGACACACCACCACCACCACCACCAAATCTTGAAATCTCAGCCACATGATATGTAGGCTCAACCGTCATAAACCTCCCACCATCCATCTGATAACCGCCCTGGACCATGCCACATGTTTCCACACCATAACCATGTTCATGATCCGGTTTTGTCCGGTCTTGTGGAAACTCTTGAGCTGGATCTTCATCATCAGCAACAGTAGGACGCACCTCAGATGTTTTTGGTGTATTTTCAGAGGATGAGTTGGAGTCATTCTCTGTGAACTCCTCCTTATATATTTCTTCCACCATTGGCTTCCATAAACGCACACGCGCATTTATAAACCAGTTTGAGACCTTTCACAAACATACATCAATCAATCAATAAATAAAATTATGAATAGTAAGAAACAATCTTCAAGTAAAGCAAATTAATAGTACCTGACCCCGGCTCAACCCTGTTTGTCTTGCTAGCATGATCTTGTCTGAATCCTTTGGGTATCTATACATGTTTCCACACAGTAATCAAAGTTATTTATGGAAAAAAATGTGTGTTAAGTTTTATTGATTTTCAACTCAAAACCAATTAACTATTAGTGGACTGGTCTAAGTCGCTTATATATTAATTATATCTCAATATAATCTCCGGAGCTTATATTTTTACACACACTTTAGAGATTAAGATATAAGGCTCACTAATCTCTACATAATCTCAATACTGTGGAAAAAAGATCAAGAAGATACTTACGGGTGAAGAAAATGCTCAAAGAGCCAAGCACGGAGAATCAAAACAGAGTTTTCAGGTAGACCACGTTGAGGCCTCCAAGCTTGAGGTTGCATGAGACCTCTTTGTTGTCTTAAATGTTGATCAACGTACTTAAGCCTGCTTATTGTCCCAACTCTGTTTCCATCTGAACCATCTTGCTCCCCGAGGCATTTTCGTGTCACGAGGATTTGTCCTGATATAGCATCTCTTAGGCTACGGAAATGACGTGAAATGGTTTGAAGAGCTAGTGCTGTGTATGGCTTAGCAGCTCCATAACCTGCTATTACATCGAAGGAGGACACAACTATCTGCATCTGCTGGTAATATTGCTTATATCTTCTATCCACCTTATACCAAAATCAAATACAAAAATACAAAATGATTATACACCAAATGATTCAATATTATGGATGGGTTTGTTAATTCATGCTTTTGCATTTATTTTTGACTAAACATTTTCTATAATAAATCCAGTGTTTGCATTTAATATAGGGTAAATCTCTCAAATAAACATTTTTAAAGTTTTATCAGAAAAATAGATTTCAAATATTAAAATGATCAAAATTACATTTTTTATTTTGAAAATTTTAAGTTTCTTTTTTTATTTTTTAGAATTGAAATCCTACCCCCAAAATCACACTCCTCAACTTTAAACAAAAAAGTCTAGAATTAATTAACTTAAAAGATATAAATGAATATTTACTTATTTTTGATAAAACATTTAAGTCTATTTTGACCACTTTTATTTTTAAAGTCTATATTTGTGACAAACAAAATTTTAGATCTATCCTAAGGAATTTTTCTTTAATATATTGAATTTATGAATTAATTTGAAAAAAAAAATCCTATTATAAATGCATAAGCAATGAAAAGATCTAAGCCTATCAAGTAGCTATTGTATGATCAAAGATGAGAGGTTTCATTGGCATTACCTCATCCAACATTGACAAGAGTTTTGTCAACTTGTTATGCAATTCTTGTCTCTCTGATTGAGAGATCTCAGCAGGAGGATTCATGCTTGAGCCTTGAGGGTTTTGATCTGTTTCTTGAGGGTTCTCTTTGTTCTTATCTCCCTCTGGCTGAAACTGCTTTAAAGATTTCTTTACATTAACAGCCTCATCAAGAAGCTGCTGAGCTGCCTTGAGATACTTTGAGTTTGGAACTGTTCTCACAACATCCAAGTTCGGATTACCAACAGGAAAGCTCTGTGTTGCATACTCATTGCCTCTAAAATGCTCAACTCCTTGAGACATTCTCTGATGGAGAATCTGTGAACCGAGGCTTAGGGACAATCCTTGACCGGTCTGATGAACTCTCATAGGGCCTGCCATAGCTTGACCTCTCCAAGAACCGAAGTCGTGAATGTCTTGCATTTGTGAAACTCCTCCAAATCTGGAATATACTTGCGTCTCTTGTGGGACTGAGACATTGTTAGCTTCGGTTCTTTCTCTACCGGCTACTTCCTCTGAGTAAGAAACTGTAGAGTTCATGTGGACCATTGCGTTTTCAGGAAGAAACCGAGTTTCTTGATAATTCTCCATGGAGATGTATCAATGGAGTGGTTTTTCTTGGATCAGTTGAGTTTCATAGTCCTTTGTCCTGTGATCAGGTCATAGATGCAGCAATGTGGAAGCTTCAGATCAAACACAAACTTGAGCTTTTCATCGTTTATGAACGGATCCTTCAATATTTTTCCATCTTGTTACAAGAAGTTAACTAATAGAGGAACTGTCTGAATTAAAGACAGATTAAAAATTAGTTGAAACAGAGAGGATGCAGAGTATTAGCTATAAAAAAATCATATTTCATCATATTATGAATGTATGGCTAATTGGCTATGCATGCAATTATGGAGATCTAAGAAAAATACAGAGAACAGAATAAAGAAAAAAAAATGGAGTTGAAAGAGAAATAAAGAAAGATTAGAAAAGTTACCTGGATATAAACTGTTGCTTTGTTGAAGAAGACAAGCTATATCTTATATGGGAAATTAAAAAAAAAAAGTGAAAATGATGATCCAACAAATTACAAAATGTGAAAGACTTTCTTTTCTTCTGGTGATATATCATTTGAACTCACCAATGTCACACGTGAAAGACCCATATCATTCTCTCCCTCCCCCCAGAAAAAGAAAGCAAATAAAAACTTTTTTTTTACTTCTTATTTATGTAGAATAAAAGTGGTGGAAAAGGATATCAAATAAAGACTCTGTTTTATGAAGAATCTTGCTTCAGAAAGCCATAATCTGTTTGGTGCTTGAACTTGCTTGTTGATTCTTGGAGTCAAGTCATTGGTACTGAGAATAAAATTATTGCAAAATGTTATAAATGTGTGGTTAAGGAGTTTCTATCCTTAACAACTAGTTGGTCGACCTAAACCCCTCTCTTCATCTTTCTCCTAATCCCATATCTTATCTTTTTTTGTCTCATAGAAACATATTGATTAAAACAATATCCACCATACGATTACATTCTACAAAATTTATTTTCTTTGTTTAAGCTGAAAAGTACTAAGAAATGAAGATCTACTAATTTTTCAAAATTTAAGAAAGACCTTTTCATCTAAAATTTTGGTTTTTTAATTGAAGTTTATCTGTCAAAATAATAAATTCTAAAACTATTAAATACCTTTTCAACACAAACTATTAAATCAGTTAAAATTTACTTCTCGAAAAGAATTTATAATTTAATATTGCATGAGTGAAGAAGGGAAATTTTGCTGATTTAGTATCAGTGTTATTGTTATTATATCATAACTAGTGTTTAAACTCAGACATATGCGTATATGAATTGTAGAAGATAAAGACTAATGCAGCATATTAGGTATTTTTATCATTAGCTACTTTGCTTTTTAAGTAAGCCATTATGGTTTCTTCTTCCATGTCTTTATATTATTTTCTTTTTAATATATATAGATATTTGTTTTTGTTATTTGGAAAGTTCATTCGTGGACTGTGTTAGTCCATAGGCGATATAGTTGCATACAACTATCAAATAAACAAGGGTCCCAAAGAAATAACAAACACAACTTTTTTTCTTGTTTTATTTTTTGGTGTAAACACCATAAGTGCCCTGTTTTGCCCACTGAGTTTTGTCTTTTCCTATGAACACTTTGTAGATATTTGTGGATTGGTACCTTTTCTTTCAGATGTTTCTAATTTTAGCATTCACTTTCTTGCATGACAGAAGTGTCTATACACTCTATAATCCTAACTTGGTAAAAACTAAAAAAAACTAATTTCTTTACCTGCTTTTGCATGGAAATTCATTGACCCATTTAATCCAAAAATATGAACATTGAAAAAAAAGAAAAAAAGAATATTACTGACTAAAGCCGACAAAATAGTTAGTTTCATGGAGATGTTATGAGACTTGCATGAGAGCATCAACACAAACATAAAGTAGATGGATGTCTTGTAAAGAAATAGGAAGTTGAGGGTAAATTTGTGAAGAAACATGAAATAGTAGGTGCATATAGAAATAGATGAAAACTTGTCTGAACTAGGACAGATGGTGCAGCGAGAGGGTCAGAGTCAGAGATGAGGTGATAATAATACGAACAATGGACATGTCTGAAAAGAGAAAGAGAGAGAATCTACTGGTGGATACGAAGCGAGAGATCTTGTTGGGCCAAGAGAGCTGTAATGTCCCCCAAGCTTTTCTATCACAGATGTAGAAATTCTATGGTTTAATTATTTTCATCAGCTTATAAACATCCTTTCTCGTTTGGTAAAACTATAGCATTTTCTATAAAAATTAAAATATTGTTTTATTAGGAGAGGACGTATTATCGTCTAGTTACTTTAGCAATCATCTCTTCAGTGAGACTTTAACATTGTGTTATATACAACACAAGTACTTGACCTTATCACTAGTAAAGGATGACAACATGCATTGCTCAGAACTCAAGGTCGCTTCTTCTGTCAACTTACATCCACTTCTCGAAAGAATATGGGCCTATATTACGGAGGCCCAATTAATCATAAGTAAACTACATACCCATATTGAGAACTCACCAAACTCTCTACGTCAAAGATACATCAGTAGTAAAAGAACAACGTTTCATCAAACTCCTTTCACATATAGACACATATCCCTAACATGTTGTAATTTATAGTGATGTGTACATCCCAACGAGAATGACTCATCAAGCAAGCAACAACATTCACTGATTCGTCAAGCTTACAAAGACAGCCACCACGAAACAAAAAAAATATTCTTGCTTATGAGTCACTGCTGATGCCTAGGATCGTGACCTCTGATAGAAGAAGATGTAATTCATGTATAATGAAATTTCCAGAGAAAGTAGAGATTTACTTAGAATCATATTATATGATAAAGTAATTGAGCTACCATTTACGCATCAATCAGTCATGACTACTAAGGCTCTTGATTATTGAGATCAAGTCCATGATCAACACTTGAACTTCAGACCATACTTAACGACAACTAAAACCAGGTTTCAAGTGAGAATACGAGAGACCTCTTCGAGGTTAAGACCTTCGCCATTAATCTTTGATTATTCATAGGAGGAAGTTAGTTACTCTTTTAATAGAGGCGGCAAAAACAGAGAGAGGTAGTTACTTTTAATACGTAACTAAGACCAATCATATTTCTCCACGTCAACATTTTTCCGTTGTCGTATCAGCGTTTCTCAGTTTTGGGCCTTTTGGCCCAGTAGATTAAATGGATGTTATCCACTAATGATATGATTAATTATTTTTGCTTAATTCTCTTTTGTCTTTACCTTGTAATAAAATTTAACTAACTTGTAACAAACCCTTGTCTTGTTATAAAAGGTATTTAACCTTAATTTAAATAAAATTAAAAATGTGAACCCATTGTTTTCATCGATGAATGAATAAACAAAGCTTGAGAAAAAAAAAACCTGAATCAGATCAATCCACAACGCAGGTGATGATTCATTCTTTGCAATTTCTTAAACTCCTTGTGTTTGGTTCAAAGTGGGTCTCTCTTAATCTCAGATCATCGCAGAAAAATAAAAGGACATTGACAATTGTCAGTGATTCCATTACAGAGGAGCTCTGTTTTCAAATGGGGAGCTTGGGGACGTTTCTGAGATACCCTGATGATATATATCCACTCCTGAAAATGAAACGAGCCATCGAGAAAGCAGAGAAGCAGATCCCTCCTGAGCCACACTGGGCTTTCTGCTATTCTATGCTTCATAAAGTTTCTAGAAGCTTCTCTCTCGTTATTCAGCAGCTTGGTACCGAGCTTCGTAACGCTGTACGTTCCCTTCTCTCCTTCTCTTGTGTTATATCATATGAGTCATCATGCAACGCATAGAAGGAGGTTCTTGGTTGTAATATAAAGTTTCCACAATTCTTGTAGTATGTTTTATTCAATTGTATTTTAATTTTTTGTAGGTGTGTGTTTTCTACTTGGTTCTTAGAGCTCTTGATACTGTTGGTTAGTGTCTCTTAACTATTACTTCAGACATTACCTACTGTTTTAATAAGGAATCTCCAGCATATGCAAAAGCTTGTTTTATTGTAATGTATTCATATGTTAGTTTCATATTTTTTATGCAGAGGATGACACAAGCATACCAACTGATGAAAAGCTGCCCATCTTGATAGCATTCCACCGGCATATATATGATACTGACTGGCACTATTCATGCAAGTTTAAAGACTCTTTATTCACATGCCATGAAACTTCTACTGTTTTAACTTATATTTTAACTTTAGGTGGTACGAAGGAGTATAAGGTTTTAATGGACCAGTTTCACCATGTTTCTGCAGCTTTTTTGGAACTTGAAAAAGGGTTAGTTCTAGTATTTATCATAAGCCCTTCTGTTCTGTTTTAGAAATTTTCTGCTCTGGTTTATTGATTGAGTTACTAAGAATAGTTATACTTTTGTATCTATGAAGGTATCAAGAGGCTATTGAGGAAATTACTAAAAGAATGGGTGCAGGAATGGCCAAGTTTATCTGCCAGGAGGTTTGTAACATAAACATATTTGTTGTCTGGATTAGATTTTGAGCTGTGGTGACAAGTTATATTGAACTGCGTGAAGAAATGATCTTTTGTACTGATGCTTAGGTAGAAACTGTTGATGACTATGATGAGTACTGCCACTATGTTGCTGGACTTGTGGGTTTAGGTTTGTCTAAACTCTTCCTAGCTTCCGGATCAGAAGTTTTGACGCCAGATTGGGAGCATATTTCCAATTCGATGGGTTTATTTCTTCAGGTAGAGGATATATCATGACATACTTTATAACCGTTGACAGATTATATCTTTGAATAATTTCTAAAAACTTGTTATATTTGCAGAAAACAAACATTATCAGAGATTATCTTGAGGACATTAATGAAATACCAAAGTCCCGTATGTTTTGGCCTCGCAAGATTTGGGGCAAATATGCTGACAAGCTCGAGGTTCATACATAGACCACTCTCAAGCTCTCTCATCTTAACTCTCATGTTACTCACATTGACTATCTAACAGTGCTCTAATCACAAATTAGGACTTGAAATACGAGAAGAACTCGACCAATGCAGTGCAGTGCTTGAATGAAATGGTCACTAATGCTTTGATGCATATTGAAGATTGCCTTAAATACATGTCTGCGTTGCGTGATCCTTCTATATTTCGGTTTTGTGCTATCCCTCAGGTCAGAGAATAGTAACTATTTTTACTGCTTTTCATGTTAAATGAAACCTGCATTGATATCAAATGCCATGGGAGTTAATATCTCTTTTGCTTGGATGTGTTTTCTTTGATTAGATTATGGCGATTGGAACACTTGCATTATGCTATAACAATGTGCAAGTATTTAGAGGCGTTGTGAAATTGAGGCGAGGTAAGATCTTTTACTTGTATAACCAACAAGCTTGAGAAAGTGTTAATAACTTTCTTTGCTTAGGTCTTACTGCTAAAGTGATTGATCGCACAAAGACAATGGCTGATGTCTATGGTGCATTCTATGATTTTTCTTGCATGTTGAAAACAAAGGTATCTCATCTGTTCCTATTTTGTTATAAGGTATTTTTTATATGTTCTTATAAAAGAATAATATGGTTACATAAAGGTTGACAAGAACGATCCAAATGCTAGTAAGACACTAAAACAACTAGAAGATGTTCAGCAACTATGCAGAGACAATGGAGTTCTTCATAAGAGGTACATACTTATCTCTGTCTCTTTAGGAAACTGGTTTTCTGAAGACTTTATGTCTCTCTGCCTTTCAGAAAGTCTTATGTTAATGACAAAGGACAACCAAACAATCTTTATGTAAGTTTACAGTTTTGCCTTTTCTCCGCATAATAAGTATCTCTACTTAATCATTATTCTCATTCTCTACCTGAAAAAAAAATGCAGATTGTAATGCTTGTGATTCTACTGGCTATAATCTTTGCATATCTTAGAGCAAATAGAGTGATGAGGGATGAACAGTGATTTGTTGGTTCATTCTTGTTCACACCACTCTCCTTTAGTTGGAGCTGAATCTCATATTCAAGATTGTTACCATAACAAAGACTTGGTTTGGTCTATAACCATGGATTCTATTTTAGTTACTGCCTTCTTTGTCTTGTACCGTTCAGATCCACTTGAGCCACGCAATGCTCCAAAATGTTTATAAAAGCTTTTTTCTCTTGTTATTCTCAACAACTAGAGACCTCGAGCTCATAAAACAAATCAACACTCTTGGAAACTGCATTGGTCAAATTCTTAATTAGATTTAAAGGAGATTTTCTTGGTGGTTGTTTATTACAATCAAACCATACTAACAACAACGTGTTGATCAGTTACGGGAACAAGATATAAAATAGACACAATCCTTATATTATAATAATATCATGATTTGTACACATAAACTTCACGAGATATATAACAGAAATAGAATATTCAAAATTAATAGTTTGAATGCAAAGTCATCACCATGGCTTCATTTAATGCTTTCAGTTTCAACAATATATATTCTTAATCAAAAGTGATGAAAAGAAAAAGTTACTGTGCATGTTAAAAAAGCTCATGTTGTTAACTTCTAACTTACGGATACGTCCCACCGGAGTCTCAGCACCGTCCCCATGCCGTTCCAGTTTTGGAAACGTTTCTGGTAACAAGACGTCACTCAAACTCACGTCCCCGTGCTACATAGGGGCCTTGAGCACGATTCTGAAACACCCAGATGAGATATATCCACTCTTGAAGTTGAAGCTTGCGATTACAAAAGCTGAGAAACAGATCCCACTTGATCCACACTTGACTTTCTGTTACTCAACGCTCACCAAAGTTTCTAGAACTTTTTCTCTTATTATTCAGCAACTAGGCACTGAGCTACGTAACGCCGTACGTGTTTCTCTGCCTCTTTCTCTTATCAACATGTATATAAATATCTATGTTATATTTTCATAACAATATTTTTTCACCATTTCTTGTTTTGGTTAGGTGTGTGTGTTCTACTTGATTCTCCGAGCTCTTGATACTGTTGGTTAGTGCTTCATAAAAATGATTTTATGATGATTAGTAATGTAATATAGATGCATCTTCATTTCTTCAATGGTTTAAAGTTCTTTTAAGATAGGAAACTAATATCATCTACTTTTTTTTTTGTTACTAACAGAGGATGATACAAGCATACCTACTGAGATCAAGGTTCCAATTCTGATAGCTTTCCATCGTCACATATATGATCGTGACTGGCATTTTGTATGTAAGTAAGAAGACTCACATCTTCTTCTTCAGTTTAGATGAAGCTGTAGTGAATTAATGTTTGTTTAGTGTTATGTCACTAAACACATCATCCATATGGAGCATTTAAATGAGTTTAAAAACTCATTATAAAAATGTGAAAATATCTGGATGAATTTTGTAAAAGCAGTTAGATGCACTTGATCCAGTAATTATTGCAAATGTGATTAATTTATGTTAATTAATCTTTTATGTAATTTTAGGTGGTAAGGAAAGTTATAAAGTTCTGATGGACCAATTTCACCATGTTTCTGCAGCGTTTCTGGAACTTGGTAAAGGGTTAGTACAACTAAGTGCCATATGTTTTTATAAATTTTGTATTCAAATTAATTTATGTTGTTTTCCTTTTTTACCCAAAAGGTGTCAAGAAATTATTGAAGATATAACTAAAAGAATGGGTGCAGGAATGGCCAAATTCATTTCCAAGGAGGTTTGTGATACATTTTTTGTATCTTTATGCTTTGGAATGTGTTGCTGCTTAGTTTTGCATCTACTGTTCAGATAAACTATTAGCAATACTTAGTAATTAATTATCTTCGTTTAGAGCTAAAATGATTTGTCGACTATTGACAGGTAGAAACGGTTGATGATTATGATGAATACTGTCATTATGTTGCTGGACTTGTGGGTTTTGGTATGTCTAAACTCCTTCTCTCTTCAGAGTTAGAAACAGTGCCTCCAGACTTGGAGCAGCTTTCCAATTCTACAGGTTTATTTCTGCAGGTATGTACTATCATATAAAAGTATATTATGGTTTTTTCAAAAAATAACTGGAAATATTTTAAAAAAAAATTGCTATCTTGTTTGCTAGAAAACAAACATCATCAGAGATTACCTTGAGGACATTAATGAAATACCGAAACCACGCATGTTTTGGCCTCGTGAGATTTGGGGAAAATATGTTGACAAACTCGAGGTTCATACACACTCTCAATATCTCATGTTAAATCTTATAAAAAAAGGTGTGATTCTATATTTTTTTGGTGTGACTGTGATTCTTTTTTTTTTTTTTTTTTCTGAATTCTTATAATGTAGGACTTGAAAAACGAGGACAAATCAACAAAGGCAGTGCAGTGTTTGAATGATATGGTCACTAATGCATTGATTCATGTCGAAGATTGCTTGAAATCTATGGCTGTATTGCGTGATCCTGAAATACTACAGTCTTGTTCCATCCCTATGGTTAGAGAAAATAAAATCTTTCACACATATTCTTTGGCTTTTCCTATCTAATTTAATATTTAAAGACATAGTTGAGGTGTCTTTATATCGTTTTCTCCTCTGCATTGATATATAATATTTTTTTACTTTCTCATTAGATTATGGCAATTGGAACACTTGCATTATGCTATAACAATGTACAAGTATTTAGAGGTGTCGTGAAACTGAGGCGAGGTGAGATGTTTTTATCTAATCCCAAGGCTAGCATTAACTAGTTCGTGAATCAATGAATAAATAAGTTATATTACAAATATTGTTGTGTAAAACTGTATTATTGACAAAGTATGTATATGTTTTTAGGTCTCATTGCTAAAATATTTGATCGCACAAAGACAATGGATGATGTCTGCGGTGCATTCTATGATTTTTCTTGCATGCTAGAAACAAAGGTATGTTGTCCCTGAAATGTTGCATTCTACACTCTTCTTTAGAGTGGCTCAAGATTTTGATAGTTATGACATTTACTTCGTTTAAATGTTATATAATATTGACATGTGGTTGCACAAATTTTTTTTAAAAAATTGACATGTTTAAATAGGTTGACAAGAACGATCCAAATGCCATGGAAACATTAAACCGACTTGAAACCATCAAGAAAGTCTGCAGAGAATATGGAGGAGACCTTCACCCAAGGTAAACTCTTTTTCTTCTTGGTTTCTTCTTTTATTGTTTAGTTGGAAGTTCTAATGAATCTTGTTATTTTTTTTTCCGTCAGAAATTATTATGTTGACAAAACACAATCAAATTCTCTCTCAGTAAGTTTATTTTAAATCTTTTTTTCATAAAATAATGTATCTAATTTTGTTATAAGCATAGTTTACTAATCATCCTCCTCCGTATACGCAAATTGTAGATTGTAATGGTTGTGCCTGTACTGGCCACAATGGTCTTGGTGTATCTAAAACACACACAAAACGTAAGAAGCCTCTACCTGTGAGTCTATGACACTTCGAAGATCTTGAAATCATGATGAACATTATTTCCAGGTTTTGGAAAATTTTTTCATTTCACGTAACTTTCTCTAGTCACTCTTTTTTAAAGAACTTGGTTTACTCTGAGTCCATGAGATTGTCTTTTCATTTCTTATTTCATCTCATATGTAGTTTGAACAATCGTAATGTATCTCCCTTGTTTATAAATAAGTTTGATCGATATTGAATTGCATGACAATAATGTTTAAACACCAGATTCCTTCACTGATCATTTACGTAAATCGGATTTACATATTGCAAAGTGATTTTGACATGTGTCATCACCACAATCAATTTCACCAAAAAATAATAACATGTCCACTAATAATGATGACATGATTTTCGAATTAATTGTGATATGTATATTTACATTTAATGTTAATATATATATATATATATATATATTTACATTTAAGATTTTCTAATCTCTAAGCCGTTAGTTTTATTTATAACATCTATAAATTTTATAAATATTATTTAATTTTATATTTTGATAATTATATTTCTGACAAGATTTTCTCTTAATTGTAATAATTTGATTTAACATATTTTAACCAAATAAAAAGATAAAAATATCTTTCCAAAATTTTAATTTTAAATATATACATATCTATTATTAAATAAAAATTGTTTATTTTATCTTAATTTTTACATATAATTAGCGTAAATGAATAATGTAACAAATAATAAACTTAAAAATTAACTAAACTTTCTTTTTATATATAAATTTATTTTGAATTTTTTTATTTCTGCACATGGTGCAGGAAAACACCTAGTTAAACGAATAAACACTAACATGAAGAAATCAGACATTCTTAAGACCAATGTTTAAAAAGAATCACTATATATCCTTGTTCTAAAACGCGGCCGAGGCGTCCGACTTTGCGGTGATTAAACGCTCGGCGGCTACCAAACGTTTCGATTTGCTCCAAATCGGTGAACTAGGCGGAGTTCATAAAAAAACATCCTTTTTGTCATTTTAAACCTCTAAATCGATTCATATATGAGTAATCTATAAGTTTAGAGGATAAATCTTGATTGAAACGCAAAAATTATAAAGATAATGTGAAAAATGTTAATGGCGGCCATGGAGAATATTTGCAGAAGCCCTAATCCGTCAATGGAGAAGATGAATATAAAATTACAGAAGTGCCCTTCATTTAATAAATGATGAAAAAAGCAAAAATAAGTGGATGGGATATCGAACCTACGACTTGGTGGTCGATAATTAAGATATTTTACCGCTGCACCACAACTATTTTCTTGCTATCATTTACACAACTATTCATTATACATAAATAAACTCAAAATTAATCCCCGAGAACTCCCCGATTTATTTTCGATTTTCCGATAAATCGCTAGGTCCTTATCTACCGCACACGTAGCGCCTAGCGAGTTCTCGAACCTTGCAATATATGAAAGTAATTGGACAAAAGTGGTAGAAAAAAACCCAAACAGGAAGTGTATTCACATTTTTTTAGGCATGTACATCAAATGCCAAAGAGAGAGATAGAAATATAATCTCTGCATTCAAAAGCTGGTTTATTTGACTCTAAAGGCCTGCTTTTTCATCATTAGGCCCATTTGCCTTAGAATATCAAATCCAGTAGCCATATTTATATCTGGGCCCACAAAACCCTAGATATATAAAAATCAGTAGCAAGAGGTGATTAGGTCTTTCTCTCTCAGTTGTTGAAGCCGCATCTTCTTCATCTTATTCGCTGTTGCTCGTCGTCAGCAGCAGCTTTCTAAAGATCCCTAACCATGGCTGTCGGGTACACTCTTCTTCACATCCCTCTCTCATAGCTACACTATGTCCTGAAGTTTTCATTTTCTGATGTAAATTTATTTGGGAATGTAATAGGAAGAACAAGAGGATCTCCAAGGGTCGTAAAGGAGGCAAGAAGAAGATGTAAGTAACGTTTATTTACAAGATGTAATAGTTTAATGTTTCGTATTCAGACAAGTGAAAATATAAAGAAACTCTTTTTCTTTGTTTTTGTTAATGTGATGATTTGGCAGTGTTGATCCTTTCTCCAAGAAGGATTGGTATGATATCAAGGCTCCCTCTAACTTCTCCCAGAGAAATGTTGGCAAGACACTTGTTTCAAGAACTCAGGGTACAAAGGTAATTTTGTCTTTTGTCTATGTCACTATAACCATTTCTTGATCTATTTTGTTTGAATGTGAGTTGTAGAGATTGGTTTCATTGCATTATGATATTAGAAGATGTGGGTAATCTAAAGTTTGCTCATTTGCTCAAACTAGGTGTGTAGAGATTGGTTACTTTGATAGATTTCAATTATATTTTGGTTTAATTTTGCTTAAGTTTTTGGTAAATTATGTTAATTTTGGTCAATTTCGGTTAGTTTGGTTTGAAATTTTGATATAAATTTTATGTTTTAAAATAAAATAACCGATAAAGTTTGCTCCTTTGCTCAAACGAGGTCCGGTTCTGCCATTTCGGTTCGGTTTTTGGTTAGTTTGGTTTTTGAAACTTCTACTTAAACTTTTAGATTTTGGTTTTATTTTATTTTGATTTTGTTAAAATTTCAAATAGTTATCGTTAATTTGGGTTAAATTTGGTTAGTTGGTTATTCTTTTGAAATTTGGTTATAAATTTTTCTTTTAAAAAAAACTAGTAACCAAAAACTAAACTTTTTAAATAACTACCAAATTAAACCGAATATAATTATATTGGTTCGGTTCAGTTCGGTTCAAAATCCCAGTCCTAGCTCAAACTAACTTGTGGACTTGAAAATGTTTGAACAGATTGCTTCCGAGGGGTTGAAGCACAGAGTGTTTGAAGTTTCACTAGCTGATCTTCAAGGTGATGAGGACCACTCTTACAGGAAGATCCGTCTCAGAGCTGAAGATGTTCAAGGCAGGAATGTCTTGACCCAGTTCTGGGTATGTGTTTCAAAAAGAACAAACTTTTAGGAAATCTCTTTTTGCGGATGATATAACTGTTTTATTACATTCTTGCAGGGTATGGATTTCACAACAGACAAGCTAAGGTCATTGGTTAAGAAGTGGCAGACTTTGATTGAAGCTCATGTCGATGTGAAGACCACAGACAGCTACACCTTGAGGCTGTTCTGTATTGGTTTCACTAAGAGACGTGCCAACCAAGTTAAGCGTACTTGTTATGCTCAGTCTAGCCAAGTCCGCCAGGTAATAATAACACAACATTACATTTTAATAAAAAAACATTATGTGTGGAAAGTTACTGAGATTTGACATAATGTTTTTTTTTTGTTGGATTGTTGTAGATTCGCAGGAAGATGAGTGAGATTATGGTGAAGGAGGCTTCATCTTGTGACCTTAAGGAGCTTGTGGCTAAGTTTATTCCTGAGTCCATTGGAAAAGCTATTGAGAAGGCGACTCAAAGCATTTACCCATTGCAGAACGTGTTCATCCGTAAAGTCAAGATCCTTAAGGCTCCCAAGTTTGACCTCGGAAAGCTCATGGAGGTTAGTTGAAACTAGTTTTTGTAGTCTAGACATTCAGACAATCGTGTCTAACTTTGTTGTTTGCTTTTTGATAGGTTCATGGTGACTACACAGCAGAGGATGTTGGTGTGAAAGTAGACAGGCCAGATGAAACAGTGGCTGAGGAACCAACTGAAATCATTGGAGCTTAGAGGATTATAGATTTGTTTTTTTTTGTTTTTTTGTTTTTGCTATGTAGCCATTGATGTGGAGTTCTTTGTTAAGAGAACTTACACTTCAGTGTGACTGTTTTTGTATTCGTTTTTGATGGATTATTACTCTTTCAATGTTTATCATATTTTTATTTTAAGTACCCCATTTCAATTCTTTCAATGTTTATCATATTTTTATATTATGTACCCCATTTCAATTCTATCACTCACTCCTGGATTTTATTAAACTGTTAAGTATTGTTTGTTATGGAGAAAATAATTTATCCAATAGATATTATATAAGATCTTACAATTTTAAATGAATTTTGCAAAAAAAAAAAAAAGAATCACAGAAGTTTAATATTACTATTGCAATACCATAAGTTAATTGTTATACTAATTTGTATTTTAGGTTCTTCCTCTTTCACTGTTCTTTCTCATAGCTACCTGATCATTTATAAATAAATTTATTGTTAAATCCTTTAAAGGATTTAGCAATAGTGGTGCTATGATGAAACTCCACTCCAATGGTGGTCTGCACCTTCCCCATTCCCATCACTACCAAAACCCCCCATGCTTCTCCTTTGTTTTGGCAGTGATAGGTATACTGCTTTTTAGGTTTTGTTTTATTAAACTTTATTTATTCTGTTTTTGTGTTGAGACTTGAGAAATTAAGTGTCTGAAACGACTTTGAATTTGTTTGTTTGCTTTGATTTAATCTTTTAATAAAGCTATAGCAAAACATGGATGGTTGGGCGGGTTGCATTTGTGATATGGCCTTTCGGAACTGCATGGGAACGTTCCCTGTGTACTGACGTAAACTTTGTTTGTCAAACTACAACTTGTAAAATATCAGAGCACCATTAACCCACCATCTTATGGGGGTGCTTAGTATAGGGTTCACAAAAAATCTCTAAAACAAGTGTTTAAAATTTCCAAATAAGCATCCAATTATGTGGATTGTTTGCACTATTTGCGAGTCCTACTAAATAGCCATCGACAAGAGGCATGATATTATAACCCTTCACAATAATAATAAAAACAAAAAGATATTATAAAATTCTATCAAATTGTATTGAATAGTATGTGAAATAGACCTGACTTATCAATTTTCTGACGAAAGATAAGCACAAGCCAGACATACACGTAGCGAACTCATTGATTAAATCCAAAGAAATATGAAGGCAACAAGAAAAACAAGAATCTTGACGTATGGACAATAATAAAAGTGAAACATTACTTTTGTTTGGCTTTTATAGACAAATTTGTTAGCTAAATCCGATAATTCGTGTGAGTAGATTAACAAATAAAGCAGCAACAAAAACTAAACATTTCTATAACAAAAAGCATGAAACTAAGAAAGAAAGGACAGATCATTTTACACCAAAATGAAGAATCAAATAAAGAAGACGTAAAGCATTGATTCTGAAATACTAATGTAGGATCATTCATGAAATAAGATTTTGTAATATTTTTTAAAAATTGTAATATTCCACAAACTAAAAACTATTAAGAAAAAATAAGTTAGGGGAAAAGAAATCAGAAAAAAAAAGAGCTTTAACTTTTGGAATTGGAAACACAACAAACACACACAAAAAAAAAACATAAAGTCTCTATTTTACCTTTTAACCCCTTCAAGAATCATCGTTTAATTTCAGTGCCCCACGTTGTCCATATCTCTCTGCTCCTCTGTTTCTTCGCCCTCTCTCAGCTCTTCGTCTTTGTCAGGTAAAGAATTATGATGAGCATACCTCTCTACTCTTCTCAGCTTTATAACTTCTCTAAAGTTTGCATGCGCAGACGGTTTTGTAGACCATAAAGTTTAGCTTTGTAAGCTACTTTTTTGTTTAGTATTTATGTGTATGGTTGTTGTAGTAAAGAGAGTTAAAAATATGTCAAGTCAAGTGATAATTGAAACTTGAAAGATTTTCTATGTAAAAGAAAGAAAGAGTAAATGGAGCTGTGGACAGAAGCTAGAGCCCTAAAGACAAGTCTAAGAGGAGAAGCTATCAAGCATCAAGTGATTATGTCTGAGGAATTAAGCAGAACTTCTTCGGCTGAAGATTTCTCCGTTGAGTGTTTCCTAGACTTTTCAGTAGAAGGTGAAGAAGAAGAAGAGGAACTTGTCTCTGTTACTTCTTCACAAGAAGAACAAGATTGTTGTATCTTTAGTTCACAACCTTGCATCTTTGATCAACTTCCTTCTTTGCCGGTAAATTTATAAGCCATTTTCCTTATAATTAAAATAATTATTTGATTTCTTCTGATTTTTTAATATTTATTTTATGTTATTTAGAAGGAGGATGTGGAGGAAAATTTGTTATAAGAAACTTATAAGTCTTTTTTTCTTATGATTAATATGAATTTATAACTAATTGCATGTAAATTTAAAAGCCTTTTTCTATAATTATAAGAAACTTTTTTCATTTTTTAGATTTTTGTTTATTTGTGTTCTGATATTTAGGATGGAGATGTGGAAGAGCTTGAATGGGTATCTCGTATTGTGGATCATTGTTCATCACCAGATGTCTCACTTCTCTTAACACAAACCCACAAAAGCAAACCAAACTTCTCATCTCAAATTCCGGTTAAACCAAGAACCAAACGGTCTCGGAGCAGCTTAACCGGTGACCGGGTCTGGCCACTCGTTTCAACAAAGCGACATGCAACAGGAGAGCAGGGGAGGATGAAGAAACAAGAAACGACCGTTGGGTTTCAAAGAAGATGCAGCCATTGTGGCACAAACAACACACCTCAATGGAGAACCGGTCCGCTCGGTCCAAAAACCTTATGTAATGCATGTGGAGTCCGGTTTAAGTCCGGTCGACTATGTCCCGAATACAGACCGGCGGATAGTCCAACGTTCTCGAATGAGATACACTCAAATCTTCATAGGAAGGTTTTGGAGTTGAGAAAGAGTAAAGAGTTGGGTGAAGAAACAGGTGAAGCTACTCCTAAAGTCAGACCAAGTCAAATTTGGCAATAATGTGGTTGATAAGACTTAGGTAAAATTTAAACCTACTTTTAACATTATCCTTAGTGTTTTAATTTTAACAACTTGCTCCATAACCTTTGAAGCTGTCTTGCAATTAGTCTATATAAAAGGTTTCTTCTATGAACAAGATTATGTATTTTTTTAGTGATGTGAGACCACCACCACTACTACTTAGAATGAATTTGATCCATGTGAAGTGGTGTAGACTTTTTGAAGAATTTGGTAAATTATAAATTAAGCTAACACTCTGAGACTGCAAAATGAAAGAATTATTCTGAAAATTCCACAACGGTTATGTTATAAAAGGAAAGAGAGACAAAAGCTGATTACAAATCTAGTTCTATCTTGCATATTCACCAAATGGCCACTTAGTTTTATGCCTCATGCAAACAGTAAAATGACTTCTCTCCTTCACAAAGAACCAAGAAGAGTTAAGAGTCATATACCATTTCAAGTTTAATACAATGATAATTTGTGCTTCAAAAGCAACACAAAGATATGTCGTTTAGTGTTTCAAAAAAAAAAAGTAACACAAACACAAGAACTTTTGGAAAGCATAATATATTCATGTTTAGGCTTAGGTGACAACATGATTAAACACAACATAATAGCATATTATCATTTACCGCCTTTAATATTTCTAGCTACAAGCTAATTTATATCAATTGCTACATAAAGACTTACAATAGAAGGACCACAGTTCCAATGGACCCTTTGGTCAGTTGTTTTCATGAGTGTTCTTTCATATACTAGATCTCTAGAGAAAAGGTACTTTATCACGTGCTATATCTCTCTATGATCTTCCCCAAGCCCAACCAATAATCATCATCAATACTGCCATCCACCAAATGTTTTGTTTATCCTTTAATTAAAGTTCTCTTGTACAAGGAACTTGACATACTTGTAAGTTCACAGTATTTCAAAGAAAAACTGGGGAATAACGCCCATTGAACCCTACGAAATTTTGGTGTTGTTTTAGCTTGCTTTCTCCTTGGGAATTATTCTAAACAAACATGGTCTTACGTTTGCAAACGTTATTGATACTTTGTGCCTAAACAATCTCCACAACAACAAGAAATCTAATGACAGTATAGTGTAAAACGAATTATAAAGTCAAAAGCATCCACTAGACACACAAGATTCTCACAATCCAAGTTTATCCACCTTCATGTTTAGTATTTCTGAAGAGGAGGCAACCTTCATTAGTCCTATATTCTTTAGCTTTCTGGAAATCTCAACAAACCTTTGCTTTCGATCCAAAAACATCGTTAAATAGTTTGCAGGTTCAGTCTGGCCAAACCCACCTCAAGATATTCATTCAGCGGCTGCTTGGATTTGCCAGAACAGGATTTCTTCTTCACCTCAGAAAAGGTGTATCATAAAGCTCATGTTTCAGTCATCCATTTACTTGATATGGAGGGAAAGGAATAGGAGAATCTTCTCTTCTTCTTCATCTTCTGCTGTCTCTGTTCGTGTTGCTGTAGACAGGCAGATTAGGGACCGCCTCCTGTCCATTCCGTGGTCTCCGCGCCTTCACCCGTCCATGCTGCACGTCTTTCTGGAATGCACAAGGCCGCCTTGACTCTTCTTCTCTTTACCCTCTTTACTCTGTTTGTTGTTCTTCTTGCTTGGGTTGTTGTGTTTCTGTGTTTCACTCAATAAAGTTGCTAATGCAACATGTAAACTCTTGAAAATGGTATGAAATTTAACATGATTACCAAAAAAAAAAACATCGTTAAATAGAAATAATTTACATTTTATCCACACAAAAAAAAAAAAAAAAAAAGCAATCTCAGAGCACGCCTGTTTAAAATACAAATAGAATACCAATAAAAGAATCACAAATCCGTTGTAGTCTAGCTGGTCAGGATACTCGGCTCTCACCCGAGAGACCCGGGTTCGAGTCCCGGCAACGGAGATAATTTTTTCTCAACCTGTCCCATTCAGGCCCGTTAACGATGACCTATGGGCCAAATCAAAACTCCAATCCAAAGCCCACCTGAAAGTTTTTTTTCCCTCTGTCCCTCTAACTGAAACAGAAGGTTTCTCCCTGACTTTAGAAGAAGAAAGAGAGTGTAGAGAGAGACTCGAAAATCAAATCGGAAGCAGAGAGGAGGAGAAATGAGCGGAGTTTCAACGGCGGCGTATTTCGCGCGGAGAGCGGCGCAGAAGGAGAGGGTTCGTATCCTCTATCGACGCGCTCTTAAGGATACTCTCAATTGGGCTGTTCATCGCCACATTTTCTACAGAGACGTAAGTTTTATTTTAAATTCGTCAGATCTCCGATCTCTCGTTTTTGGGTTTTGCGTTGATCTTTGTTTTTCTTTTATTTTTTTCAGGCTTCTGATCTGCGGGAGAAGTTCAACGCTAACCAAGATGTGGTATTTGCTCTCTACTCAGCTTAGAGAAATTTGATTTGGTTTAATTTGGTTAGAGAGTGAACGTTAGAGATATTAAGATGGATATGTAAGAGTGTTTTGATTGAGAAAGGTGGAGACTTTAGATGTAGAAAGTGTGTTTTTGATGAGAAAGTTTGGGACTTTGGATGTGGAAAGTGTGTTTTTGATGAGAAAGTTTTGGACTTTAGATGTGGAAAGAGTGTTTTTGATGAGAAAGTTTTGGACTTTTTGTTGGGGAAACTTTGCTTTGGTGAGAAAGTTTTGGACTTTGGATGTGGAAAGTGTGTTTTTGATGTGAACGTTTGGGACTTTTTGTTGTGGAAAGATTGTTTTTGATGACTCTGTCTGGTAGAGTTAAGTGCTTAGGTTACTTCTGTTTGCAAATACTTGAAATGTGTGAGCTTGTTTCACTCGTTTTAACATTGTTTCGATGAGAAAATTTGGGACTTTGCTGTTGAATGTGTGTTTTGGCTACTCTTTTGTTAGACTCACTTTTGTTTTTAGGTTTCTTCTGTTATTCAAACACCATATCTGTGTTGCATAGTGACTTCTTCTGTTGAGTTTGTGTATTGTATATTCATTAGTTGTTATTTCAATGTAGACAGAACTCTAGAGACATTTTTTTAATTTTGCTCTCTTCGTGAAATGTGCGAGCTTGTTTTCACTCGTGTTAACATTGTTTCGATGAGAAAGTTGGAGACTTTGCTGTTGAATGTATGTTTTGGCTACTATTTTGCTAGGGTGTTTAGGTTTCTTCTATTATCAGTCTGTGTTGCATAGCGACTTCTTGTGTTGAGTTGATGTGTATATTCATTTCGTTGTTATTTTAATGTATGAAGAGCTCTGTTTTTTGCGATGCATTTAGCTTATGAGTAATGTTTATGTGTTATTGTCATCTACTTAAGCTTATAGTGATAACTCTTCATATTCCTCCAGTTTCTTACTAGTTTGACAATACTAGTGATTGCGAATTTAGCTTATTCTTTTTGTTTCATTGTTTGTTCCTTGGTATGATCCTTTGATTGTTGGTTTCTTGTAGGAGGATGTTGACAGAATCGATAAACTGATTGCTCATGGTGAAGCAGAGTACGACAAATGGCGGCACCCTGATCCTTATATCGGTAAGCATATGGTAGTGTTAATAGGAAGTAATGTTTTTTTTTAGGTTTATGGAAGTTATTCTCAGGCTAGAGAACAAGAACATAACAACCCACTTTTTTAATTTGTAGTTCCATGGGCTCCTGGTGGCTCAAAGTTCTGTAGAAACCCCACTCCACCTGCTGGGGTAATCCTTTTCTTCTCAACATTTTGCAATGTTATGATCTCACTTTCTCTATTCTCAAGTGCTGATCTTCTTTTTGTGACTGATGCAGATTGAAATTGTGTACAACTATGGACAAGAAGACAACCCATAAACCTTCTTTTAACATGTTTTCTCAGACCCATCAATAAAGTAAGTTTTGATAGTTATCAGATACTCATTGTTTAAATACTAAAACACATTCGTTTCAGTCTAATAAATCAACCACAAAGTTGTTAAGTTTCTATGGTGTTTGTTATCTATTGCAGATTGAAGCATCCGGTGGCTATGGTTCAGAAAATAAATTGTATTTTCAAAGATGTTTCGTTTTAGTGAGACACTCTTGTTTTACAATGGTTTATTTTTCTTCATCAAAAATATTTTTTTCCGGCTGAGCTGCCATCATGAATCATATGGGTGTTCCATGAAAATTTATAAGTAAACAAAAGTGTGTTCTGTTTTATTTGGGCTGTAATGGGCCTACTGGCTCATAAATTGTTTGTTCTTTTGTCTCTTGTTTTGGCAATCAACTTGTCATCCTTCACAGTCCAAAAACGCAGCGTATCAATACACTCCAAATCTTATGGAGATCCAATCTTTGAACCATAGATCGGAAAAGTTGGATAGGTAGGAATGGTATAAGCCAAGTATTTGTCATTTTGGCTTATTTATTATTTGGCTTGGCTTGTTCGAATAATGAAATTTTGAACTCAAACTTGATTTATTAAAAACGAATACTTGCAAGTACTTGTCTTGTTTTACTACTTGTTACTTCTAAACTAGTTTATACATAATTATATATCTATTTGTAAGTTATTTAATAATAATTTATTAATTTTAGCTACTAAAACTTTGTATAAGTTTAAGAAAAAAATAGTTGTTATAATTCTAATCTAAACAAATTTTTGAATAAATAATATTTCTTTATTTTTCATATGTTTTAAGTCGATATATGATAAATATAAAATTAAAAAACTTTAACATATTTGTATTATATATATTTTTTAATTCATGTATCGTATAAACAAGTAATATAATTATAACTTAGAGATTTTTTTGTCTAAGAGTAAAAACGGGTAATAAGTCAAGTTATAAATCACGAGTAACAAGCTAACAACGTCAAGTAGTTGTTTTCATTTTAGTACTTGATATTTTTTTTGTATTTTCAAGTAATTGAAATAAACGACTTGATACTCGACTTGAACAAAATGAGTACTCGACTTTCAGAGTCAAGTATGAATCAAGTAGCGAGTATAAACCGAATAGCAAGTAATTGTGTCCAATTCTAATTAGATTAGAATCGTTTATCCAACTTGGGAATGTGGAACGGTCCCAGAAATTTGCTGTTCACACAACACTTATTAGGGTATTGGTAAGGACCATGGTCGAGAATGAAAAAGATCAACTTGCTAGCAAAAATGCTGATTCCAAACCCAAATTGATAAATACTCAAAGCATAGATGTTATAGGATTGGATTCTAGCCAAAGACTGTTGCAATTCTTAGCCAAATAAAATAGATGATAAAACAAGATAGTTTTTAGATTTTTATAGCTCAGATTCCCATTAATTTACCACCTTGTTTCGAAGAAATGTTGATTTACCCCTAGTAAATAAATTATAGACCTGAAAATATCATCAAGGTTATAACTTGCATGTAAAATAAAAATAATATATTGCCGACAATACAAACAAAAAAACAGTATACAACTTTTCTTTGTCTATCTCAACACAAACAACTTTTCTTTGTCTAAGAATCAAATATGAAGTTATATCCTTAACCCCAAAAATAAAACAAAAATGAAAAGAAGATGCTATAAGCTTTTAATCTTATATAAAATGAACATTTGTAGAAATTCTTAAGCAATATGTAATATTATTGTACTATTTGTTGCTCATAAGATAATTAAAATTTAGTTATAGTCTGATATTTTTGTAGCTTGCAGTTTTATAAGATACGATAACGTGCTATTTTAAGTTAAAAAAGGAATAACGTGCTATTTTAAGTTAAAAAAAAAATAACGTGCTGTTTATTCTCTAAAGATAAGGTGCTAAATGCTTATCACTGTATTTTACATTTCTTGTGACGTGATGACATGTTACGTTACGATATATACATATATTCTTATCGTTCTCTAGATATATCTTCATGCGCTTGATTGTCCTTTATGACAACTCTATTTTCGAACGTAAGCTAATACTTGTCTTCTCTACTATCGTTACGCCTTTATAAAGAGAAAAAACAGAATACAGAAAGAAGGAAAAATAATAATGAGATGCATTAAGCATATTTAAAAAAAATCTAATGAGATGCATAAGTAGCAATGGCTGGGCATTTTATTCGTTAAATTTGATTCGATTCGTTATTCGTCTCGATTCGATCCGAAAATTCCGGATATCCGTAAACTTTCGAATCAAAGCAAATACTAAAAATCAATATCCGTTAAAATCGAAGCAAATCACAAATATTAAAATTTTGGGAAGCGGATATCCGATCCGATCCGTAAATATATAAATATATGTATATTTTGATTATAATAATAATTTTAAATGTATAAAATTATTATTATAGCTTATGATTTGACTAATTAGATTCACATTATTACTTATATAAAATTATTAGATAAAAAGAAGAGAAAAATTATGAAAATTATAAAAAATCTTAAGTTTTGTGTTATTATAGTTGTTAACTTAACCATAAAAAAATTATAAAAATATGTAAATTCACTACTTCTTTATTTTTTATTTTATATATCATGTAAAAAAAATTTTACAAAATAAATTTATATAAGATTATTTTTAACCGATGAGATATTCGTAAGTATTCGTAAATATCCGCAAATATCTGTTTATTTTCCGGATATCCGTTTTTCCGAATATCCGTATTTTTCCGAAGCAAAGCAAATACCAAAATCAGATATCCGTAACATACGAAGCAAATCATAAATACCTTTGAAAACCTGGATATCCGATCCGTGCCCACCTCTAAGTAGCATGATGGTTCTACTTCTAACTACTACGCCAGGACTCGTGTGGTAGTCAAACATGATAAGAGAGCTGAGAGTAAAATCGTCAATGCCAAGTGTAAATTTTTTTGATGACTAAAAAATGTATCCCTACATATTTACATATATGTTTAGTTATCTAATGAGGAAGTTAACGATCATTTGATCCTATTTTCACTCGCTGTTCTTAAAAACGATAAATATTATTCCTGTTTTTTTTATAAGTACAACATTCTATAATACATCAACAAACACACACACCACAAAGTGACACCATCATCTACAAGTAGATAAACATGACCCATAAGATAATAATCATACTATACCATCTTCGTCAAATTTATCTTTTTAACCTTTAAATTGGGATCTTTCTTTTTCGAAGAATTATATGCTTCTTTTTTTTTTTTGCATGACCGGCAACAACCAGACAACCAAAATGAAAACAGCATTATCTCGAATATCTTTTGTTTTGTCCAAAATCCACCTCCATGTAAAAAGGAAAAATAACGGTCCAATGACCCCAAAAATAAAGAAATTATTGAATGATGCAACCACCTAAAACACACACAAAACATGAGCCACACGTATCAATCATTCATTCATTCAACCGCTTCCCACAAACTAATAAATAAAGATGTGTGTCAGTAGCAGCAACACATACATGTCAGAATCTAGCATATGTAATGTGTCTGTGTGTGTTGTCACACTCTCTTTACTCACAATCGCCGTTCAAGTCTTCAAGATGCGGCGATACGTAACTGATACAATGACCATATACTAGACAGTATCTTTTCATTAAACTCTAATAAATAATGAAAGAACTTGTATCACTATGCATAACAAATATATTTAATGAAACAAGAACGTTTACATTTAAAACATCAAATAACATACAAAGATCCGAATTTCACAAAAGGACTTTCATCATTCGGATCCTCTAATTAAAACAAAAGACATTATTAGACAATGATGGATATATACTACCACCAAGTCATTATTTTAGCAATTTATTAAAAAGAAACATATACGATAATAGTAATACACGACCACCTTTTCCTCATGCAGAAAGATAGTCAAAACCGTCTTCATCACCACAGTAGTAAAAGCCAAGGTTACTGACCGCATCCGAAAGAGAGTTACTCATAGACGCCTCCTCGGTCGCAAGATACGGCATGTTATGGAACGAACGATCAAGACAAGCCGCGACATCACCGAACTCATCTTCATCATCTTTGGTATGCATCATCATCACTTCCTCTGCTCGGTGCTTTAACGTCTCAAACATCATCTCCGGCTCATGCTGCATTGCACGTAGAACATCAGCAGAGGACTGACCAGGCACGGCTCTAGTCACAGCAAAGCTATGAGGCCCATCACTCTGCATTACCCGAACAACACTCGGCCCACCAAATAAGTTATGAACTCCACCTAGCGCCTCCTCGTAAGCCCCTCCAAGAAACATACCCAAGAAGTACCTTCCTCCACAACCGTCTAGCTCATGCAACGGCAAGCTAGACTCACCACCTATGAACTTATCAACCTTCCCATCACTGTCACACGTTAAATCCGACAAGACGCCACGTGTCCCCGGCCTTTGGTCAAGCTTATGGATGGGGACTATAGGAAACAGCTGTTCAATCCCCCAAAGATCCGGAACCGAAGTGAAAACCGAGAGGTTAATATTGTAAATCTGAACCGGATCCGACCCGCCGATAGCTTTCAAAACCCATTCACATAACCCATCAACAGAAGCTAACTGCTCAATGCTCATAACACCGTCTTTAAACCCTTCAACACATCTCTCCTTGAGCTTCTCAACATAGAGTAAACACCTTTCGTGATCTCCACGCATCACAGCAGAATACAGCTCCTCGTAATCACCTCCGTCGCTTTCGAGTAAGAACTGAATATCACCGTGGTTAGCTTGTTGAACCGTCGGTTTAACGGCCGAGACAGCTTCAAAGATCAGCACTGAGTGATGAGAGACTATAGCTCTCCCACTCTCGCTGCATATCACCGGATGCTTCACCGATCTCCTCTCGCACACAAACTTAACAGAGGCCACAACAGCTTCCGCGTACTCCTCGAGGGTATAAGCCACGGAGAGATCACTCTCTCCGGACTTAGACCCGTCGTAGTCAATACCTAAGCCACCACCAATGTCTATAACCTTCATATCCGCGCCGAGGCGGCTCAGCTCACAGTAGAGCTGAGCAGCTTCGGAGACACCATCAGACAGCAACGAAGTAGATGGAATCTGCGAGCCAATGTGAAAATGCAAAAGCTGGAGACAGTCAAGCATACAAACTTCCTTAAGTTTCTTCACAACACGAACTATCTGAGTGGTAGTTAAACCGAACTTCCCTTTCTCACCAGAAGTTGAACCGAAATGACCAGAGTGTTTTGTCCTAAGCTTAGCTCTTAAACCAATCACAGGCCTCACATTCATCTTCTGACTCAGATCAATAACCAAATCAAGCTCCTCTTCTTGCTCCAACACAATCACAGTGTTCAACGCTAGCTTCCTCCCAAGCAACGCCAAGGAAACATACTCCGCGTCTTTAAAGCCGTTACATACAAGAAACGCCTCATCAGTGTTACCTTTACACAAACAACTCATGGCTAAGAGGATCTCCGGTTTAGAACCAGCTTCTAAACCAAACCGGAATTGAGAACCGAATCTAACAATATCCTCCACAACAAACCGGTCTTGGTTGCATTTAACCGGATACACTCCTTGGTAACGAGACTCGTACCCTTGGCTCTGTATCGCGTAATCGAACGCGGACTGGAGACACTCGAGGCGGTTCTTTAAGACATCAGGGAACCGGACGATAACCGGAAGCTGTAGCCCCAAACCGCCGGTTTGTTTCGGGTCAGTTACTTTCTTGACGAGTTTTAAGAGGTCGATGTCTTGGTGAGGCAGAGTGTTGGAGCCGTGTGGACGAACAGAGATGTTCCCGGAGGAGTTCGCGAAGAAGTAAGGAGCTCCCCATCCGTCTATGCGGTAGAGAGAGGAGGACAGAGAGGGGCTCCACGTGTCGACGGTGACGGTGGAGGAAGGTTGTGACGGTGGGATGTACACGTCAGCGGCGTAGCTAGTATCAACACAAGCTAAAGCAGGCATCTTTGTGAATACTCTGTTTTTTCTTCAATACTCTGTTTTTTTCTTCAACACTCTGTTTTTTTTTCTTCCACACTCTGTTTTTTTTTCTTCCACACTCTGTTTTTTTTTCTTCAACACTCTGTTTTTTTCTTCACACTCTGTTTTTTTTTACGTCAACACTCTGTTTTTTTTCTACAACACTCTGTTTTTTTTCTTCGACACTCTGTTTTTTTCTTCAACACTCTGTTTTTTTTTCTTCAAGACTCTGTTTTTTTCGGCGAACGATAACGAATCTACGAAAAGGTTTAATTTTTATTATTACCAGATTTTGTGAAGGTAAGGGGTTTGAAAACCGCCGAGGCCGGAGCCTCGGCTACCCCCTCAAGAGAAGGCAAAAGATGAATCTGTCTCCGCCGTGAAACCCACCACGAGCAGCACGTCCTGATCCGAGAATCTCCACGGTGACCGTTTCAGAATAAAACTTCTAAAAATAAAATAAAACCGAAAAAAAAGAGATTTTTTTGGAATCTGAAAAACAAACAAATTCTATTGACGTAACATGCAGATTTTAAATGAAGCGTTTGAGAACGAGAAAGGGAAGATTCTATGGGGAAATGCAAAGAGAAACAGAGCGGAAAATGAGGGAGAAGGGTGAGTTTGATGAAGGGGAAGTGGTGTTGTTTATATAGGAAGAGAAAGGTAAGTGAGGAGGAGGTTGTTACTGAGGCAAGTTGGATTCGGCCCATGGGGCCCATTTATATTTTCTCTTTTTCTCTTTTTCAATTTTTTTAGTTTTTTCACCAAATAAAGAAACTGAAAAAAAAATCTTATCGTAGATTTTAGTTTCCCTACGTGACTATCTACAGTACGTCATAGACATTTTGATTATTCAGGTGTTACTTTTACATTTAAACCAATGATGTTTTTTTCTTCTTTTACAAAACTCTTAACTAGTGTTGATTTGGGTTTCTCTCATTCACAATGACATGTGAAAACTGGGAACGTCATAGATAATTGATTATTTAGGTGTTACTATTACATTTAAACCAGTGATGTTTTTTTTTCTTACAAAACTCTTAACTGGTGTTGATTTAGTTTCTATAATTCACAAAGACAGTTATGAACACTGGTGTTTTTCTAAGTATATTTAGTAAATAAATTTCGATTTGATAATAATGTGTACCTTGCTGGTTTACACAGTTATTTTAAAGAACAAAGTCTACATAATTGTTACCGTTATGTCATTACGTGGAATGAACTTTTTCTTTTTCTTGGCATATGATGATTATCATTGCCACCGGAAGAAACACATGAGTTCAAAAGCCGACAAATACATAACAGAATCAGAGTCATAATTAAGCCGGAAATATACAGGAGCCAGAAACCATAAAGAATTTGGGGGGAAATAAAACCATAAGTGACAAAAAATAAGACATAAACCTAACAACAAACTTTACCTAATACCAAATCCGCCATTATTGAAGTAGGATCAAGAAATTAAGCTCATATTAGAATTTTCTCTAGCACGTGAAATGAATTTCATGTGTCAATTGTTTAAAAAGGAGTAACAGTACAGATATTTATTCAAATATTGGTTGTGCTCTTTTCCATTGGTCCGAAAAATTACTCTGACATTTTCCTTTTGGTCATTTTGCATTGATAACCAGATTAATATATTCATACAAATTTCAAAATATGTTTCAGTGTTTTCTGAAATAATGTTAGGAATCAATCGAGAATATTCTTTCTCTATATTCAGTCAGTTTAAGAAAACTTACTTAAAACTCTTCCATATAATACATTTAAACAAGAAAAATATTGAACAATATAGTACGTTTTTAGTAGAATTATAATAAGTTTTGAACCAAAAAAGTATATTTTATAGTAGGAAGGTTTTTGATACAGTTTTGGGTAATGTATAGAAGACAATAACAACAAATCTTATAATGATCTTCAACTAGACAGCAGTACCTTTGCTTTCTATTATTTCAATAACATCTATATTTTTGTTGCTTCTGTTTTTTGCTTCGGTCTCCTATCTCACTTACCTTTCTCTCCTGGGAATTGCTAAAGATAGATATCTCATCAAGTTACTCATTTCATTCAAGTCATGGGGTTTTTATTTTGGGGATTTCGGAATGTGAAAGCACTAAAGTGTTTGTTACAAACTCTTGTCACTTTTTAATACAATGTACCAAATGTTAGCAAAAAAACGAAAAACTAAAATTAAAAAAATTTGTGTAGGTTTTTACCAATTTTTTTTTTTTTTTTGTGTAGTTCACTTTGTACTCGTGCATTAAAAATGTTAAAGATGATTGGTAACGTTTTGTGAAAATATTTAGATTGGTAAAAGCAACGTGCGGTTTAGAAAGTAAAAACTAGAACTCGCAATGAGATTGAATCCGACCGTTGATCCTATGATCATTGCTTTGTGGAGTAGGTGGTAACAATCTGACAAATGTCAAATAATTGGTTATAGGGTAAATGTACCGAATGGACCATGCATTTTTACATTTTTCCTGCCGACAGTAAAGGCTGTTTGTTCTTTGATAGTATTTTACCTTTTCGAAAGAAATTTGCATGTTAGCTTACAACAAAAAAAAAAAAAAAAAAAGAAAGAAAGAAATTTGCATGTTTTCAATACGGCCATTAAAAAGACTTTAGCGATATAGTACTATTGTTTCTATTTTTGTAGAAAATAATATAAACAGACAATAAATTTTAAGATATAAATAATAATAATTGTGGTTTACAAAAAAAAGAATAAATTATAATACTTATAATTTGGTTGATGCTGTGTTAGTGTGTTTGGTTTTTATGAGAACAAGGTTCTGTTTTGTTCACGACCACTCAGCTACGAGTCGCCGCGTGTTGATCTTACGTGGGGAGTAGTTGCGTTTTGATGTTTCCTCGTTGCTTAACGGACCATACTTTATTTGGAAGCATGTAAATAAATTTGTCTACTGACAAATATAGTCTTTGTCCAATGGTTTTTCTGGCGTCGAGCAGACATTTTTTTTATATTAAGAACGTATAAGATGTATTAAATCACCAATTCTGAATATTACGAGTATTATTCAGTAATTAATTCATTTTTTTAGTATTAGTTTGTTAACTCTTGACACCATTTTCCCGCCCTCTGCAGTGGACGGATACCGGTTCTGCACCACCCAGACCCACTATGGCTTGCTGCTCAGGTGAACCACAATCCACAATCTTTTAAAGAAAAAAAAAAACTTAAAAAAAAGGAACACTCTTGACACCATTGTCACTAGTAAGATAACACAAAATCTAGAATAATCAAGTGAGTTTTCTACAGGGTTCTCAAGGAGCTAATTGTGTTTTTATTTTAGTTGTTGCAATAATTTTGCTGATATGGTTCAATTTTACATTTAATTTAGCCAATACTATCCAGTGACTAATAAATAACAGGACATTGATGTATCGGAGTGGGCGGATGGATACTCTTAAATTTTCTGTTTTTTAATTAATGTCCTCCCATTCCTTATAATTGTGTATTTGCTTCAATGCTCTTCAACCTCCACTTTCGCCATTAAAGTGCTTATTGTGTTTTTATATATACGTGAATACTTTTGCAAAGATATTGGAAGTATATGCACCAAATAATGTATTAACATTATAATTACCTTTTCTGTTATATACTAATGAACAACTTAAGTACACATGAGCATCTGAATCTGAATTTGGGCAACTTTCACTTGGAATATGCAATAACAATATTGAAAAGAAAACGCGTTGACGGCGATACATGGCCGCTTACTGAACGCGGACGCCACACGTACACCACTAACTCTCATGGCTATCGTAAATAGTGCTCTTTCATTTCATCTTTCTCACCACTATTCTATTTCAAAAGTATTCGCGTTATCCTCGAACCAATGATATTCGTAATGAGTCATGCACATTATATAATCTTTAAAGTGTGATAGTAGATCCCAATATGCCATTGGCCATAGTACAAAACATAGCTCTTAATTACGTGACGTGTGATTTGGAGATTCATTTGTCATGTGGTTGTGGTGGTCATATCATAGTATTAAAGCTACGCCGAGATTTTCTAACGTGCCGTGTCCAACCCGGCTAATTAAATCTACTTTTTTAGTTCTCAGTTTATTTTTTTCATTAAAATTTCATTTAATTCAATCCAAATATAGGCAATCGGAATAGTACAAACCAGTGTGGTAGAGAAACGAGCAGAAGCTAGATTACAAACGAATTAGGAAAGTGGATATAAACAGTTCTCTGTTTATTATTTTTATTTTATTTTTTTCTGTGGAGACTCCAAAATCTTTTTAGGTATAAAGATTAATTCCACAAAACTTTATATCCGGATACGTAACTAATCCATCAATATGCCATGGCGAGATGGCCAAAAAGAATCAAACCTACGATGGAAGCTATAACTGGAGTTCTTTTACCATTAAGCCAAGACAATTTAGTTTGTTTATTTCTTCTTTACATCATATATGCATAATGCATTCAACTGAACTTTATTTTTGGAATGTTCTAAACAGTAAGGTAGAAAACGAACTATTTAATTCCATGCCATATATAAACAACATTTGAAATGGATTGTGCTGCTAATGTAAATCGTGGTGTGCGACTTGAGCCTTTTTTGTTTTAATTGATACCAACTGAAAGTTCATTCTACAAATGAAATATTTACCTAACATTAGTTTTTTTATCAAGCTCCTAACATTAGTTTTTTGGTAATTATAAAATATGATAGTCGTCGGCGTTTTTTATTTTGTCTCTCATAGCTTTGATTCAATTTTCATGCATCACATAATCACGTAGAAGACCATTCCTCGATGTTTTATTTGACTAAACAAACAATACGAACCAAAGGAAACTTACTAATAAGGTGGCCTTTGAGAAAATACAAAAGTAATCAGAGTTTAATCAGCCGTCCTATGTCTTTTGGCCGCGCACCTTTACTATTTATTTATAAGATTCCATGACATCGGCCATGTCTATATTATAGCACTACAATAAAAAACATTTACCTATCTGGGGTCTAATTGACACTATATAATACTCTTACAAAGTGATA